CCAAAGGCACGGTCAAAGAGGGTTTTGAAGGAGGCAAGGGAGGGGGTGAAATGGAGGGACTGCGGGATGGTGTTCCAGAGGGTGGGGGCAGAGTGGCAAAAGGCCTGCCCGCCAATGGTGAGGCAGGCGAGGCAGGCACGTGAAGCAGATTGGAGCCTGCTGAATGGAGGGAGCAGGTAGGTTGGGAGGGCGTTAGAAGGTCGCAGAGGTAGGGGGGAGCAATGCCATGGAGGGCTTTGAAGGCGAGGACCAGAATCAGGAACGGTATCCTCTGTGTGATGGGAAGCCAGTGGAGACGGGCGAGGGTGGGGGTGATAGGGTCGTGGAGCCTGGTGAGGGAGAGGACATGGGCTGCAGAGTTTTGGACGATCTGCAGCCTATGGAGGGAGGAGTTGGGGAGGCTGACAAGTTTATGAGGGTCTCTGAGGCCTGCAGTGTGTGACAGTGGTGGAGCTGGGGCGATGTTGTGGAGGTGGGGTAAGGCAGTGCGGGTCATGGCAAGGGTGTGGGATAGGAAGGATAGTTGAGGGTCAAACAAGGCCCCAAGGTTCCGGACTGGCTTAGTAAGGGGGAGTGTGCAACCACGGATGGTAATGCTGTCAGTGGCTGAGGTGTGGAGGGGCTGACCGGAGCCAATCAGGAGAGCCTCGGTCTTGTTGACGTGCCAACTGTAGAAAGTTAGCTCTCATCCAGGACGAGATGTCTGACAGACATTCTGTCAGGACAGCAGTGATCCTGGAGTCGAGGGTGGAGGTAGAGAGATAGAGTTGGGTGTCATTCGCTGATTGCATTTATGTATTTATTTATACATATGCCTAAATTGCCAGTCCAGATAACTTGCCATTGAGTCTTTTTCCCTTGGTGTGCTGAGTTACCAGAAGTTCACTATCATATCATGCAATTAAGAGAAGCTGCAGTCATTCTTTGTAGAGTACCAGGTAAAGGATTTCTACCACATCCCCATCCTCTCTGTCAATCTTCTTCCCCCCCGCACCGGCCCCCCTCTTCCCCCCTGGCCCCCCGTTCTCCTCCTCCCCCCTCCCCATTCACATACACCTGAACAGAAACAGGACCTTGGTTAAGCATCTCATCTGAAGGATGGTACCTCCAACAATGCAGCGCACACCATTGGAGTGTCAACCTAGATTATGAGAGTTCAAAGTCCAGGAGAAGGGCTTGAACCACAACCTTCTGACTTGGAGGCACAAATTGAGCCCGGCTGACACCAACATACTTCCAAAATTACTAGTTAAAAAGTGCAGTTTATCTCTATCATCAGCGGAGAACCAATGGAACCAAAGCTACACTGTACTTGTGTTGTATGTCAACCCTGAGACATAACATTGTGTGTCTACCTTCAATCCTGGGTGCCCAGACTCTGAAATCCATTACACAACCTGGCAAGATGCTGATTGAAAAAACAAGACTGGATGAGTACATTGCAGAATGTAACCACTAATGACTTCACTGTGTTTAGACTTTTACTGATCCATATCTAGTCTGATCTCGGTTGCCTATCTACAGAAGTCCCTAGACACCTGTTCATAGATGTCAACATTGGCTGATCTGTACCTCAACTAAACCTTTCCATCCCAATTTCCCGCTTTTCCCCATATAATAATAATAATCCTATAATAATAATCCTTGCATTTGATATAGCGCTTTTCACGTCGGGAGGACGTCCCAAAGCGCTTCACAGAACACACTGTAAAGTGAATTGACTGTATATTTGTGGGCGAACGCGGCAGCCAATTGCGCACAGCAATGTCCCACAAACAGTCGTAGATTGAAAATGACCAATTTAATTATTGTTTTTGGGTTTTGGAGGGATTATTATTAGGTGTGTGGAGTAAGGAAACTTGCCCAAGGTTTCGCCCTGCCTGGAATTGAACTCAGGTCTCTCACTTGCAAAGCGAGTGCTCTAACCACTGAGCTACAGGACTCCAGGTATATCCCTTAATACCTGACCTACCAAAAATCTATCAACCTCACTCTTGGAAGATGTGGATGATTCCAGCATCCACAGCCTTTTGGGGAAGAGAATTCCAGATTTCTACTACCCTTTGAGTGAAAAAATGCTTCTTGATTTCACTCTTCAATGGCCTGGTTCTAATTTTAAGACTATGGCGCCTTGTTTTGGATTCCCCCACCAGAGGAAATAGCTTCTCTATATCTCTACATTTACCCTAACAAATCCCTTTATCATCTTAAATAGCTCAATCAAATCACCCCTCAGCCTTCTACATCCAAGGGAATACAATCCAAGTTTATGTAGCCTTTCCCTGTAACTTAACCCCTTAGGGTGGGAATAAATTTTATGGCTGTAGCACAACTGGTAACAAAACAGGTTCTGATGAGGCTAACAAACTATGAAAAAGGTCAAGTTATTGCTGAACTTCATCCCAGAGTCCAACCAACCTGCTCCCTCCCTCACCTCATTCAAGGTCCATCTCAAGACACAACTCTTTAACTGCAAGTTATCACCTGGGCCAATAGAAAAGTGAACTAAATTGGGCCTAAAGTGAGCTCCTGCGAACAATTATTGGTAAGTACTGCACTAATATTTATTAACATTTATAGTATGTTGAACATAACTCCATATTCAGGAAATGTGCCTATAGTTTTAATCCAGGTTATTTCACAAAATGCATCTCTCAATAGCACCAACCAATCCTCTGCAATTTCGCGCAAAATGTACCAAAGTTCTCAGCAATTTCTCACAAAATTCAGCTACTGCTCCACAATTTGGGGCAAATATTTCTGCACTTTTCTATTGGACCATCTTATCACTGACAATAACAGCAACATGACTTGAACCTAAACCAGAAATGGGTGGGGAGGTAACTGAAAGCATAGTTGAAGAGGAAAGTCTTCAGGTGTGATTTGAAGATGGGGCAAGATGAAAGGACTGAGATGGAAGGAGTTCCACACATTTGGGGCATAGTGGCTAAACGCATATTACTATCCAGACCGAAAAGCAAAAATTAGCATAGCAATTGGTTGGACTTTACATTTTAAAATAGCATACATGTATCTTTTCTTAAATAAAAACCTAACATTTCAATAAAATTTGCATTTATATAGCACGCTTGATATAGAATAACGTTTCTGAATGCTCAACATGGATAGAATTGAATGCCATGCAAGGAAGTGATTGTTGGCATTATCAAAGAGGTAGGTTTTTAGGTGGAGATAACTATAAACATCAGAGAGATAGAAAGGTGCTAGAGTATAAAAGTAAATTCATTGGGAGACAAGTGAGGATTGGGGTGATGGACATGCAGGGTTTAATGCAGGAAAGGATGTTATTTTGAATCAGCTGGTGCTTTTGGATGGTGGAAATGGGGAGATTATCAAGTACATTTGAGAAGTTGAGAAAGAAGACTGAAAAAGTATGAATGAGGGTTTCAGTGGTATTTGGTATGAGATAAGAGGCGGAAGAGGGGCAATGTAGCAAAGGAAAACAAAAGCGGTCTTGGTCAGGGACTGAACATGAGGAAGGAAGAAAAGCGGAGGATAATTGAACATCAAGGTTGACCACTGTCTTTTGTAGGTCAGAGAGAAACTAGAGCTAAAAGTGAGCTGTTGACATGATCCTCTTCCCTCTTACACACGTTAAACTGCAAGAAATTGAGGCTCATCCAGGCCTTGATGTCTGACAGACATGGAGACAGAACATTTGTGGACGTGGAATCAAGAGTAGAGGTGAGGAAATACGGTGTTATTCGCAACAGTTCACTAAAAAAATCCATCTTAATGCTTACTCACCTACTGGTGAAATGAACTTTCACCTTCAACAATGTTTGGATATAATGTGGGTTAATTAAATAAACCACTGAATTATGCACTCCATGATCTATTTTTAGATTTTTTGGCTCTGTACCCAATTTTTATCGTATAGCCAAGTGGCATTCCAAAACTGAGCTTTGGCAAAAAAAAGTGAATGATTGTGAACGTTAACTTCTCGTTGCTACCAATGCAAGTAAAACGTACCTCCATTTCTCTCTCTCCCCCCAACCCCCATGTCTCATTCTTGGGCAACTTTCAAGAACAAACAAAATAGGCTATTCCGTCGCATCCCGACACATTCTTGTTTATCTGTTGCTCGATGCGGTTTTCTTGAAAAGGAGACGCCGTTTGGATAGAGTAAAATCCACAGCTCGCATTCCAGACCGCGCTGTTCACTGCCCAGAAACCCCCGAACAAAGCCACAAAGATGATAAACGTGCACATTGCGTGACAGAACGAGCTCTGAAGCAAACCCCCCCACCACCACCCCCACCCAACCCCCCCAACACACAGACACACACACACACAAGCAAAGATCGACAAGTTAACGACCGCGAAGAGCCAGCACAATGATATTTGTACGAGCAAAAGGGCCCCCAAACAGACGGGAATAGCGCCTCTGGTAAGACGACTCGAGGAGGTGCGGATCAAAAAAACCTCAAATGAATGAAGGCGAACAGTGGGTGTTGCCAAGTCATCGGATGGGCGCGCACACAACACAACACACACACACACACACACAAAAGTTCTCGTCCAGAGGAGATTGGGCTACGAATGAGCAGAACGATCTCGATCCAAATGCACCACACACACACACACACACAAAAAAAAAACAGTGTCATTTCAAACCGGCTCTTGGTTTTCCCAAACGACCAGGCGACTTCCCTACGTCCCCCTCCTCTTAAAATAAAAGGACTCCTGGCCGGCGGTACCATCTTGCAGCCAAAATGCCAGCGTTGGGCAGGGGATGCCGAGACCCGCGTTAGGTTTTTTTTTATATTTAAAAAAATAAAAATATTAAAAAAAAGAGCGGGACAATCCCGTTACGGTGCCGCAAAGATCGCTGCCACACATTGCTCAGCACATTATGCAATGTCTCGGAAGAGACACAGACACACACACACACACACACACACAGACAGACAGACAGACACACATAGACAAGACACAGACAGACAGACAGACAGACAGCACAGACAGGACTGGCTCACCTTCTTCAGAGCCATCACCAGTAGACCGCGCCATTTGGGTGGATTGTCCTCGCTGAAGAAATCGTACTGCTGCTGCGGCTGCTGCATGGTGCCGCCCGCGGGGGTCCGGACGGTCGCCGCGACACTGCCAGCCTCCTCACCCGCAAAACCCAGCGAGAAGAAGGGAGGGAGGGAGGGGGTGGGTGTGGGGTGTGTGGGTGTGTGGGGAGAAAGAGGGCAGTACAGCAGCAAGAGTCCGCTTCGGGCTTTTCTCTTCGGTCTCCTCTCAAAAAAGCGCCTCGCGGGAGAGTCGTTTCAAAGGGCTCCGTTCGGGTGTTCTCTTCCTCCTCGAGAGCGTTTCACAGGGCCCCGCTTCTCATTCTGCTTCACAGCTCCATCCCCCCCCCCACCCCTTCTCTGCCCTCCCCTCTGCCCCCCCTCTCCCCTCCCTTCCCCTCCGCTCCCCGAAAGTTTTTTTTTAAAAAAAATACCCGACTCCGTCCTCTTCCCACCCGCTCCTTTTTCTCCCACCGCCTCCCGCCTGTGGCGCCCCTTCTCACACAGCGGGGCCGCCGCTGGTCGGCGGCGCGAACATAGTCACGAGCGGCGGCGGTTTGCTCGGCGGCCCAACGGCTCGAGAGGCGCGAGCGGAGCTGCGCAACGGCAGAGAGAAAGTCGACGGCCTCCCGACGAGGGGCGGGAGGGAGGGAGGAGGGGAGGGAGGGAGGGAGGAGGGAGGAGGGGAGGGAGAAAGTCGCCCAACTGACCTCAGAGCCGAACACCAATCTGAAGAGTTTTTCACTCTCTCTCTCCCTCTCTCTCTCGCTCCCCCTCTCCCTCTCTCTATCCCCACCCCCTTTTTCGATCGGTGGGAACGCCCGCGGCTTTACATATCGAAACCTCAACCAACCAGCCCCATGTTATTCCTGGTGTCGAAAGAAATTACTTTTGTTTCCGTGTGTGTTGTGTGTCTCTCTCTCGCTCTCTCTCTCTCTATATATATATGTGTGTGTCTCTCTCTATATATGTGTGTGTGTTTGTGTGTCTCTCTCTATGTGTGTGTGTGTCTCTCTCTCTATATATGTATATGTGTGTCTCTATATATATGTGTGTTTGTGTGTCTCTATGTGTGTGTGTGTCTCTCTATATGTGTATATGTGTCTCTATGTATGTATATGTCTCTCTCTCTATATATGTGTGTATGTGCGTCTGTAAATAAGGAGAGAAAATGGTCACTTTTACTGCAAAAAACAATTCTCTGAACGTTTTGTTCAGAGGTCGGGAGGGGGGAAGGGGCAGAGCACAGCGGAGACTGCGCACACACACACACACACAGCCTGTGGCTTCCGTGTATCCTCAGCCTCTCCGCGGAATCGCGCAACAGTGCCAAGTCGGCGCCCACCTCACACCCGTTGCGACTTTACCCCCACACAATAGCCCGCAGTGAGTGCGCGCTCCCCGTTACCGGGACCGCACCGCGTCCCGTCGTCGCAAATCGACTGCGGGGTCCAGACCGGGGCGGGGGGAGGGGAAGGCGCGTTGCACAATGTGTATGTGTGTGTGTGTGTAGTCACGTGAGCAGCGGGAACGGCACTATAATTCCCACAATGCTCCGCGCGGCCGGCCGGCCCCGGGGGCGCTGATTGGTGCTCCCGGCGCGCCTGCGCCTGACTCGTCCTTATTTACACGTCAATCGTCGGAGAAACCACGTGGTTGGTGGCAATTGTAGGGCGGGGAGGGGGGGAGGGGGAGCTGCTGCAATGAGGAAAGGAGGAGGAGGGGGAGGAGGAGAGAAGGGAAGAGGTGTGTGTGTGTGTGTCCTGAGGTTTTACTGGGCTGCAAGAGTTACTGTCGCGGAGAGAATGAATAAGTATATAGTGCCGGCCTCCTTCATGGCCAGTGTTATTGGTGGGGCGGTTTTGATCAAGTGAGTAGCTCGAGTGCACTCGGGGCCTCTTTCGGTTGCACATTCACCTCCTCGAGGACAGCCCAAGGGCAGCGCTTCCACGCGAGCGGCTTCGTCTTGCAATGTGGATGTGCCGAATCGAGCACTGGGGTCGACTTGAACCGAAGCGTCCGATTTAAAGCCTTTCTGCATTGGGAGTGTCGGCGTAACCCCTCGCCTGACACTCCGACTGCAGCGCTGGAGGAGATAATAATAATAATCCTTGCATTTGATTAGAGCGCCTTATCGTGTCTTTGGGAGGTGGCAAAGCGCTTCACAGAATATACTGTAAAGTGAATTGACTATAATAATAATAATAATCCTTGCATTTGATATAGCGCTTTTCACGTCGGGAGGACGTCCCAAAGCGCTTCACAGAACACACTGTAAAGTGAATTGACTGTATATTTTGTGGGTGAAACGTGGCAGCCAATTGTGCACAGCAGTTCCCCACTAACACTCATGGATTGAGTGACCAATTATTTTTTTGAAAGGAATTATTACTCCTGGAAAAGTGATCTCCAATCGACTAACAACCAGGTTCCGACTTACTGCTACGTAAACAGAGATGCGTGGAGTAAGGAAACTTGCCCAACGTTTTGCCCTGCCGTGTAGATCCTGCATGTAGATGTTAAAAGAGCTCCTGGCACTATTTGACAAGAGAAATGAGTTTCTCTTGGTGTCCCGGCCAACAATCCTCTAATTAAAATAGGTCATTTATGGCTTCGTGACTATTTGTAGCGATTGTTATGTGTAAATTGGCTGCTTTGTTTGCTTAGAAATACACAATCACAACAGTAAGAAATTATGTGAAGCACTTTGAAACATTTCAACAATGTGCTAAGTCTCTATAAGCAAAGATTATTAATGTAAATGATCACCCATTGCTCCATTTCACAAGGTGTTCTTTGGCACATGCTTTTCTATTCACATTCAAACATTGAAAATACTGAATATTTGGTATTTGATTTTGGCTGCTGTACAAAGTTTCTAGTTGCAATTTTATTTGCTTCATGTCTTAGTTCTGAATTGTATGTTTACATATTTCCAAAGCAGCTTTACTAAAAAAAAATTTGTTAAATAAACTAATGTTTAATGGTCATTCTCTAAAAATGTTGTCCGTCTTACATCTGAGACTAACCTAATTTTTTACTGCTGGAATCTTCTGGGTAAGTTAACAGTTAACTCCAGTTAAGTTAACTGAAGTCCTGTAACTCAGTGGTTAGAGCACTTGCAAGCGAGACACCTGGGTTAAATTCCAGGCAGGGCGAAACCTTGGGCAAGTTTCCTTACTCCACACGCCTAATAATAATCCCTCCAAAACAATAATAAATTGGTCATTCTCAATCCACGACTGTTTGTGGGACACTGCTTTGCGCAATTGACTGCCGCGTTTCGCCCACAAATATACGGTCAATTCGCTTTACAATATATTCTGTAAAGCGCTTTGAGATGTCGAGAAAACGTGAAAAGCACTATATCAAATGCAAGGATTATTATAAACAGGCATGGTTTATTCCTTTTCTTTTGGTAACTACTGGAATCAAGCAATGGGCTGAAGTATATTGGGGTTATTCAACATCATGCATGTACCATATAAAAATCTCCCTTTGAAATCAAGTTCTCTCTCTAAGTTTGTAATTTGCTGGTAATAATAATAATCCTTGCATTTGATATAGCGCTTTTCACGTCGGGAGGACGTCCCAAAGCGCTTCACAGAATATACTGTAAAGTGAGTTGACTGTATATTTGTGGGCGAACGGTAAATTGCAGACTAGAAATAACATTCAATCCCAAACATTGTCTTCTTGATTTGCTTATGTAATAAATGTCAAAAAAGTCTACTAAAAAGAATATCAGTGTTATATAGTAGTTCTTAAAACATATTTTCTAAAATCGAGATTAACATTTACATGTAAGCTATTGCTAGGAATAGAAATTGAATAAATTGCATGCACAAGTGCTCTTGTATTGGAAAGTTAACAATAGCTTGATCGAATAATGACCTTTTGCATCCCACACTGCTATTGTCCAGCTGGATAATTTTTGACACTTAAATAATAAATAAATAAATAACAATTATTTATAATTAATAAATAACTTGCCTGATTTCAACATGTACTGAAGGAAAAGGTACAAACTGTGCTTGGTCAAACTTCAGTGGATTTGTACTGAAAATCACATGACAAAAAACACCTTGCGAAATGTAACAATGGGTGGTGGTTTAAATTTGATGCTTCAGCTGAAGTCTGTGCTGCCTGGCCACCCTCCAGCACAACAATTAATATGTATGGAAAGAATAAATACATCTTTAGTGAACAAACTGGTTCTGAGACCACTAAATGATTCAAATGAAATCTCAGCCAAAGAATTGCACCTATTATAGAACCAGTTTTTAATTGTTATTTTTAAGCTAAACTATATCTTGCAATGGTATTATACCTGGCAATGGCCTTGCAAGATATAAACTCATTGTTTATGTAATGGGTTTACAGTTAAACCTATTAAATTTTGCAAGTTACATTGTATGCTCTAGAATTGAAGCTTGTTTGTGTCAAAATATTCAGAATATCCAACAAATTTGCTGGGTTTGTGGCTTCCTTTCAATGATGTCTTTCAGCATTTCCCTGAAATGTTAGATGCAGAAACATAATTGATGCACTCTAAATTTGGAGTTTTGTTTTTTCCATCTGGTGATTGCTACCAAGAAGAATGCAACCTGTGAACTATTAATGGGTGAAAGGTTCATAGTGCAAAGCTACCGTACATAAAAATAGAGTCCTTAGGATAAATTCTGTCTTGGGAAATTCCCATGCAAATGTGAAAATCTCAGTAGTTTTGGTTTGTATGGCAATGGATTTCTGTATTCGTCACTCACCTGGGTAACAAAAAAAAATCTGTTAGCAGTCTATACCTGTTAATTAGTGACCTCTGATAGAAAGCGCACAAACCTCGACATCGGCTACGAAGCTCTCCAGAGTTGAATACTCAGATGCCAATGGAAATCAACCACTAACAAATAGATAGTCTATACCTGTTAATTAATTAAGTGGGATCTCTTTGGAGCTGAATTAGCTCCAAGGTGACATGGCTGCCAATTGAATGTCGGAATCGAGCCAGCCCTCTGTGGCGGTCGCGGTAGTCCCGTTCCTGAGCCAGGCGGGTCTGCAGTATTCCAGGGCACTGCTGATGACAGCACAGCATCAGAACCTGAAAGGGCAGAACAGTCACTGGGGGCAGGGAGTCATCCCACTCAGCTCCTGTTAACCCTGCAAGCCAAAGCCCAAACAGGTAGAGTGGTCCTCGCTGGACAAGCAATGGAAAAGCTGGCCAGACAGCGATATCAAAGGCAAACTATGCGGTTTAGCTGGTTCGAGTCCAGCAGTACCCCAATGCACACTCTGGGGTCCCCAAGCCGTGCCTCTTGCGCCTATTACTTTCTGGAATTAAGTAAGAAGGATACATCCCTCCAGTGAGAGAGTGTGCATTCCATTCCAACAATTTATCTCTGGGATTTCCATATGTAGGTGGGATACTCTTAAGCATGGTGATGGGTTTCTGCATGTGTCAGACATCCGGCTAACCCCCCAAAAATTGTGTGGTACTTAAACTAATCAGTGTATTGTCAGTATCAGTTTATTATACAAGAAGAGGGCAGTAAACTCTTAATTCAATATTTTTAATGTTGTCTCCAGTGTACTCTTGCCAAGTATTCCATATTAATTTAGTCTTGACCTTTTAGCTAAGATTAAGTATAATAATAAATAATAATTCTTTCATTTGATATAGTGTGTTCATATCGAGAAGATGTCTTAAAGCGCTTAACAGGATTTACTGTAAAGTGTAGTGACTGGATTTGGTAAGCGAACATAGCAGCCAATTTGTGCACGGCAATGTCAAAGGATAGTTTCTATACTTGAATTTGGAAGCTGGTCTGGTATGAAGATCGTTGGTAGGTAGACGGTCAGTGTACTTATTGAAATGGAACTGGTACTTGGATTGCTTCCTGACCTTTTGGCCTCAGAATATGCAAGAGTTTATTTTTTAAGTGCACAAAGGGAGAAGAAAACCCCCAGAGTTCCCTTTCCCAACTCTCCCCCACAAAAAAAAGTAAATACAGAATACTTACATTTCAATATCTTGGTAAGAATTGTCAGGGCCTGAACAAACTCTCACATTTTCCAGAGCAATCCTAAAATACTTCTCAGAACTATGTCTTTGTCAGTGACTGATTTCCATTGGCATCTGAGTATTCAACTCTGGAGAGCTTCGTAGCCGATGTCTAGGCATGTGCACTTTCTATCAGAGGTCACTGCAGAGCGATGCTGCCTGACTTTCCCTCTACTTAACCTTGGAAAAATAAAGCCAATTGCAACTCCCCAACTGCTTCTGACATCTAAATCAAACAGACCAGGAATTTAGCCCGCAATCTTCTGTTTGTGTAGCTTAGTGCTAAACCAGCAGGCCATTGGGGAGCCTGAGATAATATTCTTGAGATGGCAACTCAGCTGAGACTGGGGTAATGTTATCTGGAGTAGTGAAAGTTAATACAGGTGTAAGTCAGTATTTGAACTTGGTATTAGTCAAGAGTCTGATGTTGCAACCCTGGGCTGTTAACAGCAAGCTTTTTTTTAAAAAAAAGTAAAGTATGAACTAAAAAATATCAGAAATACAGGAAATCAAGCTCACATTTGATATAGTATCCTTTAAGGCTTCACCTACGTTTTCTCAAACAACAGCTGTACTAATGCTAGTGTTGCTTTACTTGAAGCATCTTTAGCCATTCCAGCTAATGACTTTGTATTTATTTACTCTTCAGGGACTATGTAACTGGTGGAACCTGTCCGAGCAAAGCAACTGTCTCGGGAAAAACTATTATCATTACTGGAGCAAACACTGGTATTGGAAAAGCAGCTGCTAGAGAATTAGCTGGAAGAGGTAAGCCACAGTACTGGAGTGGGAAAATCACACTGTTTTGCTTGAATCACTGCTAAATGCAATTTATTATTAAAATAAAAAAATTCAGACAAGTCGATTTCTGTGTAACTCTGAGGTGAGCTGCACTGAGTGGGGGAGCTCCCAGGTATAATGGGCACAAAAGGTGAGGAATCCAGAAGAGCTTTCATTTTATTAGCACCTTATCACTTGACGGTCTCTGAGAACATTAACGTGATTTTGATCAAGTAGAACCAAAAAAAATTCTAGTTGATATCTGCAGCAATTTTGCACATAGTAAGGTTCACAAATAACATGATCAATTTATGTTGAGGATAACTTGTCTGGGAATAACAGTTTCTCTTTTGAATGGTGTCATCGGATCTGTAAAATCCACCTGAACAGGTAAATAGGACATGAATTCAAAGTCTCATCAGAAGGATGGGACCTCTGAAATTTAGCCCACCTCCATTACTGGAGATTTGACCATGAGTTCTTGTCCCATCTCGACCCACAACTTCTGTCCCAGATGTGAGTGCTATCAACTGAGTCAAGCTGACAGACAACTGAATAGAGACAGACGTTCTCTCTGGCTGCCATTGTCACTTTCTGATCACAGGCCAAAAGAGTTTTAGCATTGGTCTAGAAGTGACTGTCTGCCTTCTTGATAGTATGAGCATGAGTTCAGAAAGAATTGAAAAAATACTGGAAATGTAGAAACAACATTTTAAAAATAGGCAATTAAAATTATTTTCTCGCAGGGGCAAGAATAATCATGGGATGTCGAGATATGGAGAAATGTGAAGCAGCAGCTCGGGAAATTCGAGGAGAATCTCTGAATCATCATGTGTATGCCAGGCACCTTGACCTGGCCTCACTTCAGTCTGTCAGACACTTTGTCAGCAAATTCAACAAAGGTAAAAATAAAATCCACTTTCCCTTCCATAATACTGCAGTTTCACAATCCATTTCCATGGATACTTGAGTTATGTTGTGTTGCTTTATCAGTCTTACCAAATTAAATACCTGACGCAGTTAACATAAATCGTTAAGTTTCATTGCTTGTCACTGGCTCAATCCAAGTTAAAAGCAAAGCCAAAAGGAATCTAGCAAAAAATAAAACACAAAATACTGCAGATGCTGGAAATCTGAAACAAAAACAGAGATTGCTGGGACCACTCAGCAGCTCAGGCAGCATCTATGGAGAAAGGAAAATGCGTGAAAAGTTTCAAGTCCATGAACTTCGTCAGAACTGGGGGATGTTGGGAGGGAGAAGTTTTAAAGACTAATAGAGAGGGAAGGCGGGGCAAGAAAGACAAAGGAGAAATGGGGTGGTGTCCTCCTTTGTTTTGCATCATTAACACCTCTGGTGTTAATGAGGACATCATCCCCTGTCCTCCACTCATTTTCTCTTCTGTCTTTCTTGCCCTGTCTCCCCTCTCTGAAAGAATTTAAAACCTCTCACTCCCAACATCCCCCAGTTCTGATGAAGAGTCATGGGCCCGATATGTTGACTCACTTTCTTTTCTCCAGGAGTCTCTAGCAGCTTTTATATTAAAAAAAAGTTGTCAGGTTGGGTTCCCTGATGTTCTTTTGGGCAAAGGCATTGCTTGGTGTACCATTGAGCCACACAGAGCAGAAGATTGCACATTTGAACAGCCAGGTTCCCACTCTCAATAACTTCTATTGCAAAGTTGCCATGGTGATGTAAGGCAATAACAGAATCAGGCTGAGCTGTGACATTATCTGCAGGTAAATTGTGCTCACCGCTCATTTATTACGCTTGCAGCTAAGGAAAAGCAACTTGGAGAAAGTACTAGTCTGGGCAAGCATGGATTGTGGTGTTAATCAAATTGCAAATGGTTCCAAGATGATCAGTTCACAATCGATGCATTTGGGCATAACATTGCCTATGAATAAGTTTATTGCTTTGCAAATAAAACAAGCATTCTAAAAATAAATGGTGGAGCATGAGTGAAGTCTGAGACAATATTATTTTGGTAAGTTTCATAAACTTGACTATTTTGGACTGTAAGCATATTAAAATGTGCAATTAGTAGTGGCAATTGGGATCTGAAAGGGGGAAAAAAAATTATCAACATTGTCTAGTTTGACATGAAGAAAGATCACTTAGGCAAGGTACCAGAAAGTGTCTGGTGCCCATGTAACCCAGAACGAGCCACCACTTTCATAAGAATAGGGGAAAAAGAGAATGAACACAAGCAAATAGAATTAAACAAACTTGTAAATCTACTCAAGTTAGTTTTAAGGTCCTATAATGATTGCAGAATTTCAGCCATAACTCAATCTGAAATGAAGTTCTATGATAGTTTCATTAAAGAATGCATATAGTTTGCATTATCCTTGAGGAAGACTGGCTAAAATGGTGAAACCTACTCTTCATTTCAGCTTTCAGCTAATTAATGTGATTGCATTTTTTATTTGTCTAGAGGAGGAACGGTTAGATGTCTTAATAAACAACGCTGCTGTAATGAGATGTCCACACTGGGAAACTGAAGATGGTTTTGAAATGCAGCTGGGTGTCAATCATCTTGGTAAGTTCTGTTTGCTCTTTTGAAGCTTTGCAGCTGGAGATTGTTTTTCACATTACTCATTAAGAATTGGCTGAGCAGAGAAAATCATTCACAGGGATTTCAGGTTTAAAATACAGTCACTGCACTTTACAGTATATTCTGTGAAGTGCTTTGAGACGTCTCAATGACGTGATAAGGAGCTATATCAAATGCAAGAATTATACAATGCAATACAAAATTACATTTGTAAATCGCCTTTCACATCGGAAGGATGACCCAAGGTGCTGAACGTCTGGGATTAGGACCCGGGTGGGTGGGTGGACAGTGATGTTGGGATCAATTATACAGCATATATTTTAGTCATAATACACGTATGAGGGTTTTGGCAGCCTGAGGCAGTAGCGAAGTCGAGCAATGTTGTGGAGGTGGGGAAAGGCAGAGCAGGTCATGGCATGGATGTGGGGGACAAAGGATAGTTGAGGGCTGAACAAGATGCCTAAGTTCCTGACTGACTGGGTGAGTGTGCATTCTTGGATGCTGATGCTGCCAGTGCCTGAGGTGTGGAGACGCTGGCATGAGCCAATCAGGAGAGCCTCAGTCTTGCTGACGTTCAACTGTAGAAAGTTGGCTCTCATCCAGGACTTGATGTCTGACTTACATTCTGTCAGGACATCAGTGGTCGTGGGATCAAGGGTGGAGGCAGAGAGATAGAGTTGGGTGTCATCTGCATACATGTAGAAATTGACCACGTGTGCGGATGATGTCACCAAGAGGAGAGGATCGAGGACAGAGTCCTGAGGAACACCACATGAGATGGTGCGGGGACTGGTGGAGAAGCTATTTGTGGAGACAAAGTGGAACCATTCAAGGACAAAACCTTGAAGGTTAAAGTGAGAGGAGAGGCAGTGGAGGAGGATAGAGTGGTCCACTGTGTCAAAGGCAGCAGAGAGGTTGAGGGGACAGAAGGAGCCCTGGTCATAGGTCGACACAATGTGGACAGAATTATTATTATTTTGTATTGGGAAATCTTCAGTTTCCCAATATTTTATTTATCTTATATATTATGATGTTGAAAAAATGAAAACGGAGGAGCTGGCACTTTAATTTCCCTGTACTTGAAGCTTGCTGACATTGGATTTGTGTTTCCATGCAGGTCATTTTTTGTTGACCAATCTTTTGCTTGAGAAGCTGAAGAAGTCTGGAAATAGTCGTATCATTAACGTGTCCTCGCTGGCTCATATTGTGGGGAGAATTGATTTCAATGACCTCAACTGGGAAAGGAAAAAGTATGACACAAAAGCAGCGTACTGTCAAAGTAAACTTGCAAATGTGCTGTTCACTCGAGAGTTGGCAAAAAAACTTCAAGGTGAGTAGGTCAAAATAAAAAAAATCAGTAGGTCTTGCTCTCAACAAACTATTCCTCTTTGACTGCTCCTTCGGTCATCCTCCTACCGCTACCCTCCACCCCAGGGCCAAATCCCTGACTGTCTAGTGCCTTGGGACTTCCTCCTAAAGTGAAAAGCGCTATATAAATGTAATTTGTTGTTGTTCCATGAATTATATTATATCTTGAATTGATTGTACTGTTCTGAAGTTAGAACTTGAATTAAGTTGTAAGCTGTCAAGGGTCATCTCTACAAGTTGTACAACTTAATTCAAGTTCTAACTTTAGGATTGAGTTAACATTTATTACTCTTGGAATTATTTTGTTTACAAGTCTTGTTATTTGGCACAGCAAAAATAAGCTGGCTTATTGACTCCATGGCTGTTTGTGGGATATCCTATGCACAAAATTGCTGCCCTGTTTGTTGATAAAAATGGTCAATCATTACATTTCACTCAGAGGCGAGAGTGGAGCCAGACTGACAGTAAAACTATTGAGAATTCCACATGTGTATGGTATATGTTTGCATTATTATAAATTGTCNTTTTTTTGTAAAGGAAGTGGAGTTACAACAAATGCTGTGCACCCTGGGGTGACTAACACAGAACTTGGCAGGCACACAGGAATGCATAATTCCAATTTTTCTAGTACAATGTTGGGTAAGTAAAGACAGAAGACGCTTCTGAAACGTCCTAGTTGTGAAGAACCACTGAATGGCAGGATTGTGGATTGGAGTAGAAATATCATTTTCAAGATTCATAATTATTATAAGGTTACAGCACCATTTGGTACCATTTGAATAATAAATATTTAATACATTGAAGAATTTAGTGTTGACAATACTTAATGTAAAAAACCCTCAGTGTTTTATAATGCTATGTCATACTGTCTATTTCTACATAAAAGAGCAATTTTTAAAAATAAAGGTAAAAAACAGACACGTGGGTCTGTAGCATAGTGGTTAACGCACTCGCAAAGCATGTAAGAGTATCCGGGTTTCATTCTTAGCTGGAGCTAAACTTTAGGCAAGTTTAAAAAAATTCACTCAATCCACAACTGTTTGTGGACATTGCTGTGCACAATTGGCTGCCCACAAAATAAACAGTAAATCCACTTTACAATATATTCTGTGAAGCGCTTTGAGACGTCTCAACGACGTGATAAAGCGCTATATCAAATGCAAGGATTATTAAATGACGGCCTCTTGGGCCGAAAATCTCCATGTTTCTAGCAGTAGGACATCATGCATGGAGGAATTTTGTGAGTGTCACTAATATATTTTTAGTTGTTTTGTGAACTGCTGTATGAACAAAGAATTTGGANTTTTTTTTTACCCATTTTAGGGCCTTTCTTCTTGATGCTTGTAAAATCCCCAATCCTAGGAGCACAATCCTATGTATATTTGGCTGTGGCAGAAGAGCTGGAAGGAGTATCCGGTAAATACTTTGATGTCATGAAACAAAAGGATCCTGCCCCACAGGCACTGGACGATGAGACAGCCAGACGGCTGTGGGAAATCAGTGCCAAGTTAGTAAAACTAGAAAATGAGAAACCTACTCCACAACTCAAAAATGTTCCTTTCGACAATGTCAAACCAAACAGTAAGAGTTTAATGGAGCACTGATAGGAAATGTTTACTCTTGCATGTAAATAATAGTCTTCAAAATATTGTGAATTATTCAGTGATTTCGTTTGGAACACAAGTTGTTTGGCCATGCTATACTGAAGGCACCTTTTGATAACTCGCCGTCCTTTCCCTGTACAGTAAACGATTTTATTAAAATTGTTTAAGCCAAGTCATCTGTGTATTTTTTCAATACATTATTAATGATGTTGTTTTACATTAAAAGAAAAAATGTTGTAACATAGTAGGATGCAGGGTTTTTCTATTGTGTAATTTCTCTATAGCCCCTGTGCTGTTGGGTGGGTGGTCGCTGTAGAAGGATGATTTCCTTCTGGTTGCTTTGAGCACTTTTCTAGTAGAGGCCTGAATGCACCTGACCACCTGCCCTCCCAGTCAGAGAATGGGCCTGAAATATGGAATTAATCGTACAAAGCAGTTAACTAGGTTTCTTCAAAATCAAACATACAAATTGCAACAGTAGAACACTTTTAACAGTGTTGAAGTGAATTTGTCAATTTACTGGATAAACTGTTGCAGTAACTGATGTTACTGAAATGACGCTCCATTTAAGAAAATTCTTGTATTTAAAATTGCTACTTCTTTATATCCCAAACCTTCATGCAGCTCATAAAACAGACTATGGCCTGTGTGAAATGCCAAATATTTCTGAAATTCAGAAGTTGCAGAATACCACAGATGAGTCATTTGAAAATGCACAACAGCACATGTTACAGCACGATCTAACTCCAAAAGAATGCTTTCATGCTCCCATTGGGAATAATGTCTATTAATGCACTCATTAGTGCATTAGTAACAAGCAAGCTGCATGACATATTAATTTTTCATCTGATATTTGGATGAAACCCCAGAATTCTAAAGAAACACTGATCTTCTGTATCCATTCATTAATGTACTCTTTTCTGCCCTTTCCTCTTATTTTGTTCACAGCCAATATCAGCAGTAAAGGTAAAAGAATGTATCAGTATGTGGAGCCTAGTGTCCCCTTTCTCCCAGTCTGCTGAAACTCCAACTCTTTGAAAGTGCTTTGAGACTTTATTCAACATGAAAAATGCAAAACAAATTCAAGCTTTCAATTTTTTTTGTCAGAAAAAAAAGCCGGTTCTTTCTGTAAATGCAAGTTAGGGGACAAAGTGCAACAGTAAATGAAAAAGAAGATAGCAGCTGGAATACGATAGTACCATCCACTTCATTGTATGTAGAGCAGAGCACATGTGGACGCTCCAAATATCTCTGTCTAAAATCCTGCAGTTTTAACATGGGAGATTTATTTACAGTGACTGGCCACAACTTATCAGAAACCAACTTTGCAAGTCTGCTTATTTTTCGTTGATTCAATTCCTATGTGGCAGCTTAACAGTAATTAAATGGATGTAATGGAGCAGAAGTTCAAATAGTTGCATGAACTACTTTCAAATAGTACATAGGGGAACGAGTAGCCACCCTCAAGAGAGCAGAGAAGCAGAAAACTAGTTTTGAACTCGCCTAAGACTCCAGAGTCCAATTTACTTTGCAGCTGAATCCAAAAGCATTGGTTGGCAACATGCACAATTGCTTCCAATGACTCGTGACTTACTTCCAGTCATGAGCCTCCCCTGATTTCCAGCAAATGTCAGCAGATAATAAAATAAATATTTCTGGGCTGTGTACTGTCAGCTTTCCTACTTTCCTCATTGTTGTTGGTGGTATGAATGTAAGCGGTTTGTTTTATTTAGCACAAGCTGTATTAGTCCAGCCATGATTTCTCCTGGATTTAGAAGATGGTCGATAAAAAGCCACACTTCAGCCAAGGTTACAAGTCTAAACTACAAACACCATAATGCACTACTCACACCAAAATGTGCATCTCATTCTCATCACTCTCCTAACTGATCCAAACATTCATCTAATCCATGCAAAGCTTATGAAAAAAACACTCAAAATATAATATAATAATCCTTGCATTTGATATAGCGCTTTTCACATCTTCTAGATGTCTCAAAGCGCTTCACAGAATATGCTGTAAAGTGAATTAACTGTATATTGTAAGGCTGAGCCTGAAACACAGAAAAAGCTTTGTTTCATGAATAGATCTGGTGACTCAGCAGCTCAGGGGCACTCACTTCCATACCCATAAATGCAGTGAAAAGCGACGACTGTACATTTTATTTAAAATTGGAGTTTGTATCTATTTATATCACTCAATTTAAATCTGTGCCAATATATTTCCTCTCCACATTAACTGCAGCAATGCGTCATTGGTAACTCAGCAGAACTTTAAAGAGACACTCCACTGGTTGGACGGGAGATGCCGAGTACTTTTAGCTAGACTCACGTATTTCTTCAAATTGCATACATTTTTTGCCTTTTACTGAAGATTTCTGTGGAGAGGAACATTTCTGAGTTTGTAGTAATTTTTGATAGTCCTGATTTTTGGTGGGGCTTCCTTTTCAAAATAATAAACAATTTACTTTAAACACTTGAACCTCATGTTCAAGTACCTCCTTACCTCTCCAACCTGCTTACACCTTCCCACTGCTTTTGCTCAGCTGGCTATGGCCTTTATGCCCCTGTCCACTATTGGCGGTAGTGCTTTCAGCCACAATGCCCTAAACTAGGGAACTCTTGCCTCAATCCCGCCGCCTTTCCCATCTTTAGATCTCACCTACAGACATTCCTCTTTGACCATGCTTACCATCAACTAGCCCCTTTCCCTGCCTTGGCATCGACACCAACTTGCACTTATATAGTGTCCTCCAGGGTAGCATTTCTCAGAGGACTTAACAGTAGCGGAGCTTGACTCCGAGCCGGTGGGGAGGAAGGGGTGAGCATAAGCATGGTCGAAAAGGAAGGCTTTTAGGCAGGACTTGAAAAAGGGGAGAGAGGGGTAAAGCAGAGGGATTGAGGGAGAGTGTTCCAGAGGTTTGGAGCGTAGTGACTGAATGCACGATCTCCAATGGTGGAGCAGAAGGCGTGAGGGACAAACAGGAGGCCGGTGCCAGTTGAGCGGAGGCGCTGGGTGGTGGATTGGGGAGTGAGGAGTTTGTAGAGCTAGGGAGTGAAGAGATTTGAACACGAGTGTGAGGATCTTGAAGTTGATCTGTTTGGTGATGGGGAGCCAGTGTAGCCTGGCCACAACTGGTGAGATGGGGGTACAGAGTTTGGTATATCATTGCAATTGTTTGGTCTAGCTCCGTCACCGTTAAATGTTCCAAGACGTTACTGTGCATAAAGGGCACGATATGAATGCAAGTTGTTGTTGATAAAAGCGCACTTAATTAGTATACTGGGACCCTGTTTCCAATGTCTCATCGGTATACCTATAAGCAAATCGGGCCCCAGAAATGTCAATCTTTTATCATTACATTAAGTACAGACTCCCCATTGCATCATCCTGTGAAAAGGCCTCAGCCTTTCAGGCCCCACCCTCTGGAAATCCATCCCGGAGACCCTTCACTTCACCTCCTTCCTTGCCTCCTTCAAGGACCTTCCTCTTTGACCATGCTTTTGGTCATCCTTGCACCCCACCTCCCTTTCACCTCCACCCCTCGAGTCCAACCCCCAGCTCGGGTGCAAACCCTTCACTGTCCAGCGCCTTGGAATGCCCTCCCAACGTGAAAAGCGCTATAGAATTGTTGTTTTTGTTGTTGGTTCTATGCCGTGAATTTCCAACAGCCTGACTCGTTGGAGAGCTAAAGAGCAAGGGCATGCATACTATATTTATAGACATCAGGGTGCTTAAAAAAAAAACTTGACTATTGTTTCAAAACAAAAAAAATGCAAAGCACCATTTATTTTTTAACTATTGTATACACGAATAATATTTACACAAAGTAAAGCAAGACAAAATAATATCCACGTCAATATTTCAATTATATACCGAATCGTTATTGAATACACTATGTCCAGAAATTGCTGCTTCAGGCTAATGTTTAGATTCAGTTAAAATCTTTAGATCGTGGGTAGGTGATCAAATCGTTGCTGACGAATTTGCTTTTTGGAATCTGGTGCAGGAGACACATTATTGCCAGGCAACTGAGGCAAAAGCTGATTCTGAAAATATCAAAATAATTATGCAACTAAAGTTTAAAATATTGGCTAATAGTTAAGTGTTTCACAACCTTGGATCTGAATTTACTGCCATTTAAACAGAACGTTTGTTCTTTGTCAGTCCATGACAATTAAACAATGAATAGTTTTATTCAGAAAATATATGTTGCATTACTTTAAGCAGTTTATAAGTCAAGTAGATATACTAAATTATATAGTCAACAAAATGAATAATTACATTTGCTGAGCCACTAACGTGTGTCCAAAAGCATTAATTCTTAAAATGACTATTATTTTCTAATAATAAATATTCTTGAGTATGATTCATGCTGGAATATACATTTGGTATAAATTAAATTACTTGTTGAATCCTATTTTAATAACATTCACTCTCATCCTCTAGAGGAAGATGTGCTGGAAGATTGCCCATTGCAACAGTGAAACCTACTAATTATTCCTCCAGCTTTTAAACTAATGCGATGACCCAGGTTTGATAGTTTGTAATAAGTTAGCTGACCTCAACCAGGTAGCAGTTGGACCACTTCAATTAACAATTTTTTTGGTGAGTGTGGTTTCCACCCACTTACCCCCATTAAGTGGAATTAAACTAAATCTTGTTCCACAACCAGGGACTTAGGTTGACTCTCAGGCAAGTTCGAGGTAGCTCCATATTCTAGTTTCTCCACTTTCCTCTCTGTGAGGGCTGATCAAACTCTTCAGAGGGTCCCCTGCTTTCTTGATCCCAGCCAACAGGGGGACAAACGCAAAGCATTCCTGGCAGTAGCTCCGCCCCGACAAATAAATCATGGGGAAGTTTGGATGGATTAATACTCCTGGAATAGAGGGGGGAAATCCCCCCCCACCACCCAATATTTGGAATATGGATGGGTTGGTAAAATTCACTATCTAGGGTTCCCTGATGAAGAATAACCTCTGCCTCCCATTACCTGCATGAGGTAATGGGCGGCAGACGATGCCTGTAGAAACACAGAATCTCTGCTTTCAGGGCAGCAAGGGAGAAGACTGGGGAGAAAATAGAAAAATAGTTTAAGGTGAAAGGCATTTTCACATTTTTAATTTTCTGGATTTTGCATACAGCCCCTGACAGCTCAATAAAAATATACTGGAGTGTTTTTTAAAATAAAGCTTTAACAAAGTCTGCTAGAGAATGTAATTCTACTCCTCTTTCAGTTGGCTTCACATATTCTCTAAGATTCTTTTACCAGCTTTCTCGGGGAGGAATGCCATTGCCTATCGTGTATCTCTCTATCTTGGTACAGCAACAGGAATCCCACCACATTACAACTCTGAGGTAACCAGCAGTAGTACCTGCTGTTTTCTTCGATTTCGGCCATCCTGTCGTTGCTTCGATTTTTCATTCTCATCTCGATACAAATCAAAGTAAGGATTTTCAAGCAGTTCCTCACATGTGCATCTGTTCTCTGGATCCATCCTCAAACAGCTCTACAGTAGAGAAAATAACCAATTATTTACTAACAGAACACACCTTTTAAATAATAATAATAAATAAGTAAAATGTATAAGTTAACAACTTTACACGAGGAAGCTGTCACCTTCATAAAGGTCAGAGCATGAGGGTTTATGTTTGGAAACTTCTCCTCCAAAGGTTCCTAAAACAGCAAATAAGAGTTTTCTTGGTACTATGTATAGGCGGTTTGAAATTCATTATATACTATGAAAACGTAAATTTTCTTTTTTTAAAAAACATAAATGGTCCTTTTCTAGTAAATATATCAACATTCTTATAAAGCCTATATAAATGCAACTTGTTTTTGTTATTGTTGTAGGCTACATTAGCCTCTGGCTGGTTAAGATTGTAGTGGTTAAAACATACTGCATTTCCAAACAGTTCTTCATGCTTTCAAACTCCTGGCCCATTTGTTAACTTCTCAAAATTTCTTAAAGATATGGAATGCTCTGCTCCAGAAAGGTGTAGAAACAGAATCAAAAGGCCGTTTAAACAAGAGATGGACAGATTCTTGGGAAGTAGAGCTTTTAAGGGGTACAACAAAAGGGTAGGACATTAGGATTAAAAGATTTACCAAGATCGAATAAACTTGTGGAACCAGCTTAGAGGGTTGAATAGAGGGTTGGTCTTCTTGTGTTCCTATTTGCTGTGTTCTTAATGTTATATTTTAGTAAAATATTCAAGTAGAAAATATTTTTTTCTACAAATGAAAAATAAATGGGCAAAGATGTTCTTCTCCCTGAAGTCAAAAACAAGTTAAAATTATAAATTTAGCATTATAGTCAATTGAGCATCAGAGCCCAATCTGATTGGGGTTCAGGTGTGGGATTCCTCTTCCCCATAACTTTAAAATGGTAACATTTCTTTAATATATTTAACAAGTTAATTTGCACTGTATAGAGTTATTACTAGTTGTGCTGTCTTCTTTATCACATTACCATATCCTCAGGATCAGGTTCAGGTATGCTAACCCCCTGGAAAAATTGATTGTTCAGGAATATATGTTCATGTCTTGGAATAAGTTTGTCTGAAACAAAGAACAGAGCAGATCTAGCCCCTGCAATAAACAAAGCACAGAGTGCATTTTGCTAAGAAAAAGTAATGAGAAGGTGACAGGCTAACTTACCTAGAGTTCTTATAATCAGATAGAGTTGGTCCACATCTGATTTTCCAGGCCATAAGGCCTGTCCAGACAGCAGCTCTGCAAAGATGCATCCTATGGCCCAGATATCTACTGCAGCACCATACTGGTTGTCACCAACCAGCAATTCAGGGGCTCGGTACCACCGAGTTGCTACATAATCTGTGTAGTCGTCTTCTGGGCCTGCTATTGGGAAAAAGGAATTTACATCACTTTACACAAAACGTCTGTCCATACCATTTAAAAACTGTTTATTTTCTACCTTAGGGTTTTAACCTTAAAACACTGTCTTGACAATTAAGATACTGTAGAATTTGGGATAATTCTTAGAAATTCACTTGTAATTTAGAAGACAGATGTTCACAAGTAAACAGAGAACAGATTGTCAGATTCAGCACTATAAGTCTAATTCTTATCCATCAGTCAACTCAACATTATGTGTAAGTTTTCTTGAGTATTTTTTGGATGGTTACGCCTTTCTTCTTTCTCTTTGTCTCCTGAATCAGACAGGCAGCTGAAACAGCAAATGAACGACACTCACTGTCAAAATTCACACATGAACTTGGGATAACCAGGATACTCGGAAGGAAAAATAGAGGAAGGGAGAACATGAGAAGAAATAGGGGAATGTAAAAATAGAAATGAATACAAATTGATAGATATCAATTACTAGACACTGGATATATTGAACAATGCTCATGCAAAATTCTGTAAAACCACATAATAGTAAAAGTGTTCCAGCTGCCTACAATGTTCAAAGTATAAAATACATACTTAGCATCCTAGCAAATCCAAAATCACATAGTTTGATAATCCCTTGTTTTGTGATTAGAATGTTTTCCGGTTTGACATCCCTATGAATACACTGTAGAGTGAAAGAACAAACAAAATCTGATTAGTTATGTTGGTCTGTAACTTTAAATGCTCCATTTATTATCTTGCATGAAAACATTAGAAGTACACAAAATTAAGCAATATTTGCAGGCTATAAAATAACACCACAATCAGCACTCAGAATGTTGGTCACAGTATGTGTTTTGTTAAGTCTATGGACTTAGAGGATAACAGTCACGTAAGTGTACATCAATTACACAAAGCAATAGAATCAGAACGGGTGGTCTCTAGGGGGTGGGGAATCTTAGTTTTCAACTCGGTGGAGTGGTTGCTTGATATTTTGGGTTTGCCGGGTGGGGAGGGGAAGGGAAAGAGAAGGGAAATAATTTACTACCATTTCATGGTCTGTAAGGGCCCACAGACCTCTATGGTGAAAAAAAAGGTATTGTGTTAACATCTAGTTATTGTGAATAAAAGTGTGCATAGTTCTTTTATCTCATGTTGAATTATGGTTGAAACATTGATTTTTTTTAACACACATCACATATCTTTATTGTTCATACATAATGTATTTCATAGGGATGCATTTCCAGCTCAGTTCCGTACTTAATGGTAAGTCTAGTATGCATATTTTTTTGGATGTTTGTAATAAAGAAACTAAAGAAAATAAAGTAAAGAAACTATATTAAAAAAATCTAAGATTTACAATGGGAATGAAATACAACCTACTGCATAAAACTGCAAATTAATTTTATGAGAAAATAATTATACAAGACTGAATCTCCTTGTACTTACATTGTGTTTGTGACAAAAGTTAACAGCCTGAAGTGTTTGCCACATTATGTTTCTAACCATTGGTTCAGGTAACCTAAATCAGAAACAGTCATTACTTTCAGTGCTAATGACAATATTCCCCAGGTTGTATGGCAATTTTATCTTCTTTTCTCATAATTTCTTGGTTCATTTAAGACTTTTCTGTAATTATTGGCGAAACTCCCTTCCAGATGAAATTGAACCCCTCACCCATTTTAAAACAAAGTAAACATGTTCCGAAATTCTGCACATTAAAGCTAACCCCAATACATATTTTTTAAACTCCTGGTTGGTTTCATTCTACAGATCCAAATTAATCAACAACCTTATTTCATGTAAAACTGGCTCACTTCGGTGTGGTCTCAAAGTTTTTAATTTAAACAGATAAGTTCTAGCACTCTTACCCTCTTGAACAATTAAAAGAATTTTCCAAATTATGACATTAAGGTTAACCCCATCAGATACTGATTTTTTTTAATTGTTAGGTGTGGTTTCATTCTCAAGATCCAAATTCATCTGAACATTATTACTCGTACATTTGGCTCAGTCTGATGTACGCTCAATGTTTTATTTCAGACACATAAGTTCAAGTGATCTTACCCTCTTGGATACCGTTCCAGTTCATTTAGTACTGTGTGATCACAGTATTCAAAGACCAAATGCAGTTTTCGTTTTCTTCGGAATACTTCTAGAAGATTCACTAGGTTGCTATGCTTCAGTTGCTGCAGCAAAAATATGGTTTGATTTAAATTCTTTATGATCAACATTGTTCTTCAGATTTAAAACTTGAATATTGCACATCACATTGTAGTATTTTATTTTGCCAATTTTCTTCTGTATTTACTGATTCTTGCATGGGAACACCCCAAACATAAAAGGCAGGAAAGAAAAGAGCTAGTCAACCTGAGCCATTTTCATAAACAAATTATGGCAAACAAAAACATACTTAGTACTTTTCACATAAAAAATCCTGGAAAGGAAAAGCTGTACGAAAATTAGATGAATTATAAATTAAGTGAATATAATGTAGGGATATGTGGGAGCTATTATCATCAGCACTGTCCTGCAAACAACAGTAGGATGAGTAACTAATTCATTTGAATTGGGGTGAATATGGATATAGGGCAGACCAATGGGCAAGAAAGACTTCCATGTTTCTTTAAAATAGTAATGGGAAGAGACATGGTGCCTTAATGTCCACTTGAATTATGAAGAAGATGGGACTTAAATTAACAACTCAAAAAGGATAATGATCTGTAAATTAACACGGTAGACCAACCCACTTAAAAAGTGGCAGAACCGCAGAAGTTGGAAAGATCACCTGTTCATTGTGGGATTCAATAGGGAAGTAGGTATATGGAGATTGAAAAGAAAAGATTGAGGGTAGGGCAGGGCACTGGGATTGAAGCTGCAAATTGCTGAGAGCCGATGCAGACTCAATGGGCCGAATAGACTTCTGCACTGTAAGTTTCTATTTTGTAATTCCAGTGTCAATTCATTAACAACTAATTGATACCAGTGGGAATAATCTTACAAGATTTGGTCATGTACTTTCATAGATTCCAGTTTCTCCATGATGGCTTCAAGAGATACCAGGTCAAAAATCTAATGAGAACAATGCAAATGAGTTTCCTCAAAGCCTTTGGACGTTTTATGACTTAATAAAAAGCCACAACTTTCCTTACACACGCCACAAAAGAATAGATTTCAATCTGTTCCTGATTAAACTCTAACTCCATCTGGAAAGCAATAAACCTTGAAAGTGTGTATTACGTCTGATTTTTGCATTGCAGAATACTAACTACCCTGTCTTTCACCTGCTTGACCAGATATCCAGCACCCTCTTCAGGAATCTATATGAATGTAAAGGCAATAAATTGCTCTCTCATAGCTTAAAACTCCCCTAGCAGCTCTTACAAGTTTAAATGTCCTAATAAATAATAGATAAATTAAATACATATCTTTGTTACATGTTTAATACATACTCCGTACATTCATTTTCCAGGATTGACGAGCTGGCTTCCTAAAAAAAAAACTATGGCCGTCTTCTGAGTTGTCAGGTCACAAAGACGTTGGGTCTGTAGCGATCTGAAGACTAGAAGCTGGCCCTTTTTGGGGGCTTCATTTTAATGGTGAGGTGTCAGATACTAGACACAGATCACTGCATTATAATACAGTTAGCCTGCATTTTAACTAAGAAAAGTACCACCTTCCTATTTCTTACAAACAGATTTGTTTTCATGACACAGGTGGTTTCATTTTTCTTGTAACTTGGGCTCTTCAACAAAGTATCTTTTATTAATAGATCTTTATTAAATAAATCCCTGTTGAAACAAAATATCTTACATATCGGAATAATAAACTACCTGCTTTAACACACTATTCTTTCTACATGCCAGGATGTTTAAAAATAGTACATTTTCAAGGTCGATTGAAATAGAGCAGAAAATTGTCATCGGAGCTACCATTCAGTTTTCAAATTGAATCGATAGGTTTGTTTTCGTTTGTAGTTATTTGTTTTTAAACTGATTTTATTTCATGTACAAATACAGAAAACAAAGAAACAAAACAATGTCAACAACGGGTCACTATTATAAGATGCATTTCCTTTAATAGGTATCAGGAATTATATGTTGGGAGTAGTACAAAAGTTGCAGACCCAGTTAAAACAAATGTATCATTTAAATCCATAATTATGAAGCTCTTAGGGCATTATAATAGAATTAGCCTGCATTTTAGCCGAGAAACATATCACCTACCTATTTCTTACAAGCAGGTTTTTTTTAAACGAAACAGGTAGTTTTTTTTTGCTAATAACCTGGGCTCTTCAACAAAGTATCTTTTATTAATATGACTGTAATGAAATGAATCCCCGTTGAAACAAAGTATCCCACATATCGGGATAATAAACGTCCTGTTTTATCTGATGTTATGATTTCACACACCCGATGGCTGAAATAAAGATCATTCTGTTAAACCTCAAATATAAGCCCAAAATGCTCCAATCAAACAACCGCCTCCCGACGACACTGAAGGGTGCGATCCTCGAGTCCTACCTTTAACATCCGGATCTCTCTCATGGCTATTTTCTTGATCAACGGATCATCCTCGGACTCTACAAATTTCTTGATGGCGACAATTTGTCCCGTTTCCTTGTTTCTGCTTTTGAACACCACGCCGTAGGATCCCTCGCCAATTTTTTCAAGCTTTTCATATTTTTCCATTGCTCCTAATAATGCACATGCATATATATACATATATATATATATATACACATTTACGGTGTTATAAACGCCGAGCGGGTTAACAGGGCGAGAGAAGGAACTTGTACGAAAATTTACAAAATGAGGCCACCGGGACAGGAAGGTTAACACCTCTGCCCTTCCTGGAGGAAAGAGGTCGGGATGGGTTTTTGGAAGAGGGCGGTTAAACTTGAAAGGGAAACGCGCGTGAAACGACACCGACCCGACGGAACCGAGCGCTCGGTGGGATGTGGGAATTCCGTGTCTGCCGTCGGTCCGCACGAGAGAGAGAGAGGGGGACTTGTCCCGGAATCCCGGGTGGTCACACCCGAGCCAAAACCAGGGGTTTTCCTCCGCGGGAGAAGGTCTTCTGAGAGGGATCGTCGCCAACTCTTTTTTTTGTTGTTGTTGTTGTTGTTGTTGGACGAAGACACGTACCGGGACGGCACAAGCTATTATCTAAATTCATCGGGGAACGAACGGCAGTACCTGAAAGCCGGGATGAATCCAACCAACCGATTAATGTGCAGACCCCGCCGCTCACTGCGGGATACCCCCCCCCTCACACCCACCGGGAATGCCAACCTTACGGTTTGGGGAAAAGGAGCGGCGGAGGGTGGGGGGCGGGAGGGAGACGGAGAGGGTGGGGGGGGGGGGTGGTCAGAGAGCGGGAAATAATCCGACAGACTTTCTCTTCTCCGGACGTCGAGAGAACCGTTACCACAACGCCGCTGTGAAGCAGTTACGGCGAACAAAAGGGGCGGCGAAAACGCTTTTGAAGCGGTGGGGTTAACCGCCCCCGCCCCGGCTGCCAGCGGTTTCCATGGGGACACAGTCTTTTCTCCCCCACACTCCCCCCCCCACCACCACCTCCCCACCCGGGGCGGTGCGAGCAGCTCTGCCGAGCGACGTCAAAATGGCGACGCGCGGCACGCGGAGGGAGAGACCGTTGGGTTCGCCGCGTGCCGGGTCGGGCCGTTGGGGCGTCGCGCGCAGCAGCGCGCACGCGTGGGGGGGGGGGGGGGGGGGGGCGACGACGACGGCCGCTGGTTGGGCTACCGATGGGGCCGGATTGGGTGGGTTTCGCGCCCAATTCGGGCGGGTTGGCGGTTGAACAACGCGCGGGAAGAACAGCCGTGGGCGGGCGCTGCGGGTTTTTTTTGGGGGGAAAAAAATAAAATATAACCTGAAAAAAACGTCCCGCTTGCCCTTTGTGAAGTTGTTTTCTTACGGTTTCAAAAGCAATGAAAACCTAAACCGACCACTCTGCCGCGACGCCCAGAGGGCGGTCCATTACAGCGGGGACCACTCTTTGGGCTATTGTCTGGCGGAGGTTTGGCTACGAACATATTTTAATTGCTTGGCCAACCCTGTCTGTCTGTCACTCTGTCTGTCTGTCTGTCTGTCGGGTGTCACAGGACCTTCCAATGCCAACAACTAACTACATTTGGAAAGCGCCTTTCCCATCCCAAGGCGCTGGCCAGTCAGGGACCCGCACCCGAGCTGGGGATTGGGGTCGGGACGGGGGGGGGGGGGGGGGGGGGGAGGATCAAAAGCACAGCCGAAGAGGAGGGTCTTGAGATGGGTCTTGAATGTGGCGAGGGACGGCGATTGGGGGCGGGGGCGAGGGACGGCGATTGGGGGCGAGGGATGGCGATTGGGGGTGGGGGCGAGGGATGGCGGGTGGGGGCGAGGGACTGCGGGTGGGGGCGAGGGACTGCGGGTGGGGGCGGGGGCGAGGGATGGCGGGTGGGGGCGGGGGCGAGGGACTGCGGGTGGGGGCGGGGGCGAGGGATGGCGGGTGGGGGCGAGGGACGGCGGGTGGGGGCGGGGCGAGGGACGGCGGGTGGGGCGAGGGACTGCGGGTGGGGGCGAGGGATGGCGGGTGGGGGCGAGGGATGGCGGGTGGGGGCGGGGGCGAGGGATGGCGGGTGGTGGCGAGGCGCAGGGTCTGCGGGACGGGGGCAGAGCGGCGGAAGGCCTGCCCGACGGTGGGGCGAGCGAGGCGGGGGACGTGAAGCAGCCGGAGCCCGCTGAGCGGAGGGAGCGAACAGGGCGGTGGGGGGTTAGGAGGTCGGAGAGTTAGGGGGGAGCAAGACCGTGGAGGGGTTTGAAGGTGAGGGCCAGGATCTTGAACTGTATCCTCTGTGTGACGGGAAGCGGTGGAGTCGGGTGAGGGTGGGGGTGACGGGGTGATGGAGCTGGTGCGGGAGAGGGCACGGGATGCAGAGTTCTGTGGAGGGAGGGCTCGGGGCTCGCAATGAGTTTGCAGTCGAGCCTGGATGTGATGAATGTGTGTAGGAGGGTCTCGGCGGTCTGCGGTGTGAGACAGTGGCGGTTCCAGGCGATGTTGTGGGGGTGGGGGAAGGCGGAGCAGGTCATGGCACAGATGTGGGGTGTGAAGGACAGTTGAAGGTCGAACAGGACACCCAGATTCGGTACTGGCTCCGTGAGGTGTAGAGTACACCCATGAAAATGCGAGAGGATGGATGATGCTCTCCTCCGGAGGCATCTGAAAAGTTTGCAGATATTGAACTTTTTCCGTCCTAGAACTGATGAATACGATTTAAAAAAAAACCCAAAAAACAGGTACCCGATAAAATCATATGGCTGGTTGAGTGAATAAAATTAGGTTTTCAGTCAGTCAGATACTAACACCAAGTTGGGAAAAGAAAGACATTTCCCAAGTTTTAATATTAAAAATGTTGGAGAAAAATAGTTAAGAGTAGGCAGAAAAGATTAGGATTAAGATTTATGTAGACTGAAAATAGGAATCAAGAAAATACGATGAGGAAAAAATTCACTGTTTGTAATAATAATTGCATTTAATGTAACGCCTTTGACTTCAAGAAATCTCAAAGCCCTCCACAAAAAACTCTGTGAAGTCTGCATATATGTGGATATACACATATTTCTGTATATTTATAAGCTAATGTGGCAGCCAATTTCCCCCTAACAATGCCCCACAAACAGTCATTAAATTGCATAGTTCTCATTCTTGAAAATCTTATGCGATCAAATCCTTAACTGTCCAGCATCTTGGGACGTTCTGCCAATGTGAAAGGTCCTGTATAAATGTACATTCATTTATTGTTGTTGTATTCCTTCGTTTAACTGATACAATGTAATGCATTTGCTTTGCAAATTTTACATTTCATACCACCCGGGCAAACACTTTAAACCAATCCCAATCTATAGAACAATTTTGTTTTTATAATTTAAGACTACGCAGAATTGTGGAAAATTCTTAAATAATCAATGTAGATCTTTTAAAAAGATTTTTAAGAAATAATATTTTTAAGAAGGTTCAGAACTGTATTTCTTTTTTTGGCCAATGGTTAAAACAGGTGGCACAGAAAAGGTGAGACCATTTGGTTTTAGTGGTCCACTTCTTTCCTATAGAGTTGAAGACAAAGTTTTAGGGGAAAATACAAGTATCATTAGTAGCAATGAAGTTAATGCACAATTATTTCAGACCAGCATATTAACTAAAAAAAGTAACCTTTCAAATTTATTTTACAGTATATACAAAACAAAAGACATTTGAAAGGATCATCATATCATTATTTTGGCTAATCAACACAAATCAAAATATTTTGTTCCCAATGACCACAAACAAATGAAAACATGGAAAATGTATAAAAGTAACAAGCCCATATGTGCAATTATGTTTATACTTTATACAAATATTAGGTACTGCAATTTGACTGAGGCAGCAAAAGAAACAAAAATCAAATACCAATAATGCTCTTGTGCTGAGTGTTTCCCACAAAAATAGTATCTACATGAGGTAGAAACACTTAACTAACTTTGTGTAAAGAAGCATACAACAGTTTAAGGAGAAATGTTTAAATAGGTATGCAAATTTGGCATAATGAGGCTTACATAGAAATATTTCAATGATAATCAAAATGGATGTTTCAAACAACCCCCCTCCCCCCATTAAAAAAAAGTAATTTTTACTATGGTTACAAAAGTACATCTTAAAATGTGCTAGTGAGTGATATAACATTGTGTTATATCAAAAATTGTGTATACACAGACATCTTGAAATGTTGAAATGCATCTTGATACCATAGTTTAAGCTTTTTACAGTGCTTTCATTCTCCATATACAAAAAACAATTGTATTTATTTTTGGAGTTTTACTAACACGGGTAGTATGATTTAATGACAGCAGCAAAAGGCTTCTGTTATTTATCTTATAGCAAATAAAATCCTGAATGATAAAATTGTGTCCAACCCAAATTTCTTGTTTAAAACATCGCATATAAAAGACAACAGCTACTAAAATGCAGCAGTTTTCTGCTATGTTTGAAAACAGGACAGTTAAATCCTAATGTTCACCACTTATCCACGTGAGTAAAATACATCACATTTATCAGTGTTATTGTGCAAACTTAATACCAGTGTATTTGCAACAAACTGTTAAAAACCACCAAGTATACAAATGAAGGCTTAGATTACAACCGATCAAGGTTATTCTAATTTATATCTGCATTACTAAATTACACATTAAGATACAACAGTGTTAGTCATACGAATATGTGGGCATACTGCTTATTTCTTGCTGCAAAATATATACTAATCTCAACTGAATAAAATAAGCCCAAATAATTTCTTAGATGCAGTACCCAAATTAAGTTTTGCATCATGCAAACCTTTACACAACTGTACAGTAAATATACCTACCTGTACATCGTATGCATTTCTATCTACATTAGAATAGTAGTGTGACTTCAACAATAAGTATGCACTCAAAAAATACTGCACATTTATGTACAGATTACATATGGTAAACCAAGCACTTGTGTAGCATTTTGAAATTAAGCGGATGTGGCACTTAAAATGTCATCCACATGTGTTTCATGCCACAATAAACATATGGACTGTACTGTGGCTTCTGAACAATCTCAAACATTCTTCAAACCAGAAGAAAGCAGTAGTGTATTTGCTAATTATGCAGTCTATGGTCACTTTCATGCAACCTTTGATAGCAATTAGTAGCTATTTTCATGGCCTGCCAGGATGTACAAGTTGCTGTTGGCTGTAGGGTTGTCTGTTGGCCTACTCTCCAGTACCACCACCCTACAAGACAAAAACAATTCTGTATTTAATAATAGTTTCATTTGATATAATACTTGCATTTAATATAGCAATGTATTATGTTGTTGAGGTGACTCTAAGCGCTTTTCAGGATTTTACTGTGAAATGTAGTGACTAATTGTAGGCAAATGCAGCAGCCAATTTGTACACAGCAATGCCCTGCAAACAGCAATGTTCCACAAATACCCATGCAGTGAATAGCCAATTTTATTTTGGGGACTGTTGGCTGTGATACCTGAAGAAGCTCCCTTCTCGTTTTGAATAGTGCCAGGGGATCTATAAAAGGCAGATGCAGCTTCAGTTGAATATCTCATCTGAAGGAAGATAACTCTAACAATGCAGTATTCCCCCTGCACTGCTGTATCAGCCTCAAATTCGAGTTCAAAGCTCTGACTTGGGGCTTGAATCCACAGCCTGTTGACTCAAGAGGTGAGATTGCTACCAACTGAGCCAAGCTGACACCAGCTAAATCAATAAGCCTGAGATTTGAACCCGCATCTGGTTTGTATGAAATAGTGCTCACTATGCAGTGTCTAACCGCTAAGCCTTTGGAGATAGTGCATTGTTCTATTGTGTCTATCGAACAGCAAAAGTGAGAATGTCAAACCTAATCTAATTTATGTGCCTTTAAGCCTTTATTGCTAGAGTAGAAGGAAAATCTGGCAATCAAGACCGCTAAAGAACGTCAATACAATATTCTCTCTCCAGGGAAAAAGTGTTTGGAATGGTTCAACAATAATCTTAAACTATGGTGTACATTTTACATAATGTTGTAACGGACTGCAAGGCAACACAAATAAATTACTTTTGAAACAATCTCTGTAACCATTGGCTGCGTTCTCCACTACCACTCCCTGGGCTGCTGAGATGAAATCCACTCTTTCATCACGTCTAGGCTTGACTGCACTAACACTCTGCTGGCCACACTCCCCAGGTTCAAGACTATCCAGAATTCTGCAGCTTGTGTCCTCTCACGCACTAAGCTCTGCAAGCTTATTATCCCTCATGCTTGCTGAGCTCCATTGGCTCTCCCATCCCCCGTAGATTGAATTCAAGATCCTCTCACCTTGGAAATCCGTCCACAGTCTTGCTCCACCCTACTTCCGCCACCTCTCAAACCTACCGACCCAGCCGCTCAGCAAACACCAACCTACTGCATGTTCCAAACACCATCTGCCCCATCATCAGTGGGCAGCCATTCAGCCATTTTGCTCCAGCACTCTGGAACTCCATCATAGAGTCCCTCTGACTCTTTCTCTCGCTTCCCTCGTTTCAAGGCTGGTCTCAAGATATACCTCTTTGACCGTGCTTTCAATCATCTTTCCTTTCTCTACCTTCTTCGGCTCCCACCGCAGCTTGGTTGCCCAGCCGGCATGTCAAAAGCGCGATATAAATTGTATTGTACTTAACTTTTTTGACATTATTCAGTCACAAGTAGCCCTCAAAATAGCTTTGCAAGTTCAATAGAATTATGATCGTACAACATCAAGGTCTACTCACCTGTCAGAGCCTAAAAGTCTGAAGATTCTTGAATTATCGCAAATTTCTTGCGTAATCTGAATAGGTTTCAATAACACATTCATGGTTAATAATTTTACTCCTTCATTGAGCTTCACAAAAATGTTTGCATATAATATTTAATTATATTGTTCATTAAAAGAAACTTCTATTTCAGCCCAAAAGGATAAATTTGTTCTCAGATGAAATATGGGACAAATTACAAGTGCTTTGCACTGGAAAACATCATGATCCAAGGTGATCCAGTTAAAGGGCAAGTGCTATTATCTTTACTATAAGCATTATTTCAATGCTTACCATACAAAGAAGCTAATAGAAATTTATTGGATGATTCACTATTTGCAATGCTGGTAATTAGTTATCCACAAAATTAAAATACTCCATTTCAGGTTCGTAATGCCACATTCCATCAAAATATTAACACAATAATAATAATAATATACAATAAGTCGAAGATAAAATCTATTACATTATGTTAATTTACCTCATTGGACTTAAAACTTCTTCCCTGCATTCCATGTTTCCAGAAAGCAAGCACACTGTCTTGTAAACAAACTAAAGAGAAAAAACAAAAAATGTAAATTTGTCTCAATGCAGTCAGATGACAGGATCAATTACTTAAATAAGCTCAAATAATAACTCCAAAAAATTTTGGTTTTAAAAGACAATACAATGCATTTAGAATGCACAATGAATGGTAAGCAGTGTTTTATGGAAAATCAAAATATGCGGCTTTTGCTAAACCATTTATGTGATGTGACCATGAAAATATCAAATTATAGTTCAATTTCCACATAAATAAAAGGAGTTAGTTATCCAGAGATACGGTTGACAGTTAAATATTGATGCAAGGTTATTATCCATGGTGATTGAAAGGCTTAGACCTTCATCAAGAAGCGTGAGGGGTTTCCACTGATAAATAGGTTCTCATTCGTGGGTTGGAATGCAGTATAATAATTATCCTTAAATTTGGTTAGTGCCTTTCACGTTAAGAGGACGTCCTAGAGGGCTTCACAGGATGTACTATAAAGTACAGTAATTATTTTTTGTGGGCAAACGGATAACCAATTTGCGAACAGCAAGTTGAAAGGTATAACCCCTCGTATGTTAGTGAGCCTGTTCATTTTTTTCTTATGGACAACTTATTATATAACATTCCTCCATTTTATTTAGCACTTTTCTCTTCACGAGGATGTCTCAAATGCTTCACAGGAGCTATTGTATTTTAGTGTAGTGACTATTTTGAAGGCAAATGTGACAGCCAGAGTTCTGTTTAATTGCATTATGAATTTAAATGACAAATTTGTTTCGACGGGTATGCAACCTTTGTACTACTCCCAACGAAAAATTCCTGATACCTATTAAAGGAAATGCATCTTATAATAGTGATCCATTGTTAAGTGTTTTATTAATTTGTTAATTGTTAATTCCCGAGGAATTCCCTTCCTCACTCCCTTCGCCTCGCCCCCTCTCTTCCTATTTTCAGGTCCCTGCTGAAGACCTTTCTTTTCGACCGCGCCTTTGGTCATCTTCCTCCCCCTCCCCCTGGCTCGGCCCCTGGCTACTGTAAGAGCTCTGCGACGCCGTCCGTCGTGGAGGGCGCTATATAAATCTAAGTTGTTGTTGTTTGTTTTCTGTATTTGTAAATGAAATAAAATCAGTTTAAAAACAAATAACTACAAACGAAAACACAGACTTACCTATTGATTCAATTTGAAAACTGAATGTTAGCTCTGATGACAATTTTCTGCTCGATTTCAATCGCCCTTGAAGATTTACTATTTTTAAACATCCTGAAGTGTAGAAAGAATAGTATGTTAAAGCAGGTAGTTTATTATTCCGATATGTAGGTTATTTTGTTTCAATGGGGATTTATTTAATAAAGATCTATTAATAAAAGATACTTTGTTGAAGAGCCCAAGTTACAAGCAAAATGAAACCACCTGTGTCATGAAAACAAATCTACTTGTAAAAAAGGTGATACTTTTCTTAGTTAAAATGCAGGCTAATTGTATTATAATGCAGTGATCTGTGTCTAGTATCTGACACCCCAATTAAAATGAAGCCCAAAAAAGTGGCAGCTTCTAGGTCATCAGATCGCTACAGACCCAATGTCTTTGACAACTCAGAAGGTGACCATATTTTTGTCAACCCTGGAAACTGAATGTGCAGAGTTTCTTGTCTACAGTAGACCCTAAAAATGAACCTGACTCAACCAATGCACATTCTAACATAGTTCCCCCATTTATACGTAAATGTATTAAACATGTAACAAAGATATGTACTTTTGACCAAAATGGGGTTGAAAAAGTACAGGAAAAAAATCTCATGATGTAAAACATGGTTCCTGCTGCCTATAATGGCAACCTGCATAGACTTTGTACCATGTGGCGCATTGGAACAGAATTCTTGGTGCAAGTCAGAGCAACGTAGGTGGGAATTACTGCAGGAAATGCATTTTCTAAACAATCATTTTTTTTTTTAAACACTTTTTGAATCTCAATACTCAATTTTTTAATTATACACATTACTATTCTGTACATAGATACCCACGATAGTAGCAAGCCAAGAGGAAATGTCCATAAAAAAATCTAAATGTTCAGAGAAAGACATTCAGGATTTCATCTGCTCTCATAGAACATGAGACCATTACAAGAAGACAGCAGTAAGTATATTTCTACGATTGTTTCTTCATTCAGAGTAAAAATGTAAGAAAATATAAGATGAGCAGGGTAGTCGAGTGCTAATATAATAATCATCATTTAAAATCCTGTAAAGCACTGAATGTAGCACTTGAAATACCAAATTTGCTTTTAAAGGACAGCAGCCATCCACCCATCTTAATTTACTTGAAAAATTTAACTAACTGATCTCAGAATCTTTGTGCCACCTGTCAATAAAGTAAAGTTTTCTCTGTCTTCTAATTTCAGGTCCATGCCTGGTGACCTGATTATAACTGTGAGCAAGGATAATGAGGAGCTATACTGAGGTCCTGGGCACCTTTTCAGGTGGATGTTAAAGACCCGTTAGTTCCATTCAAAAAGAGAAATGAGTTTCTTCTGATGTCCTAGCCAACAATCCCCCAAATAAAATTGGACATTCACTTCATGGCACTGTTGCTGGGATATACGATTGTATATTTCACCCACAAAATATATAGTCAATTCACTTTACAGTATATTTTGTGAAGAGCTTTGAGATGTCTCAAAGACATAAGGCACTGTATCAAAGACAAGTATTATTATTATAATATGTATCTGTGGGCAAATGAGCTGGTGCATGCGCCTACAAATACACAATCACCTTACAGTGAAGCATTTTGAGATGTTCTCCTGACGTGAAAGGCGCAATACCAAATGTCAGAATTGTTGATCATATCGGGGCCTTAATTTAAGATAATGGAACATTTGTCTCCTTTCATTTGACAAGAGTCTACTCACCATCTTAAGACAGACAAATTAACTAGTCAAAATGAAAATAAATTGATAGATTTTGTGTCCCTGTAGCAAGTAACACCTACAAGTAGTTATTTGTTAAAATAAAAATCGTATTGCAAAAGGGATTAAGGGATATGGGGATAAGGCAGGGTCAGGTTATTAGCTGGAGTTAGATTAGAAGATCAGCCATGATTGAATGGCGGGGCAAGCTCGAAGGGCCGAATGGCCTACTCCTGCTCCTACATGTTATGTATTTCCTTTGCTCACCTGCTCTCTTTTTTAACAATATTTTATGCAAATATATAACTTACATTTTAAAAAACTATTAACATTTGAGAGATGAACAGTATGTAGTTTCCTCTTGTGGTACTTGTTTAAACTATAAAATTAAAATTTGTTTTGGAAACTTACGATCCATACAGACGAGTATTGTGTCTCTCTCAAGCTGGGTCACATGGATGACATTTGCCTGTGGAATATCTGTAAAACAAATATTACCAAACATATTTTCTTTATTTTGTTTCTTATGAAACACACCCACAAGATAGTGAAGCCTTTTTGAGTAACCAGTCTTTTCTGGGAAATATTAAGATTTAATTTGTAGTAATTCTTAACAGATTCCATAAAAAGGAAATTAGAAATACTTTAACCTGCGGGAACTCCATTCTATGTGATCTACTTTCAGAATGGAATTCCCATGGGTCGGTATTACTTGGGGTAATTGGAAGGAGTCCTTACTAAGATTTCAAAGAATTTTGGTAGATTTGATGTTTACAAGACCGCATTAACTGTAAAAACATTACTGAACAATATCACAATGAAGTAGAAACAGAACACCTAACAGTAGTGCTAAGTCTATAACTCAAAAAATGGTAAATATTGTATGAAATGGATGAACATGTCCAGGTGTCAGCCGAGCTCAGGTTGCAGCAGTCTTGCCTCTGAATCATAGGAATCTGAGGCAGTACATGAGGCTAGATTTAAAAAATGGTTAACAACAATAAATTAACATTTACATTGTGCTTTTCACATCAGGAGGATGCCCCAAGGCACTGGATAGTCCAGGGTTTGCTCCCGAGCTGGGGGTGGTAGTTGAGGGTGGTGGAGGGGCCGGGGGGGGGAAGACGACCAAAGACGCAGTACAAATGAGAAGGCATTAAGATGGAACTTAAAGGAGACAAAAGGGGCAATTTGTGGGAACTCTGAGATGGAGTTGCAGCGAGTGGGGGTAGGGAGGCTGAAAGCATAACTGCTGATGGTAGGATGGGGACAAAGCATGCCAGTGCCTGCTCAACAGAGCTACTGGGTTTGTATAGCAACAACAAATTCAATTTGTGTGGCACCTTTCACGTCAGGTCTTGGACAGTCAGGGATCCGCACCCGAGCTAGTGGTTGTGATCAGGAGGGGTGGAGATAGAGTGGGGAGGGTAGGGATTGGAGGGTGACCAAAGGCACAGCTGAAAAGGAAGGTCTTGAGATGGATCTTGAAGAAGGCAAGGATGGGGGCGAGATGGAGGGGCTGTGGAACGGAGCTCCAAGCAGTGGGGGCAGAGTGGCTGAAGGCGGGGAACAGAGCTGGCAAGGCGGGAAATGTGAAGCAGGTTGGAGTCCGCTGAACGAAGGGAGCGGACAGGTTGGTAGGGGGTTAGGAGGTCGGACAGGAAGGGAGGAGCAAGGCCATGGAGGGCTTTGAAGGTGAGGACCAGGATCTTGAACTTTATCCTCTGTGTGATGGGAAACCAGTGGAGCCGGGCGAAGATAGGGGTGATATAGTAGCGGAGCCTGGTGCGGGAGAGGACTTGGGCTGCAGAGTTCTGGATGATCTGCAGCCTGTGGAGGGAGGAGTTAGGGTGTTTGCGTAGTCGAGCTGGATGTGACGAATGCATGGATGCGGGTCTCGGCGGCCTGCACTAAGAGACAGTGGCAGAGCTAGGCAATGTTGCAAAGGTGGTGTACAGTTTGAGAAGATCGCAGAGGTAGAGTGCGGAAAGACCGTGGAGGGATTTAGAGGTTAGAAAGATTATCTTGAACGCAATTGTTTGGGGGATGGGGAGTCAGTGGAGCCAAGCAAGGATGGGGGCGAAAGGCTCACAGTTTAGTGTGGGAAGGACATGAGCTGAAGAGTTCTGGATAGTCTGCAGCTTGTGAAGAGCTGGGCAGTCTGGTGAGCAAAGAGGTGGCATAGTCTAGTCTGTACTTGATGAATTTGGGTCTCAGCAGCCTGAGGGGAGAGATAGTGGCAGAGGTGGGGGAAACCTGTGTGGGTTAATGCATAGATGTGAGGTTTAAAGAAAAGTTGGGAGTCAAACCAAACACTGCGGTTCCACACTTGCTCTGCAAGGTGAAATGTGCATCCATATAGGTTGATGCTGTTAGCATCTTGAGGTGAGAAAATACTGATGGGAGCCTACTAGGAGAGCCTCTAACTTGTTAAGTTTCATTTCTGTATGTCCTCCCAATCTGGAAGGCACTATATAAATGTAAATTTGTATAGGCAATCGGTCAGAACAACAGTGGTCCTGGAATCAAGGGTGGAGGTTAAAAAAGGAAAGACAATATTCATGATAAAAAAGAGAAAGAGTAATGCTTGACCTTAATTGTTTTTCATCTACCTAAACGACCTGGCTACATAGACCAACTGGAACCTGGTGAAATTTACTTATGATAAAAAATAGGCTGAGATAAAATGAATGGTACTGAATTAGAGCAGCAACTCAGGAATCTGGGGGGAGGCAAATAAAGTTAATTTTCTTTTTGTGAACAGATTCTGTCCCCTTGCTAATTTGAGATTTCCATTTTTTAATAACTACAATGTTTTTGGTTGTTCCGAGATCTGTGTTTTTTAAAAAAAAACATCCTGTTAACTGTTTCACTATCATCTGTGAATCAATGATTTTCATGACAGTTGAGGATATTTAGCTAGAACAGCAGAAAAAGTTCACAGACAGAGCATGACCTTTGAAGAGACATTAGATCCTCAGGTTTACAATCTAGTGAGAAGGGCATCATCATTGAAGAATATAAAATACTTAATGTATTACTTCAAATACAATAGGGTCAGAGGACTTAAATGTGCAGTATAACCAGTCTGTGTTCATCAAATGTGACGTATAACCAGGGTCTCAGCAGAAACTGAGTAAAGAAAATGCACATTTAATAATTTTTCATTTTTGTGTTAAGAGAGCTCAACAGTGCATTGATGATACATTTGTTCAACGGTAGCAATCATTGTGTCAAATCAATGCAGGATAATGGATCATGTCAAGACTGCATCAACTTTTACTGAATACAACTGGTCAATAAATGCATTAGAATGTGTCGGACCATGAGCCAGAGCGCAGACGACTTTTATTAGCATACACAACAGAAGACGGTTACAAATATATTTTTGATGTCTTTGGTGCTAGCATTCTAAACAAACTGAAAAAGATAAAGATTGAAATATCCAGATTAACATCTAGATTAACTGTGAGGGATGTAAATAAACAGCAGAGAAAAGGGTTCAGCTGGAATAAGTGGCGAAGTCACTTTGGGGACTATCTATGGGGAAGAAGTCAGTCAGAGGACTAAACCTCTCTATAATGCATCTGGCAGAAGCTATGCCTTCGGCCCGCTGTTGGCTGGGATTGGTATTGCAGTACCTCCGGTCTGAGGAGTTTGTTCGCCTCACAAAGAGGAAGCGGAGACACTGAAATATGGAACTAGCTTGAGCAGTTGGTCATTTGGCACAGGCCAGGCTTGCCCAGCCAGAGAGGCGATGAAGTCACCTGTCTTTGGCCACCTTCCTCCACCTCCCCCTGGCTCATCCCTGGGATCCGTTACTATGAAGCGCTCTGAGATGCTGTCCGGCGTGGAGGGGGCTATATAAATCCAACTTGTTATTGTTGTTGTCTTCTTTGAATGGCTGTGAAGACAGGTATCAGGCCTGCATCGTGCTTTGACAAATTGGAGCCCAGAGAATTGGGGGCGTGGGGTTCGACCTAAGCATTGCAGGGACAATCCTTGTTCCCTTGGGAAATGCATTTCAGTTAAATTTAGCTTACCTCGCTCACCAACAAAAAGCTCTTTTAAACAAAAGCTGCTTAGAACATTCTCAACGAGTTTGGGGAATTATCTGAGCTGCTGGGTGGAATCTTAAAATGTTTTTCACAAAACAGACAAAACATTCCTCATGGTGGAACAATATTACTAATTTCCAGTTCAATTAAAACAGTGTAAAAGAAAAATATTTACCATTAATAATATTTGCATTTGATATAGCTCCTTATCACGTCTTCAAGACGTCTCAAAGCACTTCACAGAATATATTGTAAAGTGTAGCAACTGTTTACTTGGTGTGCGAAATGCGGCAGCCAATTGCACACAGCAGTGTCCCACAAACAGTCGTTGATTGAGTGACAACATTTTTATTATTTTCTAATTTATTTTTCTTTGAAGGGATAACCTCACTGAGTACACTTATTGCTCAGAATTTGTAAAGCTGCATACAACTATGTATAAACTAATCAAGTCCAGTTCTATAATAATAATAAGAATATGGAGTTAGACTAAAAATAACCCACTCTTCTGGAGAAGGAAAATCACCTTATGTCTCTGGGGGAGAAAAATGTTGAATAGCACAAAACATAATCCGCAGTGTTAGAAACTGAACAAAACTAATTGTTGTCATCAAGCGAAGTTCATTTCACTTTTTAAATCACAATTAATGGATACATTCTGTACACAGAAGATTATACCTGTTACTTTTCTCATTCACGTTAATCTGGGAGAAGTACAGTAGTAGCATACCTGTTTCAGTAAACCAAGATGAAGTAGAATTTGGGTTTACAGTCTCAAACCGTACCACCTGATTAAATTCTGTTCCTTTACTGACAGCAACACATAAAAGTGGGTACTCCTGTTCTGGAACCACCAGCATTTCAAAGACTTTCAATGGATTTGGCAGAGGAAAGTCAATGTGCTAGAGTAAGAATAAAGATTTTATACTTAGATTAAATTTTTGCACAAAATATAATCAACTGAAACCTTAACAAATGTACCTGTATTTTCTGAGTCCTGGCGAAGCAGACAGCAGAAGCTAATATTTTCAATGTGTATATATAAAATAATCCATATATTTAAATTAAATATGTAATTATACTCTACAATATATTATCAGCTAAATAAACCATGTCAGATGAAGTGATTTCACTAGACTAATAGATTGAGAAATGAAAACCCATTAACATATGAATACAGCCTCTAGAAGCTGCACTCCTCTGCTAAATGGGTACTGACCCACAATTTATTGGACAAAGTCAAACTGAATGACAGATGAAATGGGCTCTCTGAGCAACAAACTATAAACTCATCAAATGAATATTATAATAAAGAAAGGGTCTCCTTACCCTCATTTTTGTACATTTGTGGAGGTCTGCCTTTTCTGCTGCATCTAGTGGCTGTATTCAAATGTAAATAGGTTTTGGTTTACTGATTACTTACACATTGACTTCATCAACAGATTAAGTTTATCTACTAAACTGACTAAATTATCAATGGGGAAATGTTAGCTCAAAAGAGCATTCAAAATGCATTGATATCACTTGGTCAGATTACATCTCAATGTTACACATAATTCAAACTGCTCGGATGTGCCGATACATATAATTACATAAGGCAACAAACATAAATTAGCAAACTTGTATTGTTTGATAATGTCCCTTTCAACGCCTAGATTAGATAGAACAAAGTCAGTCAGTTGGGTGTTAAAATAGAAGCATTCTTCACATATTTAGAAATAAAAAACTCCTGACCAAGTTAGGCTTTTTTTTTAATTGGTTTATTCATTTCCACATACCAGTTCTTAAAAGGAGGTGAGTTTACCTCTAAAAATATGCTCCAAAATGTTTTGCAATGAATAAATGTCCAATTGTTAAAATGCTTTCCATATAACTCAGCCACTGAGACTTTGGGCCCAGCCAACCACTATATAATGAAGCTTCCTTGTATGTCATGCATTATCTGTTCAATTTTCATTTGTATTTTAATAGAAAGCTCTGTTGGTGCTGATCCAAGAAGGAAGAACTGCTCAACTAGAATATATTAACTAAGTATTAATCTACATATTCCAAAGAACTGCTTGAGGATCACTTTATGCTTGGACTTGACCAGAGAGAACATATGGTGTGACAGACAAAGGAAATTACAGGTGAGTAACAACAACAACAACAACAAGATTCCATTTATAAAGCGCCTTTCACGTCAGGAGGACGTCCCAAGGCGCTGCACAGTTGGGTCATGACCCGAGCAGGGGGGAAATGGTCAGGGGAGGGGAGAGAGCGAGGAGGGGGGAAATGGTCAGGGTGAAGGGAGGGAGCAAGGAGGGGGAAATGGTCAGGGTGAGGGGAGGGAAGGGAGAGAGCGAGGAGGGGGAAGAGAGTCGAGAGGGGAGCTGAAGGCTCGGTCAAAGAGAAAGGTCTTGAGACCGGCCTTGAAGGAGGAAAGGGAGGAGGCGGCGAAGGCACTGGGGGATGGAGTTCCAGAGCCTGGGGGCTGAGAGGCTGAAGGCCCGACCACCGATGGTAGGGCGGTTGGGGCGGGGGACGTGGAGCAGACCAGAGCCAGAGGAACGGAGGGTACGGGCAGGTAGGTAGGGGGATAGTAGGTTGGAGAGGTAGGAGGGAGCAAGGCCGTGAATGGCCTTGTAGGTGAGGATGAGGATCTTGAAATCAATCCTCTGGGGGATGGGGAGCCAGTGGAGGCGAGCGAGGGTGGGAGTGATGTGGTCCCGAAGCCTGGTGTGGGACAGTACACGAGCTGCAGAGTTCTGAATGACCTGCAGCTTGTGGAGGGAGGTGCCGGGAAGGCCGGCGAGGAGAGAGTTCCCATAGTCCAGCCTTGAGGTGACAAAGGCGTGAACCAGGGTTTCAGCAGCGTGAGGGGTGAGGTAATGCCGTAGTCTGGCGATGTTCCGGAGGTGATGGAAGGCGGTGCCAGTTGTGGTGCGGATGTGAGGGAGAAAGGACAGCTCAGGGTCGAACAAAACGCCGACAAAACACACCTAAATTATCATTAAGATGTATTTCAGAATCAGTTCAATTTAAATGAATTGAGAATGAAAGTTGGAAATTGGAAATTCCTTTCCTCTATCTAACGTTTAAAATGGCTACTTGTCGGAAACCATAGCAGATCATAAATCATTAATTATCCGGTACAATGTACAGTCAACACTGCGGACAAACCCTGCGTTCAGTCCTGACAAGCCAATTACCAGTCTGCTAAACAATAGTAATTTTTCGGATAGTCAGATCACAGATTACATCATCTCCTCTACACTAATTAGTTTGTGAAGGAACAAACTTCAGCAGTGCACATATTCACAGGAAGTAACAACAGCAACATAAGGACCCAGAAAATTTTGGCATCTCACTTATAACTCAGCCACTGAGACTTTGGGCCCAGCCAACCACTATATAATGAGGTTTCTCTGTATGTCGTGCATCATCTGTTCAATTTTCATTTGTATTTTACAAGAAAAAGCAAACTCATATTATGCCACTTTGATGGAACGTCACATAGTTGCATAGTTTAACTTACTTTGATCAACATAAACTTCTGCATTTGTTCAACCCATTCTAACAACACGATGCTGGACTGCAAAGCACCACATAGGTATTTGTGTCCGGTGTAAGGATTCCTTACTGTAATAAAAAAAAATCAACTTATATTCTTAATCGCTATGCAATCTGGTGTTGGGTTATGAGTTTAAAGTTCCAATGTGGAGTTTGAACCCACAATTTCTGACTCAGTATTTCCAACTGAGCAGGCTGACACACTGATGTAAAGTCTCTTGAAATGCTGTTTTGTTTGACATTTGCAATCATACATTCTCCAATAACATTTAGTGGCCATAATCGGGACAGCAATTGAATACAACTCAAAATGTGAAACTGCTTGGCTTATGAAGTGATCCAAATCTTTTAATTATATTACAATCTTGTAATACATACAAGAACATGATTTTCATGTAGAAAAATCTCTAAATTGCACTGACGATTTGAGCCTTATGGTCATTATTGCTAGTTGTAATTACAGAAAAAGCAGAAAAAGATCCAGAGGGCCCTTCAAATCCACTCAGTCATGTGGAAGCCAGATTTCATTTTAAATCCTGAACAACTTTTCTTATTTTCATTTTATACAAAATGGGAAAAAATTAAGGTGAATTTATATTATAAATATTTCACCATTTCAAGCTACTAAACACATCCACTCCAGCATAGCAATTATTATGTATTTTCAAGCCCTTAGTTAAAATTATGCTGTTCAGTCATTGACAGCTCATCATCTGGAACCATTCTCTTAGCAGGGAAGAGAAATAGGTGAATCAAAATAAAAAGGTCACCCCCAGATATCTAACAGAACATTGATAGGAATTAAGAACATAAAATATCTCGGCGTTGGGATGACAGTGATGTGCCGCCCAAGTTCCATGTAATACTATTTAGAAAGTCATCTCAAACCCTTGATGTTTTATTGCTTTCCATCATTTATTCTGCATTTAAGAATATATCATTAGCATTAAAACAAAATATTTAAGAAATTAACAGCAGTTTCTTACCAACACAACATTTTTGGCAGCCTTTTGTATCTGGAATTTTGGTGGATACTGCAAATTTTCTGCAAAATAAGTTGATATGTTTAGTTCTCAATGTGTAGAATCTATGAAAACATGACTTCTCATGTTAGTTACAAGCGATTGCAGTTAGTCAGGGGATGCTCCATTTGCCAACAAATATACACTTAGCAATTACATTTGAGGGAAATTGAGATTTTCAACACGATATGAAATTAAAATATTTGATACTAATATTAGGTTTGAACAACCAGAAGCCAACATTGGTAGAACATAAACTATAATACTTTTTTCCCCAATTACCAACATCAACATAAAAACATGTAATAATTTTGAAAGAATTGTGAGTTTAAGAGCTTTCACATTAAGGCTTCCTTTGTTTGGACGTGTTGAGCATTTTATTATAGAATATTAAAACTTTGCTCTCATTTTCGTTGTGTACTCAGGTAAGTAACATACTCTCCTGCATCTGCCAGTGCTGCCATGGAGCCAGTTAGAGCAACCCTTATTATTTCCCTCTTTTGCTACAGTGAAGAGTCTGATCTCCAGTTGGTGATAGCAATGGAGTTATAATGGAGCCTCATAACAGTAGTGGTTTTAGTGGCGATCCATAAAATCCCAACCCATGCAATAATAAGGTATGATAACCAGCTTCCTTTGTGCTGTCCAGTTCTTAAGCTTTAAAAAAGGCTGAGCTTGTGTGGTCATCAGGACACCACAAAGTCACTTTGGTGTTTGTTGTGCATGTGTAGTGAACGGGGTTCATACTGCAACTGCATTACAACTGAGTGTGTGCTATAAAGCAGCTTTAAACCAAGATTGCACTGTATTGTGAATTTGCCTTGTGGTAACTAGATGCTAAAACATTTTCACACTTAATTTTCCTTATTTTTTCTGTTTACTTTTACCTAGTTTCTAATAATAATAATAGAAATGATTACTTTGTAGTTGTAACTTATAATATTGATAACAAATAAAAATGAATCTCCATTTACCTAGGTAGTATTCGGTCTGGAAGCTTGTGTGCAGGAATAGCGACAGGCAATTTTTGCATTTGTCTAGCGTACTCAAAAAGGCCCAACAAATTATGAGAATATAGTTGGGAAGCTTTTCCTAAAAACAGGAATACATATTAGGTAATTAACCACTTCAAGACCAAGAAATGTTATCTACACTTACACGTTTTGAGGGATTCTTGATAATTTTTTATATATATATACTTGGATGAATGAAAGAGGGAAAGGAAGGTTGCACAAGCACAAAGAAAATCACAGTTGGAGAGACTGGAGTTACTGCAGTGTAATAGTACACAGAGCAGTTCTTTTAGATGAGGTAAAATTTAACAGCAAGCCAAGAAAGCTTAGAATTTCTGTGACATCTAAATATACATGCAAGCCCACAAATTCAGAAATAGGCAACACAAACCAAAAATCTCTTAAAGGGAACTAAATTCCTTTCACTATGTGATATGAATAAAGTCCATATTTTATTCAGAAAGCTTTGCAAAGGTATTTCACTTGTACAGTGGGATACAACTACAAGCAATTCAAGCAATGCATCTCGTGAAAGTTTATGTATGCACAGAGTATATGCAATATATAAAAACACCCCTTCAAGTACGAATACCTCAATCTTCAAGCTAAATTTCACTAACTAGGAGCTTTGTGAAGCAGTATATAGACAACTATATACCATCAAAACATCCTCATACATTTGAAACACAAAACACTTTAAAGTGAGTTATTGAATTTATGATACACTAAAATGAGATAAGAAACATACCAGATATTGACAGTAATGCATTGTTCATTACATACAACCACGAGCATCTTCTTGGGATGAGCTTCAACAAAAATACAGAACAATCTGAGATGTGAAACAATTTCAGCATTACCAGCAACTTCAGGTAACATTTCACCAAGTAAAATTGCACATTATATTAAATTTTTTCAATAAAACAAATATATTTCAGTTCAAATATTTAATGATTCTCAAATAAGATTGTATTCTAACATCCTCCCAGCAATGTCTTGGGACTCCTCCTGATGTGAAGGGCACTATATAAATGTAATTTGTTGTTGTAGAAAGAGGCTCTCTCGATTGGTTTCAGCAATACAATAAATGTCATATGCTGACTGACGTTCACAACAACTTGCATTTATACAGCGCCCCTCACCCAGGGTAGCGTCCAGAGTGCTTGACAGTGGCAGAGCACAAGGCTGATCCAGGGGGAGGTGACTGTGGCCATGGTCGAAGAGGAATGAATTCAGGCACAACCTGAAGGTGAGGAAGGAAGGGGCAAGGTGGAGGGATAGAGGAAGAGTGCTCAAGAGCTTCGGAGGGTAGTGGATGAAAGCGTACATGCCAATGGTGGAACGGAGGGCACGAGAGATATGCAGAAGGCCGGAGCCAGTCGAGTGGATGCAGCAGGTTGTGGGTTACGCAAGTCGGAGAGGTGCCAAAGTACGAAGGGATTTGAAAACTCGTGTGAGCATGTTGAAATCGATCCGTTCGGCGATAGGGAGCCAATGGAACGTAGCTAGAATTGGTGTGATGGGGGTATGGAGATTAGTACAGGTGAGTGGATGGTGAAGAATAGTGCCTTTGGGTGTTTAGCCGTTTAATTCCTCAGTTAATGTAACAAACAGACTAATTACCTGCTCCATTGACGTTTCGTGTAATTCATTAAGGTTCAGAGTATAAATACCTTCTTCGGCACCAAATATGAGATACTGATCTACAAAAATCAAACAAGATTAAAAAATTGATGAGCAGGAATCAAGAATCCAATTGTTGAATACTTTGGGACGAAAATGACAAGTACCTCTTGTGTCTGGATTAATCCATGTTGCGGCACAATTAATTTTTAAAGGACAACCGTTGAAAACCTTAGAGAAACAAGCACCCATCTGAAAAAGATTTGAATAGAAAGTTTATTGTAACTTGAACTGATGTGACTGTGGTGGTTATTTTCTGCATGGAGCGGTGTCTGATTCCTATACTGTAGTACATTCTTTAAAACATCCAGGAACTAAAATGTCTCATATCTTAGCATTAAGAACACGGTCTTAAAATTTAAGACAGCAGAATTTTAGAATTTTTTCTCCTTTTTTAAAAAAAATACAAAACTAGCCTCCAAATTAAGACTGAATTAATTTTTCATCCCCAAATTCTGCACTATTTTAAATTTTAAGCCTGACCTTAAAGTTAACACTGAGAATTTTCAGGCCTTGTAAGTAATGAGGGCACCTCCCAACTCAGTGCATCATAAATTCATTTTTCATATTCACTGTTATATTTCAAATCACAAGAACAATGCTAGAGAAATAGGTGGGTTTCTGAAATGACAACCACACAAAAGTTTGATTTATGCAATTAGTACACAACCTCCTCGGGAAACAATACAGGAAATAGGATTAAAAAAACTGCAGCCACAACAAAGTGTTCATTGCAATTAGTGTCATTTAATTCTCACCCAGCATGCCAGTGACCGTGTGTCACATCAAATTATTGGTTAATAAAGTTAAATGGTCTAGTTTTGTATTTGGTTTTCCTACAATACCTATTTCCAGGTTTTACCTGTTTTGTCTGCAAATTTATTTCAAAATGTGGTATTACCACCTAGAAAAAGGAACAAAATAATAATAGTATTTAATTCACCCATGATGCAAGTCAGATTTTGTATTTGATTTTAGGTTAGGCTTTATTTTTAATGTGCACATCAGCATACTATCACCTCTTGAGCTATACCCTAAGTAAATTGCCTCCAGAATCATTGACAAGGCCACAAATGGATGAAATAAATGGTGTTTTGAATAAACTGGACGTATTTCGAAGATATCAAAATTAAACCTTCGTGGAATCAATGTTGGAAATATCTATGGCTGATACAAATAAACTCTGAAATAACATTTTTAACACAAATCTATCAAAAAAAACATTGATGCTAACTAAAATCAAATTCGACCAGAACACTGAACGAAAGTGTCAAATTACTACATTTATTTTTGTTGAATGAGGTTTTCTTTCCTTGCATATTGTCCATGCAATAAGGTTGCCTATGTTTGAAGATGCATTATATATAGGACAAACAACTTTGTATGAGAAATAAGCACTTCAGAGCAAAGCCTTTCCCAACTGCAGTTGTTAAATGCACTATGAGGTGTTGTAATAAATCATGTACATCAAGGAGGTAGAAGACTATTTGTGCTGAGTTAGCTGAGTTTGGGTGAAGCGGTGGTGAGGGCTCAATCTGGTTAGAGTGGGTAAATAATCAGTCAGTGTTGGTTGTTCTTGATCAACAACAAATTGCATTTGTACAGCACTATTCATGGCGGGAGGATGTCCTAAGACAGAGAATAGGGGTAAAGGGTAGCTACTCAAGACTGGCAGGGGTATTCTACAAGGATTGGTTTTGGGACCACTGTTGTTCACAATATACATTAATGATTTGGATTCGGGAAACAGCAGTGCAATTTAAAAATTTGCGGACAACACCAAATTGGGGGGAGTAGTTAATACAGAGGAGGACTGCAACAAATTACAGCAAAACATTAATAAACTTGCTGAATGGGCATTTAAATAGCAAATGCATTTCAATGTAGAAAAGTGTGAGATGGTACATTTTGTTAGAAGGAATAAGGAAGTCACATACATCCTGAAAAATAAAAACCTGAACGGGGTAGAGGAGCAAAAGGATCTGGGGGTACACATACACAATTCACTAAAAGTAGCAACGCAGGTTAATAAGGTCATAAAAAGCAAACCAGGCATTGGGATTCATTTCTAAAGGGATAGTAATGAAAAGCAGGGAAGTTATGGTAAACTTTTATAGAACAATGGTTAGACCACAGTTAGAATACTGTGTGCAGTTCTGGTCCTCACATTATAGAAGGGACGTAGAGGCACTGGAGAAGATTCACAAGGAAGATCCCAGAACTGAGAGGTTATACCTATCAGGAAAGGCTGAACATGCTTGGACTCTTTTCTCTTGAAAAGAGGAGGGCAAGGGCTGACCTGATAGAGGTAAAAGTATGAAAGGTTTTAATAGGGTAGACACAGGGAAGATGTTTCCACTTGTGGGGGAGACCAAAACCAGGGATGTCCAAACCAATATAAAATAGTCACAAATAGAGAAATTAGAAGACATTTCCTCATACAGAGACTAGTGGGAATGAGGAACATGCTACCACAAGGAGTTGTTGAGGCAAATAGCATACATGTATTTGTAAGGGAAAGCTAGATAGGTACATGAGGGAGAAAGGAATAGAAGGTTATGCTTGAAAGCTTAGTTGAGGAAGGGCAGAAGGAGGCTCATGTTGAGCATAAACACCGGCATAGACCACTTGGGCTGAATGGCCTGTTTCTGTGCTGTATATTCTAATGTAAGTCTAATGTAAGACACTGGATACTCGCAGGTTTGCACCCGAGCTGAGGGTTGGATTCAAGAGGGTGGGGACGGGAAGAAAACCAAAGGAGCGGTCAAAGAGAAGGTCTTAAGACAGACCTTAAAGACGGCAAGGGAAGGGGCGAGGCGAAGGGATTCCAGGATGGAGTTCCTAGAAAGGCTGAAGGCTTCATGCTCACAAATGAACGACTGTACTTGGTTGGTGTGCCCATGGAAACCAACTACAATCCAGTGAAATTAGTGGAAGGGAAAGGAGGAGATAAGGTAATAAGTTAGCACCCATAGAAGATAATTTAGACAGAGAAAGATGAGTTCCTCATTCTAGTATAGTCATTTCAAGAGTCAAAGAATGAAGACAACAGAAAACATCATGCAAGTTCCGCCACTACACAACTTAAAAAGGAGCTGACCAATTAACAGACCACAGATAAGGACCTGCATGGTTCTTTCAAGCTTTGGTAACTAACGCTAATTAATAAAGGCTGAAAACTGATAAAAACTGAGAGAATATATGAACCTTAAGTATGCAAATAGTTGCTGATGTCGGATAGTGATAGTGCATTCTGTTTCGTGAACATTTACTTTTAAATGTATGTTACAGTTTCAGTACTTAAATGTTAAACTTAACATTTATTACACTGAACTTGACTGCAGTGAAACACAGTTTATGGTACAGCCACTCAATTGTATTAATTCCATCCTGAAATTATATTAACACCCTACAACGGGTTTTATACCAGTTTGATATGGAAACTACATTGAAACAATGCAACCCATGGAGTCTGGATGGATCGCAATTAATTCTGGATAAGTGTCTGAATCCTGTGATCATTACACAGAATCCCATTGAAAAGACAGGATTACCCAGTGTTGTTACGGTGTGCAAGAGATGTGCTGTATAGTTAGATGACTGAGTTAGTCAGTTAGTATTTGCATGTTTACAAACGGTGGAATAACTCGACATTAGAAGCTGCAATTCTTTAAACACTCTCAGATCACTGAAGTGGCAAATCTAGGTCAACAGTTAATAATCAATCCATAGGTCAACTCCTAGAATATCTATTTGACAGATATGCAAGGTATAATATAAAATGAAAAATGGTAATAGAAGACCTTGCCTTTTTGTAGTACCTTTCACTAATTACTGCTAAGTGTAGCTGTTTTGCAGGCAAATGTGGCAGCCATTTTTCCACACAGCAAAGTTCAGCAAACAGAAAAAATGAATTAATCTGGAGGATGGTTAACCAGAATACCATTTTGTTTTCAAGTCGTGCCACAGGATTTTTAGCATCCACCTGAAGAATCCACCTGATTCTACACTGCAAGTATCAATTCAACATGCATTTAATACTCTCAGCTATGCACTGTTCCGAACCTGAAACCTCATTTATCTAGTTAGATGCTGCTTTTTTAAAAAATATTATTATTTTGCCATATTTAATAATGTTAAAAACTTCTTGTGAGATTTTCAAACTGAAAATGTTATATTTAGAAGTTCGCAGTTATACTTTGCACTCTGTACGTTTAGGGAAGTGATTAAGCACTTTTAGGCACTTGAAATTTCTGCTTTTTCTCCCCGCCACCTCCCGAACCTGTTCAGCAAGCTCGGGGCTGCTGCAAGGCCCAACCCCATCATTGGTGGCTGAGCCTATAGCAACTATAACAACAAATTACATTTAAGTAGCACCTTTCATGTCAAGATGACATCCCAAAGCATTGGTCAATCAAGGGTTTGCGCCCAGGCTGGAGGTTGAATACAAGAGGGGTGGGGTCCAAGAGGGATGGGGGCGGGAAGATGACCAAAGGTACAGTCAAAGAGGAAGGTCCTGAGATGGAACTTGAAGGAGGCGAGGGAAGGGTCAAGGCTAAGGGATTTAGGGATGGAGTTCAGAGAGTGGGGCCAGAAAGGCTAAAAGAACTATGCCTCTACCCTTTGGAACTTCCATCCTGTATCCCTCCACCTCACCACCTCTCTATCTGTCCCTTAAATCCTGCTGAAGAACTTGGACTGTACCTACCATCACCTCCCCTGTTTGGGATATGATACTGTACCTGTGAGGTGCGTCGAAACCTTATCATCAGTGAAGGGTGCAATATAACTTATCGTAAAATAAACATTATTCACAGCTATCTAAATCAAGTTGAGAATTCATTGTTTTAGAATTTTTTGTTTTTAGAGGAATTTTATGAAAAGCAATAGAAATTTCAGGTATTCAGCAAATAGTAAATAAATAAATCAGTGGATTGAATTAATGTTGAAAGTTTACTTTGGGGAGTTTTTAAAAAAAAAGTTTATCTATAACATATAACTAATGGAATCTACATCAACAGAAAGAGGATTTAGTGTACTTTCCAATTAAAGTTCAGTTCAGAAAAAGCTATGATAGCTGATTTGTTTTTTTTCAAAAAATTAAGATGAGATACTTACATGCACTTTTGGTGTTGGAGGAAGACCATTGCTCATGGGTTTCTGCAGGGAAAAAACAAATTGTAAATCCAAATTCATACACCTAACTCTATTAATCATTTTGGATGGCAATCAGTAGTACTGCAAGGTGTCAGCCTTGCTGAAGCTGTCAGCCTGGCATAGGTGGAGTAAGGAAACTTGCCCAAGGTTTCGCTCTGCCTGGAATTGAACTCAGGTGTCTCGCTTGCAATGCGAGTGCTCTAACCACTGAGCTACAGGACTCCACTCCATTTTGAATTCATAGGCTTGGCTTACATTCCAAAACAGTGGTAGGAGTGCCCTACATTGCTGGAAGTGCTGTTCTTCAGATGAGACGTTACAACAAGGTCCCATCTGCCTGTACAAGTGGATATAAAAAGTCCCATGGCACTATTTGAAAAGATAAGGGAGTCTCTCCTGGTGTCCTGATCCAATAATCCATGATGAACACTTTTCAAAAAGAAATACTGGATACCTTTAGAAGTGGGAACCCCGGCTGATATTTCCCCAACACAATACAGAGTTGAGGCTAATTGCAGTCCTCTCACTGCTGCCCCAGCTAAATTAGCAAGCACCAGGATTCATCTTCATAATGTATTGTTCATATCGACAAAAGTTATCTAACCAACTGAACCAGTGGAGAACTGACCTGCAATATTGTATTACTCTATCAATACAATAATGCATTCCAATCCATCCTAGCTTCTATTTGAACCCCAGCTTTGATTAATATCCCAATTTCCATCTTCTGTAAGTTGTTTCGCTTACAGACAAACACATTTCTCACATGGTGGTATTTTACAACAAGCAGAATGCTGCCCTCTTCATTGTGAGAAACAGCACTGGCGTATTCTGAAAAAAATACTCATTGTCAGTCAAATACAGAACTAGTTGAAGTGCAACTCCTGTGGTAAGGAGAGTGAATATCTAAAAAAAAGTGACATGGTATGCATAAAAGGGGTCTAATAAGATAGAATATTTTCAACTAAATTATGTGGCTTTCATAATTTCTGCTCCAAAACACTAAATTAAAAAAAGAACAGAACATAATACAAATACTGTCTTTTTTGGACAAGATATTAGAGAATTTCTTCCCAATTTAATGTAATAGAAGAAATAGTCCACAGGTCACCCTGCCCAAATGCATTTATTGCTTTTATACTTGTTGATAATAGTAACCTGAGCAAGGGCATGCTGTAATTAAAATAAAACATCTATTTGCAAAGGTTCACTTAATGAATGTAGACTCTGTAGAAGATGTCACAAAGCTAATAGAACAAAATACTCACGGGAATGTCCTTTCTATCTTTCCTTGGTGGAACCCCAGGAGGATTACTACTTTTGTTTTCGTGCTGTTGCTGAGACTGGGTACTGTCTTTTTCACCATTTACCTGTGCAGAATTCACTCCATTGCCTGAACAGAATAGATACATTTTTGGTAAATATGGTGACAGAAGCGTCATTGTGATATGAAGTTTATATATTATTCCAAAAATCCATTTCGCAGAAGGCTGTAAACATTAACTCATGCAGAGAACTGAATTTGCATTATAAAAACCAAAAATTCAAGATGAATTATAAACCTAATAATTTTTATTTTGTTTCACCTTTTCCAATTTTCTCCTTTCTTTCGAATTCTTGATAACTCAGGTGAGGTACCATTCCACATGTGCAACATCTTCTGCTATCTCACTCAAGTAACCATTCTTCACGTTTGAGTATAGGCGAATGATAAGACAATTTCCTCAGGCACAAAGGTCACAAAATAGCAATAAAAAAGTTGGAACTCTCATCTATTTACCCCTACCCATGCCAGGGGTGTTGAAGCCAAATTTATCAATACGATCAGAGATATTGAAATCTGGATCTTCTTTATGACTTGGTTTTTAGGAATCTTCAGGAAAACTACGTGCTGAGACTGCCAAAACTGCACATAGTAGTGTACAGTAGATGTCACAAAACTAATGGAATAAAATACTCACAGGAATATCCGTTTTATATTTCCTTGCAGGAATTCAGGTACGAATTGAGTATGCCACCACTATTTTTTCTATAATAAGGGCCTTGCAGAATAAACTAGGGAAATTAGGGAAGCAAATAGCACAAATAGATTAAAGAAGCAATTGGAGAAAAGGGGTCAAATGTTTTTGCAAACGTGAGCATCAGGGATCAATCAAAAGGAATGAGAATGTTGGGGCTCCTAGCTTTTTCCAGTGGTAAAAAAATCCCTATGATTGAATCATATAACTGAATCAATTTATTCTTAGGTTTGAATGAAAGTCAAGGATATGAACCAACATTTCAGTTCTGCATGACACTCTGAACATCTAGTTTAAACAATGCAAGCTTCAGGAGAATTTTTGGTAAAAATAATGAAAATAATTTTCATAGCACACAAGGAAAGGGAATATCATGGACAACAACAAAACAATATCAGGCGCAAAGTGCTCTCACCAGCTTCTGCATACTTTCATTAGCAAAGGAAGAGCAAAGCAGAATGACTGGAAGCACAAGTTGTAATACCATGTTCCCAACACCAATTTCTTCAATTAAGAAAAAAAGCCCAACCTGCTGGCTCTGAGAATCAATATTGAATAAAACGCTGCAAAATTAAGAAATTGCTATAAATTCAAAATCACAGCACACTGTTGTCCGTTTATATTAATTTAAAAGGCCAGGAGAAGTCAAGACTACCACTTCACACATATTTCTGTTCTAATATGTTGAAGGAAAACAGGTCAGTTTGGTTTTAATGATTATATTTTAAAACTTACATGACTCGCACACACTCCCAAACTCGCCAGGACAATTTATAGAACCAACAGTTTGTTGTTTCTGTTTTTAGAAACTACACTAAAGACAGTTGCTGTTGACCTATATAAAACATATAATCAAACCTGGGTATGGGGGGGGGGGGCTATATTGGCATTACTGGTAGGGTAATTGCTTACATCGCAACATAAATTAGATACTTAAAAATGACAAATTAATGACATTCCTGCTAGGATCGACTAAAATTTTAAACATCAAGTGGATTTCACAAACAACAAATGTCAGTGCATACTAAATGTTGGACCAATCACAATATTTTTGAAAAGTATCCCCAGAATGATGACAAACCTCTCTTTGATTAAAAATCTCAATAAAAACAATTATTCCATTGATACAGAAATTGTGAAATCCATAGTATGGTGCTCACAGACTATCATAATTGAATATAGAAACACAATGTGGGAAGGTGTACATTGGTGTTACCAATAATTGTGAGGTGTACAAGACTATGGCAAAATAAAATAAAAAGGTTCCTGATGTGATAGGGAGGAAGATGCAAGCCAAGGTTAAAATAAAATATTTCAGCTGCATCTGGGTTGGTTATACAGGGTTAAAAAGCACAAAGATGTTTTTAGGGAAATGAATAGCTGCCTTGATTCTCCCCGCTTTGCAGGGGAGCCAATAACTGGAAATGCCTTACTCTCATTTGCCCTGTCACGCGAGTCTTCCAGCCACTTCTTGAACTGTTTAAAGGTTTCTGCACACTCTTCAGTGTCACTGGAGCTCTCACTGTCATTACCTACAGCACTGCTCTTGACGTAACTGCTGTTAGGGGGTAACCGGGGAGGGGGAGGTCTTGGTGGAACTTGTGAGGTGGGCCGTCCGGGGTTGTCAGATGGACATCTCTTGATCGTTCCTTGATTTTCTTCTTCAGGGCAATAGGTTTCTTGTGGTATGTAGATTGACTTTGGCTGAATATTAAAAAGAAAAACATTATGAAAATTATAAAAATACCTCAGGAGTATGTGATAGTTTTCAGATTGATCCCAAGATTGTAAAAGTAAATAAACCAGACTACAATTATATCCTTCTTATATAAATTTACTGTGTTTGCTCTCTTGGTTGATGAAATGTGGAGGTGGGCAATATTAGATAAACAAAACCAGAGTAAAAAGTCTATTATTGTAGTACTGCAAGATGCTACTGCAGCCAAGTGCATCAATACCAAAGAATTTTCAAGCAAGTGATCTGCCACTTCACTAACGTGATCAAAGCAGTTAACTTGCTTCAATACTAAGAACTGTTGTGAAATCATGAGCTTATGACTCGAGATGGAATGAAAAATATGCTTTAAAAAGCAAAATCCACTTGAGAGGCTTGAGCTCAAAAACAAGATGAGCTTCTAAAGATCAAAGAAAACATAGGCTCAGGAGTAGGCCATTTGGTCCATTGAGCCCGTTCTTCCACTTTCAAGAGCATGGCTGATCCACAACTCAATTCCACCTCCCCACCCTCTTTCCAAATTCTGTTGATACCTCTGTCTATCAAGCATTTATCTATTTGCCTTTTAAAATCTTCAATTGACTGCTTCCATTGCCCTCTGGGGATGTGAATTCCAGACTCCCACCACCCGCTGCGTAAAAAAATGTTTCCTTATTTCACTTCTAAATGGTTTAACTTTGAGTTCAAGACTATGGCCTCTAGTCTTCAATTCTCTTGCTGGAGGAAACAGCTGCTCACTTTTCAACCAATCGAATCCCTTTATAATTTTAGATATTTCAATATACCTCAATCAGATCACCCCCTCAACCACCTGAACTTGAGAACACAATCTAAGTTTTTCCATCCTTTCATCGTGATTTAGGCTCTCGACACTACAAATCATCTGTTGAACCTCCCATACCAACCAATTTAGTGATCTCTTAAAAAAAACTTTACAAATCCAATGCTGACTTTTCTTAACCAGTTTTTACCTGTCCAATTCAGTATATTGCAGTAAATGCGATTCAAATATAATGTTTGATATTTCTATTTTTTTTAAATTGTTTTATTTCTATTGTTCATGTGGAAATATCTATACACTCTTTCCGAATTCGTACATCTGACATTTTCCACTGTGGAAGAAAACTGGTTGAGACTCCACAACCTTTTAATCTTATCTGAGAACACACTTCTAATTGGAGTGGCCAAGCATCAATCAAGAGTGTTTTTTTTTCTTGAAATACTATCATGAGTACAAAATAGGCATCCTATTTTTATGTTCAGCAAAAATCATTTGTCTGGATATAAAAGAAAATTAAAAATAGAAAAAACTGCTTACATCATATATTCAGCAATGTGATTCCTTACAACTAATTGTCCTTCTTAATAGCAGCTAAGAATGTTTATTCCAGAGATTCAAAATGTATTTCTTGTCCTCTTACAGCAACACAATATAATTTTAATCTTTTAATATTTTAAGTAATTTAAGTCTAGAAATGAAGTTTACAAAATGCACCAGTAGATGGCAGCATAACTAACTGTTTAGTTGAAATACACACAGAATAAAGCAAAACACAAGGGGAGGGAAACAAAGACAAGCAACTTCGCATTTTTACTTTATAAAAACTGCTTGGACAGTATTTAGATTTACAATAAGCGTGGGCAATATTCAATACAGCTGTGCGGTGTATTCCAATGAGTAGGTCATTGTTAGCTGGAGTACTTAGCATTACTGTGTTTCCATTTTTATTTGCACTTTCCCCAAGTCCACATGTTCAGCTTTCGCAATTTGAACACCTCAAAATTTAAATATTTTCTTTGCAACCTGGATTTTAAACCTGTGCACCTTTAGCAAACTGTAATAAAGCATCATCAGTACTTCACTAAAGTTGTTTGCCTACAAATAGTCACTACACTTTACAGTAAATCCCATGAAGCACTTTAAGATATTTCGATGACATGATAAGGCATTAAATTAAATGCAAGGATTTGTATATTTATTAATCACTTGAATAAGCTTATAAAATAGTTTTCAAACAAAGCATGAGAAAACATGTGTATGTGATGTTATTTCTCTCATCATTTCCCTCCTGCGTGTCCCTCTGGCCAAGCTTTTAACCACTACGCCCCCAAACTCTGGAACACTCTTCCTCTATCCCTCCTCCTTGCCCCTTCCTTCCACATCTTCAGGTCGCGCTGGAAGACCTTCCAATTCGACCGTGCCTACGGTCACCTCCCATCTCCCCCCGGCTCGGGTCGTGCTCCACCACTGAGAAGTGCTCTGGGACACTACCCTGCATGAAGGGCGCTATATAAATGCAAGTTGTTGTTGCAGGTTTTAATTATGAATTTAATCTGAGGTAATAGCTAGAGCAAAGATCGCTTGCATTCTTCTGCTACTAAGTCAAATAAATAGAAAACAAGCACCCTAGTTCATATCTATATATTAAAACACCAATAGTCAAAAGCAGTTTTTACGACAGGTCTCAGAAGTAAATGACTGCGCACATGAGTATGTCAATGCTCCAAATGAGGATCAAGCACATTAGGGTTAGGCTCTTCTTACTTATTAAAATGAAACAAGATTTATTGTATCCAGCCTTTTTTGCCTTCTCATTAATTCAGAAAACGCTGTTGACATTTATTATTTCTTTGTAGCAATTATAATTTTTAGCAAGTTGTCTTCAGAGAGGTTACATAATCCAAATTACAATCCTTTCATGCACTCCTGAATTGAGCATTTCTGCTGCACACCATTATATAACATATTTCAAGCCATTAATTAGGAACCCTCTGTACTGGAATGTGCAAGCTCCCACTGAGAACACTAAATGAAATTGTTTCAGACACATTGCTTTAGGCTACCCAATCCCTGTAGAGTATAAGCATTTATTATGTTGCTACTGACTTATAATAACAGTCTCAGCAGTATATGAAGTCCCTATTTATGGAGTCCTTTAGCTCAGTGGTTAGAGCACTCGCCTCGCAAGCAAGAGACCTGGGTTCGATTCCCGGCGGGGCGAAACTTTGGGCAAGTTTCCTTACTCCACATGCCTCTGTTTACCTAGCAGTAAGTAGGAACCCGGTGGTTAGTGGATTGATGGATCGCTTTTCCAGAGGTAATAATTCCTTAAACAAAATAACAAATTGATCAATGAATCCACAACTGTTTGTGAGGCACTGCTGTGCACAATTGGCTGCCGGATTTCGCCCACAAAATATGCAGTCAATTCACTTTAACAACAACAAAATTACATTTGTATAGCGCTTTTCACATCGAGAGGATGTCCCAAGGCGCTGGACAGTCAGAGTTTCGGACCCGAGCTGGGGGTCGGGATCGGAGAAGGTGGAGGGCAGGGGGGAAAGCAGGGTAGTCGAAAGCACGGTCAAAGAGGGTCTCGAGATGAGTCTTGAAGGAGGCAAGGGAGGGGGCGAGGCGATGGGACTATGGGAAAGGAGCAGAGAGCCAGAAGGCTCACTCGCCAACGGTGGGGCGAGCGAGGCGGGGACGTTTAGCAGGCCACAGCCTGCTGAGCGGAGCGGGCAGGATGGTAGGGAGGTAGATGGTTGCAGAGGTAGGGGGGAGCAAGACCATAGAGGGCTTTAAAGGTAAGGACCAGGATCTTGAACAGTATCCTCTGTGTGAGGGGAAGCCAGTGGAGTCGTGCGAAGATGGGATTGATAAGGTCACGGAGCCTGGTGCGGGAGAAGACACAGGCTGCAGAGTTCTGGATGATCTGCAGACTATGGAGGGAGGAGTTGGGGAGGCTGACAAGCAGGGAGCTTGCATAGTTAATCCTCGATGTAATGAAAGCGTGTATGAGGGTTTTGGCGGCCTGTGGTGTGAGACAGTGGTGGAGTCGGGCAATGTTGCGGAGGTGGGGGAAGGCAGAGCAGGTCATGGCACAGATGTGGGGTAGAAAGGATAGTTGAGGGTCAAACAAGACACCAAGGTTTGGACTGGCTTAGTAACTTTGGGTACATTTAGTAAGGTGGAATGTGCATTCTTGGATGGTAATGCTGTCAGCGCATCACCATCCTTTACACCACCATATACTTTACAGTATATTCTGTGAAGTGCTTTGAGACGTCTTGAAGATGTGATGAGACGCTATATCAAATGCTAGGATTATTATTATATAAAACATTTCCACTTAAAAACGTGTGGACAGTACTGTCAGAACAGACTGTGAGTTCATTTTGAGTGGCAGGCTTGAACTCACAACCTTCAAACTCAGAGGTGAGAATAAAACTAACTGATCCAACCTGATGCACACATTTGGAGAAGAACAAAAAAAAAATTTCCATCTGTACATTATGCGCAATGCACACAATATATAGATGCACAATACGTGTGGAAAAAATAGCCCATGAATAAACAAAGGCCTTAGAGAAAAAAAATGAAAACCTTGCAGACTTAGAACTTGAAAACGTGATAATTGAATAGCAAAATAAATCTCTGCAGGAGTGCCACCACCACCAACAACAAATTACATTTGTATAGCGCCTTTCACGTCAGGAGGACATTCCACCAGCACTGTAAGGGAAGTATAGAACAAGCTAGCTCATAGATAAATGGCAATTGTGTCGCTTTTCTTTTGTAAAAATAATAGAAAAGTATAGCAAGGAAACTTGTCCCGAGATAGTAGAGCTTCCCAAATTTTCTCCTAGGATCTCATGAAGTGCCTTAAGGTATATTTACTGTCCAACTGATGATTAGTACAAGTCAATCTGGCTGACGGACTGGGTAAACATTAAAGGCTAGGGCAAAGTGTTTGCACAAGCAAGGATGTACTGGTAAAACAAGACTAAAAAATATTATATTATTCAATGGGAAACTGATCTAATTTTAGGGCTGATCAACTGTGATACCAAAGTGCCTGTGAAATTCAAGTACAAATGGAGAAGGAAACAGATGAGGTGATTGCCATGTCAATGCAGTGTACATCCAGACACTTTTAGCCCTCTTCTATAGATTTGTTTACAAGGCCACTAAAATGACTGCAGTTCTGACCCAGTTTATATCAATGTAGGACAAACCACAAGTGGATACAAATGGTGAAGTTACAATGGGGATGCCTCTAGAACCAAAACAGCTAGACTTTATTTTATGGAGATATACGCTTATAGGATCAGTAGTCACATACCTTGGGAGGAAGAGGCGGTGGAATTCTGGGTTTTAACGTGGAGCTAAAAATTCAAATAAAAACCATTAGTGACACCCAATAGGTGTAGATAGAATACTTATCACACTCAAAATGGCCATAATAATATTGGCAGGTTTCATGTGGGTAAGCATATGATTCCACACTCTACTCCCAGAAGAATCATATCTGTTTCAAAGAGAAAGTGACTGTCGTTAGACAATAAGAAGATAATTAAATTCTGACTTACATTTGCACATCCTGCCCTGAATGCAGCCATTACCTAACCTTTCTCTGACCAAGTATAGACTAAATTCACAAAATGCCTAGTCTACAATGCCTACGTGTTCTTTCATAAACAAAAATAAAATGATCATAGTTCTAAAAAGTTGTCAAGTGTCCATTTTGGATATAAACACACCAATCATATTAGATACTGAAAATCCATTATAGAAAATGCTCTTTTTCACTTGCACTGAGACCAATCATGCAGTGTTGAATTGATGATTTGTGAGTTATCCATTTACTTTAATTTCTGATAAATTTAGCAATTTGTCATAGCTCATAAGTGATGCTAAGCTTTCAATGTATAAACCTAATGTTTTATTTCACGAATCAAATCAATCAAGTGTGCAATTTGTTTTGTGTGATGAGATGTCTAGGGAACTGAATTCCTCTTCGTAACGTATACCAACACAACCATTCCAAGGCTGGGTACAGTGTAATATAATCTCCTCCTGTACATCCTCTGCTCCAGTCATGGGTTTCTCCAGATGAGGACTATGAATTGCTGAATCTAAAACATCATCAACTGAGAACTAGATTTGAACAGTTATGGATCACCTGGAACGTACAATAATCACAGAACAGAAAACCTGCATTAACAAGCCCCTGAGCTTGTCAAGCTTGAACCCACAGTCAAACCTAAATAGTTTAATGATATTCCATTTTTTGGGGAGGCAGACGGAAACCCAACCACCATGCTTAAGAGTATCCAAACCAAGCTGAGAATTCCATGCATCCCACCTAAACAATGACATTTCATCCAGTTAGAAATGTAGAGCACAGAAGGCAGCATTCGACGCATTGTGTCAAAATTGACCGCAGATCTTTAACCTATTTTCCAATTGCTAGTCCTCCATATGAATGTAATAATCACAGCAGATGAAAGCATTAAGCAAAGAGAAATCATATGACAAATTAAGGAAGTAGCTGATTGTACCTCCCATGCCCCCAGATCACATTTTCACAAAGAAACCAAGCTAATCCTACTCTACTCCTTGCATTAAAATTAGGAATCTTGGTATTGTACTAAGTGAATTACACTTATAATATTTGTACATTTTGATATTTTGAAGCGAAAGAGAGAAGGCCTCAAAATTATGCAAATACGTACTGCAGGCTGGCATTTCATTTTCTCAATGAGGGTTAAAGGCCATTTTGTGTTTGACGTAGCAAAACCTTGGCAAACATTTTGTACCAGTATCTAATTACTCTTTAGTTAGAGCTTGCATTGTCTAGCTGGTACTGGATAAGATCCAACCAGGTCGCCAAAATAACTACTGTACGAGCTTTCTCTTTCAAACTCTTTCAAATAACAATATTGGCAATTTATACAATGCACGGAAATCCAGACATCTGAAGAATTTTTGGGAAATCAACTTGGGATTGATTAAATGAAAAATATCTACTTAAGTTAGCTTTCGAGAGGGTACAGAAGCTACAATGGTTATATGAAGCAATACAGCAACAAAAGGAACAAGCTTACACAGCAAGACAAGAATTTTCTGAATGATTTGCTTTTGGTGGCAATACAGTAAGTGGATAAGACACCGCTACAGAAAATAAAAGGTAGCCAGGCACAATGGATATGAACCATAAAATATCACTTTAGTTTAGCTACATTGAGTGTACAGTGCTGCAAAATGATTTTAGGATGTCATGCAGAATTTAATGGGAATTATTCTGAAAGAATCTCTTTTGTGAAATGGAAATAAAACCAAGTATAGCTAAACTAAAACAAGAAAAGACTTACTGTTCAGATTCATCATCATCACCATCATCATCATCTAAATGTGCCACGTGTCCCCTAAGGAGATGAACAAGGTACTATGGCTCAGTGGATTTCAGTGGAATCATTTCAGCGAGGCTAAAAGAATTCTGGCATGCACTACCTTAAGGGCTTGTTCTATATGGAGTTCATCATTGTATTCTATGCTTTATTCTTCGAAAGGTAGCTCCAGTCCAAGCAAATTAGACTTGCACAAAATCAATTTGACAAGCAATGGGGCAAACAGACATCTTTCGACTGTAATATATAACAAAGCATCAAAAGGAGATTTTATTTTACTAATAAGAAAAAAAAGAAATTACCGCTGATGCAGTTCTTCTTCGACTGATTTTAGAAGGCTCCTTTAAATTTAAGAACAGGAAAGAATAGTTTATTGAACCTACAAACAACAAACAGTATAGCAAATACGCATTTTTGAATACTTATACCAAACTTAACAAAAGAGAAAACAAAATAATGATTATGGCTTCCATTACAAAATTCTACTCAGTTGGACTTAATTTAACATTGTTGTTCAGAAACCATCTAAAATTCATTAAATACATAAGTCTTAGTAAATATAAGAACAATTTAAATTTAAAATATATTAAATCTTGAGAAAAATATTTTAAACCATATCCATTAACAGATAATGGATTTGGCCACAAATTGTTCACTAGTTCAGTCAAATAAATTGGTTACAGCCTTTTACTTAAGGGGCAGTCTTCTTTAGATCAATTTATATTTACAGAAGAAAGCAATGACTTAACTGCATTTCTCATTACCTGATTTACTTAAGCAATGTCTAGAACCAAAAATAGTTTTGTTGTTGGGGTGGGGGTAGAATGGGAATGGGGGTACATCAACTATTTTCTGCCACTTAATATTTCTGATTGAGTTAGTAAATCTACAGGAGAGCAATTTGAAAATATGCTGAAGGCATCTTATGAGCAATTCATGTGTGTTTTAATTCAGTTTTGATCGATCAGAGCACTGGGTGAACCAAGTGTTGACAATTTGATTTGCAATACTGTATATCATCATATTCATACAATGACTGCAGTTTAGTGAATAGGAAAATTTAAAGTGGGATTTCCCTGGACTAGCCCAACTGTTTGTTTTCAGCTCACATTCTTTAATACTGAAAATTGTTGAAGGAAATAGCTATTCAAATATTAGAGGTAGCTTTATTACTGTAATATTAATTCAATACAATTTAAACAAACACCAATTCTTCCCCATTCCCATTCTCTCCCCACCACAATCTTTAACCTATTTTTCTGTCTTTGCCTTCAACTTTTACAATTTTCAATTTTAATATTTTCTGTATCTCATTTCTCCTTTTAAAAAATATACTTTTTAAAACTCTTTGCTTATCTGCTTTTATATTTATCCTCTTCTCGGCTCCTTCTCTGTGTTGGAAGTAGGTGCAATTTTTTTTATTGGCCAAAAAGCAACTATGGATGAGTTTTGAGCAAAAAGACAGAAGAGCAAAGAATGTGTGTGTATGATATGGCCAGGACAATATAACATATCAAGGTTAATCTCCTGTGTTTTTGACAGCCAAGAAACAAGGGTACTGAGAGACTGATCTAAAGTATGTCCAGATGACTAAACTAGTCCATAGCAATGCTAAGAGATGAGAGCTAAGGACAAAGACTAGTTTAAAAATGCTGACCTTTTAGAGTGTCTTTGTAGCAAAGTATTTTTACTATGTGGATCATTGTTTATTGAATGATAGAATTTCCCATAAAAAAAGGAATTAAAAGATTAGCTTCTCATCACAGGACATCAAAAACAATTAATATTCATCTTCTGCTTGTTGCTTTCGACTGCTAATTAGTGGAATCATGGCTTTATTCTGAAGTTTCAGCAAAGCTGCAATCCCACTTACGAACAGTCAAACACGGTTATTCGTAGAAAACAAATAATGTACCCCCATTCCCAGCCTTAGTGTTTGTGTATGGGCCAGGGGAGTGGGGGTGAAGGGAAAGAGAGAAGAATTCCCCAGAACATCTGCGTAATTCATATTTGATACTTTAGGAATCTTGAGATGTAGACCACAAATTAGATGTCAGCAACACTACCTGGAGCTTTAAAGGGGACAGTTCTAAATTAGTCAAGGACAGATCAAAATAAAATGATTTATTTGCTTTGTATAGGTTTACTATTAGAATTCCATCAAATTGACATCTTTATCTCAACTAATTCTGCGTAGTGCAGTTCGATGTATCTGAAAAGCAAGGATATTGTTTCAACATTGCCTGTCTATACCAGATACAATGGGGCCCCCCTTGACAGAGGAAGACTTCAGCTGTGATATCATAGTGCCAGACTGTCTGACCTCGATTTTAAACTCTTGTTTTTATAACTCCCAACTGGACAGAAAGAAACCTGCAATGGCGCAGATTTAATATAAATGGAACAAATGAACTTTACTGTATTGAAGCCCTACAATTATGAAAAGAAAACAAATGGCACAGTCCATGTTAACTCTTGGAGTATTGTGATAAGATCAACCTTACGGTTTATTTTATACTGAACATCCAAACTTACACATGGAAATCCCAGATAGATTGTTGGAATGGAATGCTCACTCTCTTCCTGGAGGGACACATCCTGCTTACCTAGTTCTGGAAAGTATTAGGGGCAGGTTGGCAAGAGCCATGGCTTGGGAACCCGAGCAAACTTTTAGGTACAGCTGGAGCCTAACCAGCTAAACCGCATAGCTTGGCATTGATAGTGCTGTCTGGCAAGCTTTCCCGCTACTTGACCAGCCAGGATTACCCTATCCCTTCGGGCACTGGTTTGCAGAGTTAACAGGAGCTGAGTGGGGTGACTCCCTGCCCCCAGTGACTGGTCTGCCCTTCCAGGTCCTGCCGTTGAGCCAGGCTGGCTATGCTGTCATCAGGAATACTGCAGACCTGCCTGGCTCAGGAATTGGGATAACGAGACTGCCACAGAGGTTGGCTCCATTCCGATATACTATTGCCAGGCATTTCAGCTCCAAGGAGACCCCGCTTAGAGATGTAGAGAGACAGAGATAGAAAATGTCATACAAACTGACAGAAAATTGGACTTGAGACAGAAAAATATAGCGAGAGATTCAGAGAGAGAGAGTAAAGAGAGAAGGACTGGAATAATGGGGGAGCTATAATGATAATATAGCTCCTGATGAGACAGTTGTTTAGTCAGCACATAGCCAATTTTAATTTGCATGATGCTGAATTATCTGATTTGCTTGCTTATCCTGGTCTACAAAACTCAATGCCCTATGATAAAAACCCTATTTTGTTAAGTTGATTTACCTGTAGAATATTGGATCATTTCATAATACCACCACATTTTACTCCGACCTCTCCCTAAATCCACAACTAAGATATACCAAATTTCTCAAACACAAGGTAGAAACATGATCTCCTTAAAACCAACCATCAGTTTATGGAGAATAAAACAACAGTATTTGTTCTGTAGCCAGTTGTAATTAATTTGAAGTTAAGCAACCAGTGACATTTGGCAGTTGGTTCCCTCAAACTACTGTTTCACAACATACAACTTCCTCTGTGAACATGAAGCCACAGGAAAATCCCAACAGTGGCATGATTCCAATTAGTCAAGCTGAAATGTAAGCTTTTTAAAGTATTTTAATTTAATAGAACAATTTAAAGCTATTTTAAACAAGTTAAATCACATTTTTCTCAATTTTTTTTAACTTCAATCAAATTAAAATATTAACTCTTTTGAGCAAAATCATGTCACAGATAAATGAGATAATGTGAGGAGGATCTGTTCAGAGACTCATTGCTGCCTGGCACGGCCACTCCTTATTTAAAAAAGTTTCCAGTTCAATTTTTTTTTAATAAATATAATCGCTTGCCAGAGTGACTGAATAACTTCAGACCTGCACTGTTTTGGGGCTACACTGGCTAGTATAAGATATCTACAAATCCCATTGCCATTTTCTCTGCTTATCCAACCGTGCTACATGTGTTACTTGTACCAAGCTCAAACACAAACAAAACAGTCACTTTTAAACTATATGTTTTTGAGGCATTTATACTTCATTACAAGGCATGCAAGTGATCATTAGTGGTAAAAAAAAACGTTAATATGAATCATTTGTAAATGGAATCAAATTTGATTTGTAGATTTTAGTGTCAAGAAAGGGAACACACGTGGCAGAGTGAACTTTTAAAATTTGAACATGCATCCCAGAATGTTAGTACAACCTCAGTTATGAACATGGTACGCTGAAGTAAATGAAAAATGATTTCAAAGAATGTTAGCAGGTGATATACAGTAGTCAGAGATTTCACTGGGCCCCAATCTTGAATCGAAAGGCTAGTTTAAGGATTGACATGTTGGAATCTGAAGCTGAAATCGAATGACTCTTTGTGGAGTTATTGGTTGGTACTAGAAATTACAGGACTTTTTTAAAAAAATTAGGAGAAAAATATTTTTATTAACTAATTGTATCTACTTATTTTACAAACATAACAAGAAAAAAAGGTTAGTCAAAGGTAGGGTGGGGCCAATTAAGGATCAAGGCAGAAATCTTATTGTGGAGGCAGAGGGCATGGCTGATGTACTGAATGAGTACTTTGCATCTGTCTTCACAAAAGAAGTGGATGCACCAAATGCCGCAGTATCAGAGAGGTTAGAGGATAGTATAAACAGAGAGGAAGTACTGAAAAGGTTGACTGGGCTGAAGATAGATAAGTCGCCCGGTCCGGACGGGATGCAGCCAAGGATACTATGGGAGGCAAGGGTGCAGATAGCGGAGGCTTCGGCTACAATTTTTCAATCTTCGTTGGACACAGGGGTGGTGCCAGAGGACTGGAGAGTGGCTAATGTGACTCCCCTGTACAAAAAAGGACAGAAGGACAAACCTGGGAACTACAGGCCAGTCAGCCTAACATCAGTAGTGGGGAAACTCCTGGAAACTATAATCCGGGACAGAGTAAGTCTTCATTTAGAAGAATATTATTAGGGACAGCCAACACAAATTTGTTAAAGGCAAATCTTGTCTAACAAATCTAATGGAATTTTTCGATGAGGTAATGGAGAGGGTGGATAAAGGTAGTGCAGTTGATGTAGTTTATATGGACTTTCAAAAGGCATTTGACAAAGTGCCACATGAAAGACTTGCAAGAAAGATAGAAGCCCATGGTATAAAAGGGACAGTGGCAGCATGGATCCAGAACTGGCTGAGAAACAGAAAGCAGAGAGTTTTGGTGAACGGCTACTTTTCTGACTGGAGGGAAGTGTACAGTGGGGTCCCCCAGGGATCGGTATTAGGACCACTGCTCTTCTTAATATACATAAATGATCTGGAGTTGGGTATAGCAAGTACCATTTCCAAGTGTGCGTACGACACAAAGTTAGGTAGGGTGGTAAACAGTGAGAAGGATAGTAGCCAACTGCAGGAAGACATAGACAGAATGGTAAAATAGGCAGACACATGGCAGGTGAATTTCAATGTGGAGAAATGCGAGGTATCGCATTTTGGTAGAAAGAATGAGGGGAGGCAATATAGGCTAGGATAGCTGTAGATACGATAGAATGCCTTCATTCATTTTAGCAAACTGGCCCAAAATACAATCTTAAGAGAGGGTGAAAGAACAGAGAGATCTGGGGGTTCAGGCAAGTGAATCCTTGAAGGTGGCAGCACAGGTAGAAAAAACTGTAAAAAGGGCATATGGGATACTAGGCTTTATAAATAGGGGCATAGAGTACAAGAGTCAGGAGATTATGATTAACCTATATAAAACACTGGTAAGACCTTAGTTAGAATACTGGGCCCAGTTCTGGGCACCACATTATAGGAAAGATTTTAAGGCATTGGAAAGGGTGCAGAGGAGATTTACAAGAATGGTACCAGGAATGAGAGAACTTCATTATGCCACAGATGCCACTGAAGTGCAGGTGATTATGTTCTATTTTCCTACTGCTGGATCTTCATTATAATATAAATATTGAATTTCAGACATATAAACTCTTTGGAATACGAAATAAAGAAAAGTTTACACAATCATTACTCTTCACTACACGTAAACTAATTTATAAAACAATATCTATTTCTATTTTGACAAGCATGATTAATGCTCGATAATATAAATAGAATATAAATAAATAGACACAGTTCTCAAATGCTTACTTATTTCCGCCTAATAAATAACTGCTCTGGTGTCCATGGCCATATTCTAGCTGTAGATCCTGCAGATCAAAAGGAGAAACAAACAGGTGACATAAAAATAATTCACAATTTATAACTGAAATACAAAACAGTGTCACATTAGTGCTTCAGCAAAGATATGAAATTAATGGAACAGTGATGATTCAGTGTTAGAAAGGATAGATGTACAAGGTGTTTTGTTTGAAGCACAGAATCTAAAATTTTTCACGTGTCCAAGACATTGCAGCTATTATACGTATGCAAAAAAATTCCATTAGCTCCAATATCTGCTAAGAACATTTTCTGCAATCATCAACATACTTCAAATTGTTTCCCAGAAATTTCTGTAAAAGGTTAACATTGAGCACTATATTCCAGTGATGATTCAAGATGCAGCATTCAACTGCACCTGAGAGGCTAAGCCATGAACCACATTCCACATCATCATGAAGGTCTGTTAATCAAGATCATATTTAACCTATGCAATAGACACAAATGAGCACACAAGCCTGCCACTTGATTAGCACTTATTTTAAGGGGACAGAAAGAAGCAGAAACATATTAAAAGTCCAATGCTGCAAATGGGACAGGAATATGAAGGTGACCAGATACTAAATAAATCTCATTTCATGTTAAAATCTGCATTGTAAAATATAGTCACGAGTAGATTTTATTATTAATATTGTTTTTGAGATTTAAAATGGCTCAAAATTCAAGATTTTATGGATAATATGTGTTCTCTAGGCAGATTATAGATATAATACTACAAAATAAACTAACAATTCATCTTAGAATCTTCATCTTAGCATCATGGAATATTACAGGACTTAAACAGCACATTCAGATGATCAATTCTGGACTCCCGCCCCCTCCCCCACCCACATGAACCATCTAATTGCACTTTCTTCCAATCTTCTTTTTCAAGCATCTAATTTCTTTGTAAAATAATTTATGGCCTCTGCCTCAACAATAGTTTGTGGTACAGAATTCAACATTCAATCACTCTCATAAAGAAACATTTTATTTCCTCTGTGATTATCAAATCTTAGTTATAATTTTAAGATTTAAATATTGAAAAATATGCTTATACTGCAATTCAGTGATCTTTTACTGAACGGTTAACAAACCATGGAGTATATTAGTGTTCATTTTGTCTTTAAAAGAAGCATGGTATGCTTCCTTCTTCTTTAAATAAAAACTGAAATCATGAAATCACATTGAGCTGTGGGACATATGCGACTCACTACTGATAACTTTTAGGACAATAAACCTCTCCAGACTGTTCTAGTGTTGCAAGCTTTGCTTTAGTATTGTGTTTCTTGTACCACGCTTATTTACTAACAGAACAGTTAGTATTTTAGAGGAATGATAACTTAAAAATGGTCCTTTTCCTTTAAAAAGATCAAATGGATTGAATATTGAAGAAGGCTTCCTCTGATTTCTTTCTCCTACTAACTGAATATCTGTGATGCTTTCATCCGAATTTCTCATCCAGCTAAAACAGCATGGGCTGCATACATCAGTAGGCTATTGTTAACTTCCTCTGGTAATTTTACTTTTTGAAAATATTAACTAGATGGAAGCAATCATATCAGAAGGATTCTTCTCTTAAGAGAAACATGTCCTCTACAATGTTAGTAATGTATATTATGAAGTATTTTCTGCAGCATACAGTTCATTTCTCAAAACATTTCTATACAGCAATTGATGAAGCTATCTATACTTGCTTAAGAATGTTAGCCCTATAAGGAAACACTGTCAAACCTGAAAAACAAGGTAATCACTTAGCCATTCAGTGAATTTGCTGAAATTCTAAAGGCACAATATGAAGCCAGGAACTGAAAGCACATTATTATAGCTGAGAAACAGTCAGAATGTAACATAGAGACTAATTGTTAAATAGTAAATTATGATATACTTAAGAGACTACAATGTAATTTCTTATCTAGCTCATAGAAATATAGGACAAAAAAGTAACAGTAGGCGGCCATTCAACACACTAAGCCTGTTTGTTAGATCTTGGCATTAGTTTATCAGACCTGACAGATCTTTTAATCCCAATGTCCTTTAGCCATAACATAGGTTATGTTGGCTCAGTTGGAAGCGTTTTGCTTCCAAGTTATAAGATTGTGGGTTTGAGCCCCGTGTCGGAACTTGAACTTCCACAGTCTAGACTGACTATTCAATACAGTTCTGGGGCGGGGTGGGGGGGGGGGAGAAGAGGGGTTTCTCCCTGTTCTTTGGGAGAGACTTTAATCCGAGGTCCTATCTGTCTTTCTAAGTAAATATTAAGGGTATTAAAGGGCCCATGGTGCTTTAAAGAGTGTATACCGAGCCGCCGCAGCTTCTCTGCTGGGCAGGAATCGTATTTCGGAAAACCTCGGGCACCTCTTAAGTCAAACAAATTGTCCGGCTTAACCGGCATCCATTGTATTCCCATTCACTAACAGGTACAAGATATTAAAAAAAAGGTGACCTTTCGCATCCTTGAGTGAACTATTCGCATGGCTGGGTGAATCGTAATCTGACAATTTTAGGAACAGTCTGCTATACCTTGGTATCTGCTAAACCTCATTCGTTCAAATCATGCCTCAATTAGATGGAAACCTACTACTACAAAACTGTATACATTTGACAAGGTTTCCCAGTTGCCAATTTACTTATGTGTAATACGTTAGATATTATGAGTTAATATTAATTATAAGACAATAAGCTGCTTCACAGCATCCTCATCTGAATTCTCACATATATGGCTGCCCTGTTCTACGCATAAGCAAAAATAGTCACGGAGTAATTATTAGAAGTCACCTTGCTAGATATAATTCTTCCTCACATATCCGCTGTACCAGATTTCTACTGATCTCTGGTGGACAAATAAATCCCTCCTGCCAATCATGTCCAACGTTTGAAACTAGATTTTAAAACTCTATCCACAATTATTTCTTTGAAGCACACTTTGTCAAAGTTAATATATTCTCTCATCCAAAATGACAGCTTCATGTTTTCTGCTTGGTATATCCAAAACCATTTTCACAGATTTTTATACAAGTTATGCAAGCTACAAGCCAGTCAAAGATGACATTGACTCACAATTAATCTCCAGTACTTTAACCCCATTCTTCCAGTGAGAGATCAGTTAATAACTATTGGGAAAGCAGCAATTATTGATGACCTTGGTTCCAACACAGTTAATCCTTCCCTAACCCAACACCCAGGGGCAAATTTTCTGATAAGGGCATTGGACAGGTATCAAGTATGGAAACCTTTCATCTTCTCTGCAATTTAGGGGAAGTGGAAACAATTTTTTCTCACATTTCTGCTCCAAATGAGATCAACTATAACTCAGTACAGAGTGATACATAAATCTGCAACTTTCTCAGTGTCTCAGTACTGCACATAACCTGGTATTTGCCTATGAGAACATCAGGGGAAGCCAGTTCACAAAACTTGCGACAAACATTATTGGATTGGACATTTCTGGCCAGTACAAAAATTTCATAAGATGTTAGACAGGACAGACTGCAGATTGATTTGATGCCAAAAAGATGTAAAGAAATTCTAACGAGGAGAAGGCAAAGCACAGCAAGAATAAGGTTTATGCATTTGCTATTTGATCATTGTTTTTTGAAAAATTTGTCAACCAACAATAACAAAAAGAGCATGAATTTCCTGTTGACCATTTTTTTTTAAATGGCGAAATCAATCAAACTGAAGCTAGACATGGCCATTGCTAGAACTAAGAGTTTTCTGTACGATGCCAACATTGTAAAGTGTTTTGCCTGTATATAGTAATTTAAAACAATGGCGTCATTGAAATTGAACCACAAATAGGCATGGTAGTGAACAGTCAAGGCCCCAAAATGCAAATTCTAAAGTTCCAGACTTCACTATACCAGCAGTTTCACAATCAAATCTCACACTACACATGATGGGAATTAAACAGATTTTTTTTGCTTTGCATAATCTGTGCAAGAAATATAAAAGACAGCGTCAAAATTTATGAGGCAATGATAAACAGGAAATAGAAACACCTGGAAATGACAGATAAAGAAACCCAGAAACGTGAAAAATACCAGATTAGATCTTGCTGTGTAGTATATCTCTTCTGAAAGGTCCAAAAAATCATCACTGAAGGGCTGTTCAGCAAAGACCAAAAAACCCAAGTTACTTGGATCAAGCCCAGAATCCCTCAAGAAACAAACAGAGTGAAAGCATTTTTTAAAAAATATACTAGGGAGTCTTGTACAAAACTACCCAACACATACAACTCTGATGTTTAAAACTGGCTTCCTCTTTACCAATTTACCATTTCTATTTTGGGGAAATAAGTCAAAGCTCTCAAACTCACATTTGTTTCAATTTTGCAAATATTACACAAGATCATTTTGGTGCATAACTGCAATATTCTAGGCTAGAAATTACTTTATGACTTAGAACAATATATCAGAAAATCTTAATCAAAAGAACAGTGTAACCTCCATTTCATTTTTTAACACCTTAAAAGTAAACCTGTAGTACAAAACAAGTGTCAGACTTTGTGCAAATTTGTTCAGCTAGATACATATGCATACAGAAAGTTAAGGACTGTTTACAAGCTACTTAAACTAGTAACTAAATCACACCCCCACCTCCTCCCACCTCCCCCAGGACATTTGAAAGAATTCCGAGTTGTTTACATCAGTTAAGTATGATCTGTAATGTGTTTCATTTCAACCATTTGAGGCGTAGCTTATTTGCAATTCTTGGAAGCTTGCCATTGTCCAGGATATTTAGTTGGTATAATAAGATTTAAACACTGTCAAAACAAAACTATCTCACTTACAAGTTCATGATGTGGCTCAGTTTCTTTCCTCATTGGTGGATCAAATTTTATTTGCCCAACTGCAGATAAAGCACATTAAGACCATTATTTAACAAGTACATTCTGATGAAAGTCAAAAAGGACCAACTATTAGAGTTTAGTTGGAAACTTTTGCAAAATAGGGGACTTTGTGGTTACACATGCTTTCTCTGAAATCCTGCACCAAAATCTCAAGAGAGATTAAAGAGATAATTTCAGCATTTGCAGCAGTAAGCAAAATAATATGTACACACTAGAGTTTCAATAATCCTATAGTTTTGCATCTCAGCTTCAAAGAAAATCCTTTATTGCATCATTCAACAAATCTGCACATTCTTCATAACAATTTCACAATAACCTTAAGATCGTCTAATTAATAGAATTCTGATACTCTAAATGATTATCAGCATGGAGAAGATAATACTACAAAAATAAGCCAATGGTACAGTAACTGAAAGACTATGTTTAAATCTTAAATGTAATGTAAATTAAAACAGTGACCATAAAAATCAGTCAAATTGATTTAGGTCACAATGAAGCCCTTAAAGATGCAGATAACAGAAAAGGCTATTGAGCCCACTTGATTCACCCAGTAATTTACATGTGTAAGGGTTAAGTCATATCAGATCCATATAAATTAACAGCACAGAAGGCCATTCGGCCCATCTTGTCTATGCCGGCTCCCTAATGAGCAATCCTTTCAGTCTCATTCAACATCCTTTCCCCACATACCTATAGCCAACACTTTTTAAAGTATTTGTCCAGTTCTCTCTTGAAGGCTCACATAGATTCTGTCTCAACCACTGCTCCAAGTGGAAAAAGTCCCAGTTTCCTCCAGTCTCTGGCCATAGGCCAAACCATGCACCCCCAGTATCATGGTAATAAATCTCCTCTCCACCACTTCAATCGCCTTGATGTCCTTCTTAAAGTGCAGTGACCAATACTGGATACAGTATTCTAACTTCGGTCTCACTGATGATTTATATCAGTTTAGCATTTCCTTTTTGCTTTTATATTCTATACCCCCATTTATAAAACTTAAGATTTCATTAGATTTGTCAGCTTTGACCACCTGCCTTCCCACCTTTTAAGGATTTATGTATATTTACCAAGTACCTTTGTTCTTTCACTCCTTTTAGTATTGTACCACCCAAAATATAGTTGTGAGGCAAGACTTGCCTGTAACTAATCTATGCTGACCATCTTAATCAACCCATGTCTTTCCAAGTGCTTATTAATATTATCTTGTATTATAGCCTCTAAAAGTTTGCCCACTACAGATGTTAGACTAACGGTCTATAATTACTCGGCTGATTCCATTTCCATTGGTGTTTGTTAGTTACCCTCCAGTCTCCTGGCACAACATTTGAATCCAAGGATGTTTGAAAAACTGTAGTCAGAGCATCTATCACTCCCTCCACAAATTCCCTCAACATTCTCAGATGTGGAGTCCTGTAGCTCAGTGGTTAGAGCACTCGCTTTGCAAGCGAGAGACCTGAGTTCAATTCCAGGCAGAGGGCGAAACCTTGGGCAAGTTTCCTTACTCCACACAGAGCCTAATAATAATCCCTCCAAAAACCCAAAACAATAATAAATTGGTCATTTTCAATCTACGACTGTTTGTGGGACATTGCTGTGCGCAATTGGCTGCCGCGTTTGCCCACAAATATACAGTCAATTCACTTTACAGTGTGTTCTGTGAAGCGCTTTGGGATGTCCTCCCGACGTGAAAAGCGCTATATCAAATGCAAAGATTATTATTATCAGACCATCATGACTTGTCCTCTTTGAGTTCCATCTACTTCTTTAGCACCGCTAGTAGACCCAGTCAGTCAAGTCTATGGAAATTTCTGGTGTGATCCTGAGAGCAGACTTGTACTCAATTTTCTTTCAGAGCTGGAACTTGACATTTGCTTTCATGGACAAATAAGGCAAGATATTTTTGTCTGTGTGATTTCTTTAAAGTCAGTCAAATACAAACAATAGGCCCTGCTTCTTATCTTGGAGTAGGCAACACAATTCTGGAAATGATGGAACACTGTCCATGACACAATGATCGAAAAGCATTGTGATCGAAAGGCATTGGTCATTTGGAAACATCCAGCACTCATTTCTCTAGTTTGGAAGTTCCAACATATTATGCCTGTACGCTATATAACTATGCTATTAATAAAATTTAATAGCATGTTGCAGTGGTAAAGACATTGTCATATTATGGCTGATTTTCTGTATTTATATTCTTGTGCAATTTTCAGAGTTGACACTATTGTTAAACCTTTGATGTGGGCTCAGATGGGTCCCAAACTATTGTTTCTCTTTTACAATATTTAGTTAACTACAGAACAATGGTTTCAATCAGCTGTTTAATAGATAGAACACAATGTGATAATTTAAGAAGCAAATAAAGTTACAAATTGTATCAGCTATTAACTATATTGTTCTGGTTGATAGATCCAATTGCACAAGTTCTCCATTGAAAGCAAGAGCTGGTGGTAGAAGAGCTGGTCTTTTGAAGGTCAATTTTGACAGCTTCAGTATGAAAAGCATGTCACAAATTAATAAAACAATTTATCTGTTTTATTTGTTAGTTATTGCATAAAACAAAAACCATAGATGAAAATGCACACACCACAAATACAGATAAATGTAGTCAATGTGTTAACAACAACAGCAAAATTACACTTGTAAAGCAGCTTTCACGTCAGGAGGACGAACCAAGGCCCTGGATGATCCGTGTTTTGGACCCGAGCTGGGGGTCGGCATCGGGGACGATCTTTAAACATCGTTAAGTTTAATAGTCAATCAAAAAATTCAAACTCACAATTAATCTCTGACCTTGTCCTTTCTTCCCTGACATTCCTGCTGGTAGATTGAATTCGTTGAGGAACAGATATTGGAGGCTGAAGAGAGAAAAGAAAAAAAGGTTGAATTTGCAGCTTTGCAGGAGTCATTTGGATCACAATACTGCTTTACAATTTTTTGCAATGAAAACTTTTTTGAATGCTGGTACAATGTACACTAAACAGAATGATTATGCCTAGTTATCACACCAATTTTCGATCAAAGCAAGTTTTCCTAATAAAAACATGCAGTTAGTTATTGCAGAACACAAAGTTAGGCATGCAGGGAATGTAGTCAACTAATTCTGGGTCACATGGTTTCCAAAGATGTTTCTCTCAGCACTTAGCCCAAATTTTACATAATTTCATTCAGGAGCTTGCTTTTCTATTGCATTTCAGTTTTTTTCATCATTATCCAAGGAAAATAGCTCTCCATTTAATGAATGCTTTAATAAAAGAGTAATTCAGTTTGTTGCAAAGCCAGGGAACACACAATATGACTAAAAATTACTTTCAGTATTCATCGTCATAAATCTGTAGAACAGGATTTTAATGGGTCAAATTGAGTCAGAAAACAATACCCATTACCACCAAAACAACTTGCTAATGATTCAAATGTATAGCAGTTAAACAATATTGGATTGTATGCATACATTTATAAATTCAAATTATAGGACCAAGTATATATTGTGGTAATCTGAGTAGAAATGATCTACTTCAAAGCCATTGTCAGAAATAGGCTGCAACTCAGAAATCAACAACATGTCAAGTGCGAGAAGCTATTCAGACTGTACTGAAGCTTTGAACAGCTCTCAAAATGGGAACCACACTGCAAGTAGCAAACTATTAGCATATTGTCGAATACAAGCAACATTGAATAAATGCCATGTCAAATTGTTATTTCACTGAATAACATAGTTCAAAGAGGATTTTTCAGTGTATAACACACCAATTTACTATTTATTTATGGTTATGCACATTTAAGACCATACGTTAATACAAGAGTCTTGATAAATAAATGATTGTAAATGATTTGTGCTCAGATATAGGAGGTATGGTGTTGAAATTTGCAGTAGCCACCAAAATGGGGATGTGTGGTAAATAATGAAGAGGAGTAATTTTAAATTTATATTAAACCATGCTTAGACCATATTTGGAGAACTGCTCGTCAACCTGACAGGAAGGTTATTGTAGAATTGGAGAGAATACAGTGAAGATGTATAAGGTTATTATAATGATTGGGCAGGTTGGAGCTTTTTCCTTCTGGGGATGAGATAATTGGGAGGAGATCTGATGATTAAGATTATGAAAGGATTTGGTTAGGGGAATGTTACCAGACTTTTCCAAAATAACGGGGGAATACATCAACAACAACTTGTATTTATATTGTGGCTTTCACGTCAGTAGGACGTGCCAAGGTGCATAAATGTAAGACAGCCAGTAGCAGATCTGAAAGGAAATCTAGGAGGAATTTCATTTCACAAAAGTGATGAGAATTTGGAACTCACTCTGGAAGGTGTGGTTAAAACAAAAAATATCAACATGTTTAAGAAACTTGATGATTAAATGGGGGAGAAGGGAATAGAGAAGGGATTAGGATTGCATTGGAGTATAAACACCAACACAGGTCGCCAAATGACATGTTTGCATGCAGTATTATTCCACATAATTCTATGATGGAAATAATTTATGCATAACACTTATAATCCCAGAACCATTTATCTGAGGAGGGAAAAGTAAATATCCTGATACTTTTATACAAAGAGGAATAGTTCATTCAGTCATGAAAATGAATGTTAAAGCATGAGAAATTCATCTACTGTACACTGAAGTACAGGTGCTTAAAGTGGTCTTATAGTTTTAATAAGTTATTGAGTTTCACTGCACACTTCAATAAACACCAACGCTCTCTTATGTAGAAAGATCTACCAAATACACAGAATAAGAATATATTTAATTTAAAAGCTTGAACTTGTTCCAGTTGACATCCACCCATTGCATGTTAATACATGTAATTCTGTGCTTGTGCAATTTTATTCAATTCCATTAAGTTGAGCATACATTTATTTCATTCCTAGCTCACTGCATCATTCCTCAGTTGACACCACCTACTCCAGAAATGCCCCTGTGATGTCCTGTTTACAGTTTGTAACAATTTACTTAGTCATTTAAACAGTGACAATGCTTTCTCGTCTCAGATCGGAATCACGTCTATTTTTAATTTAAATGACATAATCACCACTTCCTCATGAACTATCAGAAGTGCCCCTGAGTGAGTGAAACATCAATAGGAAATATAGAGACGGTAATAGTTTAATAATCCCCTCATACCACAGAGGTTAGTACTGAAGTATTATGCATGAAACTGGATTAAATATCCTTTAACTACATTTTAGAAGCCTTCTTAAATTAGTTTAGTGAAGGATGATATAGGCTCATAAATAAATACAGAACTCGAGAAGCCTTTCTTTACTGTCAAAGCGAGAGCTGGAAGTAGAAACCAACTATAATTTGACCTAGTTTAGTTTGCAGAAGCTTATCTGGCAATATAAGCAGGTGTTAGGTACACTGATGGTGATGAAGTAGTTTTGACCAAAACTGTATTGTGTAGGCTTACAAATGTGCAAATTTGGTGCTTTGTACATCTCAGAAATATGTTGAGTTTCTGTGGGCTGATTATATAAGGGATAGACAGCTGTTCTGGTTGCTTCAAGATAAGGATGGCACCCAGGCTCGAGAGGTAGTGAAGACAGAAATGAGACTGACCTATCCCAGGATGAGAGGGATAAGCTTCGAAAACTACTATTTAAAAAAACTCTCAAAGAGGATCTTAGGATATATACAATACTTAACGGGGAGGTGAATGTAAACCTAGAAACACAAAATTAGTGTGGCAAAAATTACATCTAAGACCTTCACTTGAGGGGGCGGGGAATAGAAGGGTATGGCGGGAGTAAGAAATGGGTGAATGTGGGGTGAAATGACTCATGTGGGGTATAAACACAGACAAGGACAGGATAGGCTGTATGGTATGTTTCCATGCTGTACAGTCTATATAAATCTATGTTAATCCATGTAAATTAAACCATGCTTATGGAGTAATTTAAATCCCATACAAATGTTATATTTTTCAATCAAAAGTATTAGGCAATTAGACGTTATTAAAATAATTCTTGCATTTGATCTAGCACCCTTATCGGATCCAAACATCTCAAAATGCTTTATAAAGTTTTTCTGTAAAGTGCAGTGACTGTGTATTTGCAGGCAAATTTGGCAGCCAAAATCCCACAAACATCTATTAAGTGAGAACATTTTTTTTTCAATTTGGTGGATCATTGCCCAATACACTAGGAGAAACTCTCTTCTCTAGTCAAAGAGAGCGGTGTGATCTTCAATGTCCATCTGAACAAGCAGATGGGATATTGATTTAACATCTCATCTGAAGATAGCATCTTCAACAAGCACTCACCCAACATTGAATTGAACTATAAGTCAAGACGATGAGCTCAAAATCCCCATGTGGAGCTTGAACTTGCATACTTCTGACTCAAGAGACCAGGGCACTGAAATTAATTTTGTTGATTGTACTAGATACCAAGAGCAGTCATATTGTACATGCCAAATTGAATAAAATGTGAACAATTTTATTGCTAATTGTATTGCTATGGTCTATTAGACAAAATAAGGATGGGCAAGAAAATGATTGCCAGTTTTCATCTAACATTACCTCATATTGCATAATATATACCTAAGAATAATACCCTCCACATTTCCGGATTAGCTCCTCTGTAAATGCAATAAATACATATTAACAAAGTGCTTTTAAAATATGTGATTCAGTCTGAAGTGTTCTTCTAAACAAGAATGACTTAATATTTCGACATCAACACAGTCATTTCACTGATTTCATACAAGTATGGTTGATTTAAACAAAGACTGCAGACATATGCCAATTTGTTCTGCACAAGCAACATCACGTGCATAAAGCAGATTCTGCCAACAAACCATCTGTAGTTTTTTCAATACAGTACAAAAATCTCAGTTTTAATGCAGTATAAAATGAATGGAATGTCGGATAGGTGTCTGGAATTTTATTGTAAATGATAGAACTTCAGCCTTTGAGCACTTGGAAAAATGAAGTGAAATAGTAATTATTTTGTAACCAAATTCCCTTCTCTTTCCAAATATAATGAATGCAATGGGAATCAGTATAATTTAACCTGGTTCCGTTCCTGACAATTTGCCGCATGGCACACTGCATGTAAACATATTTATGTGTAAATGGAAATTACAATATCACCAACATATTTACCCTGAATGCATCACATCTTAACAGCGATCTTGCTAAAGGCTGACTTTTCATCTAATTTGTTTGATTAGTATGGACAGGTTTTACACACAATTAAATATTACTGAGGTCAGAACAAGCTGTACCCAGATCTGAACAATTCTAACCCAGATACACAAGTTCTAATCTCATAACACAATTCCTAATCCAAGCACGATTCTTGCAAAAACAGTTGCACCTTTATCACAAATTAATTATATGCAGCAGGACACCATTGTTACAAACTTTATTATGAATCGGTCATTGTGAACAAACAAAGCAGTGAAAGTTCAAACAAACTCCTGATCAGGAACTGTTATGTTTGTCTCCATTTGGTCTCCATGTTTGTAATAAGGTTTGACTGAATGAGTATTTCTTACGATTTCAACAGTTTTTTTTAAATGAAGCATTAAACTTGCATTAGTATCATCAATACCAAGCTTTTGCGGATAATATGAAGAGACATTTAGTGCAACTGAGTCATTAAAGCATGGTTATATTGTACAACATAACTGTATTGTCTAGATAAACTATTACATGAATTGATTAGAAGGATGAATTTCTATTAGCTGTATATCGGCAGACAAAGGCAGCTGCAACATTATTCAAAAAGCAGACATACAGCTATGGTTAATGGGATGCTTTGCTGGATAACAACAAAGTACCTTAGGATGAGCAGCAAAACGTAGGGCTCGACGTGCAAGAGGAGAAGCAGGAGAAAAGATCCCCAGAAATTTAAGCTGAGTTGGAGGAATCGGGGAAAAATAGGAAAACCACAATAAAAAGAGGATGTGAATTCACATACGGTAAAATAAATGACAAAAAAAATGAAAGATGCTGTTGTACTTAAAATCATTTACAATAAAAAAAAGTTTCAAATTACTGAAGTATAAAATGTTAAGTATATACAATCATTTATAAAGTATTTAAATGATTAGCCTGATCAGGCCATTGTCATTGAATACAACAACAAATTGCATTTATATATTGCTTTTCACGTCAGGAAGACATCCCAAGGTGATGGAATCGTTTTTCAAATAGCTTATTTTTTTTATTAAAACAATTGCGTAACACATTTCCTTTCAACAAAGGTTAAAATCTTCAATGTGTTTCAGGCTATTTTATGAAAAAGGTTTTCAAAGATTTATAAACAAATAATGACTTCTGATGTAAAATTTACACCACATAGACTATTTAGAATAAGGTACAAAAAGTCAGGTGCTTTCCACATGATATATGCACATGCCAAATATAACCAGCTCTTAATGTTAAAAAAATGCTCACAAACAGTTTCAACTATTTTGTAATTGGTGCAAATAGTTTAGTTATATGTATTTCAGATTATATGCTACATTTTCAATTAATTTTTTCCCCACAATGTAGCCTTAATGAAAGCTCCATACAACTCACAATTAACTTTTCTGGGAAAACGAAATACTTATACACAAAAGAGTCTTGTAAATGATCAGACTCATTTTAAAAAATAGGGTAAGTCTGTAAGTGAAATCCTACTGCCTCCTCCAACTTATATAAACATGTACATCTAAACATGAGCATTTTGATTTACAAAGACATTGTAGAGTGCATTAAATAATTTGTGGAAAATCTCTTAGGCGAAAATGACTTGTATAGAAATCGAGGAAGAAAAAAATTAGGTGACAGGGTGTCCACCTATAGACTTGAGTCTTCAAGCAGATATAACGGGTGAGTCACATCATCTTCAAACAAATGTAAAGATAGAGGACTTCAATGGCGCTCCGTGCGTTTCTATTTTCGAGATCTAATTTAAATAGCTTCAAAAATCCCAAACAGTTTTAGCACTTAAGGGTTTGCTCCTTCAAATTAGAGAAAGAGCTCTGTACATCAAGAATTGATGTACTTAGCTTAACTCTGAATTAGGACCACTACAGGGCAATGAGACAAGAAATAAACAAAGCTCTGTTGGGTTCAGGTGCCTCAGCTCCCTCGCCTAGATGCAATTCCGCTGGTCCAGTGGGACTAATCTAACTAAGACTTTATTGCAGGGAGATAAACATTAAGCCACCATCTCTGTTAAACTGAATACTGTAGTTAAGAAAAAAATATTTTGATAAAACAAACAAAATAAAACTAGACTGGTAGATGGTCAGTCAAATTACAGGTGTATAAAAATCCTTTTGGGCACACATGACTATTACTTTAATGCTGCTCTCTGCAATCCCCTTTCCTTCTTCCTTTCCATCATCAACTACCTTCATGTCAGTACTAGACCAATTAAAATGTTGATAGTAATTAATAATCATAAACGTCCAATACAAATACAACATTTCACTGGTTGAGTGACGCTGAATTTCTGTGGAGAATTACAGAAAGTTAACATACACTCATGGAGCTCAGATTTTTAAAACATATAGGGAGCAAAAGAACTTCATTAGAAAAAGTGCTTACATGTTCTTAGGTGTGCATATTAGACAAAGCATGTTTTGCACAGGTTATTTTAGGATTCCAGAACATTTATAATTGACCCTTGTTAACAAGAGTAGCATCAAAAAGACCTAAACAAATTCAAACAGCATGGCTATGTTACTCACATAAATCTAGTTATGTCTGGATACATAAAATATTTTTGGAAGGAAAACAAAATCAGCTTTTAAGACTTCTAAATTCAACAATATTAAAGCTTGGTACGTTCAGCATCTGTCATTCTTGCTGAATAATGTATACATAAGTGTTTCATTTATTGTTGGGGGCGGGGGGAAATTGTGGGCATATTCACAGAAATGATAGCAGTTCTGTCATTCAGTCAATTTCTGGCCATTGCAATCATGTTGCTATACTGAGCCGTTGCTACTACTACAAATTTCCAATGAGCAACGTAAAAACAGGGCAACCTTTTTATTATATTTTAGTTGCTATTTTGTTTTTGTTGACTCATGATAAGGAGGGATCTAATTTTATGGACCAAAAACACTCATTATAATGTGGTCACCCTCTGGTGTCAGCATTTCAACTTAAGCACAGGAATATGAATGGAAAATATTTTCAGCAGGTCTTGGATCTCAGAGGATTATTACAGTTACAAAATTAGATAAACTACGACCATAAATTTTCTAATCCTTTGAATGTAGACAACATTCTCATGAAAATGAACATGTCTATTTTGTAAATAATGGAATACTTATTAATGTCTGCTCAAGCACCAGAGCAATTTATATCATGAATACTAGCTATTTTTCTGGTCTCAATCACTTTTGCTAAGGGTCAACAGAAGGCTGCACATTTGCAACTGTCTGTAGAGATCAGCTAACTATTGATCCATTTAGCCAACATATCCTACACTATCCAAAAGATTATTTGACAAATCAACCTCATCTAATAAACCCGAGTTTAAAAATATTTCTGAAAAATGTATAAGGTCGGTTGATTTGCACTGCCTGCTCTGAACTTTCTAAACCACCTCCTTAAGGTTGTCTCAGTATTTCTATTTCAGTGTACTCCCAAAAGATTTTAGGTTTTTTTTGCACAATAAAAAAAATCCAGTATAAAATAAGCATAATGGTTTGGCTCTGCATAGCAGTCATTACATGGTCTTCTTCCACATCCATTGGATCCGCAAGGTCTCCTTCCAAAATGCAGCTCAGCTCATTTGAAACCAGACAGCAAAGCGACAAAGGTGATACAAGGATTAAACATATGTAAGAATAGGAAGCGTAACATTGCAAAAGATCAGAATGAAAAGCAAGGAATAGAAAAAATGTTGGGTTCTTTGTCCATAGCTTGTATGAATGTACATATATACTCATTTACATCATGAAAAAACAATAAGCACAGGACTTAATCAACAGGTTTCCTTATTCCAGTGAAATGCAAACTGCTATATTAAATTAGGGCAGAAAATCGAGGTAGAGTATTTTAGGACTTAAATTTAAATGCAAGTTTGGACGATTTCAGCATATTAGCTTATCTGGAATGGCTACATTAAGACAATAATGCTGTGTGAAAGTATGTTTGAGAACATTTGCAAACTGACAAATTATGTAGTTTAACATGTGTAAAAAGCAGTGAGGCATGATCTGGAAATTATAGACTAGCCTTAATATCTCCAGTCGAGAAAATGCTCGAGAACATTATCGGCATTTTACCAATTCTCATCCATAATATTGTAAACATGATTGAGGAGCAGTAGGTCATCATGCCTCATCCACCTACTGCAATCTGAGTAAATCATTCATCTAGTGAATGAGAAAGATTTGCAGATGGAATTTGATTGAATCTTTACAGACAAGACTTAAAGAAGGTTTAAGATTATAGAATTATTTGCAAATTACAGTGGAGTCTAGTTATAGTAGTCATTGGGGTCCATAAATTCCTAACTGCTTTATAACACGATTGTGATTGCAGTTTCCTTCGGCACGTGCACTTGCACGGTGGCTGGTTCCCACACTAAAAATGGTGATTAGGTCGCTGCCTATGTAACTTCCTGCAGCTCATGCGCACTAAATGGGAGTGCAAACCTCAAATGAATTATAACTGCATCAGCACTATAATGAAGAGTATTAAAAATAATGTTATATTGTAGGTGGGTGGATCATAAAAAGCATTAGTGATAGGAAGCAAGCAGTTATGTTGAAAGAAAATAGGATTCTTCGTCGGGTAGGCACGAGTGAAGCTCAGAGAGGGTCTGTTAAGATTCAGTTCTGGTATTACATTGGAGCCCCATGACAACGCAGTAGTTGGGATCCATAAAATCCTACCAGCGCTATAATAGGATGCAATTGATAGTTAGTACTTCTATATTCACTGCGTATGCATGCAGAAGCATTCACTAATTTTGGAGAAAGCCAAACTGGTCATTGATGTTACTTCCTGCATGCTGTGCAGGTAGAATGTTGAAGAAAGGATGCTGATGGCAGCCTGCTGACCCAAAAGGCAATCATTTTGGCTTCCCCATCTCGGCTGGTGTTTTGAAGCGGCAAAGGAGTTGGCCCTGAGCAAGTAGATAACAACAAAAACTTGTATTTATATAGCGCTCTTCACACAGGGTAGCGCTTCACAGTGGCAGAGTCTGATAATGAGCCAAGGGGAGAGGAGGGGTGAGGTGACCGTAAGCACAATCAAAAAGAACGGTCTTTATGTGGGATTTGAACATGGGAAGAGAGGGGGCAAGGCGGAGGGATTGAGGGAGAGAGTTCCAAAGATATGGTACTAAAGGCACGGCCACCGATGATGAAGCAGAGGGGGCAAGGGACAAATAAGAGGCCGGAGCCAGGCGAGCCGAGGCAGTGAGTGGTGGGTAGGGAGATGCGAGGGAATGAAGTGATTTGAAAATGAGTGAGAGGATCTTGAAGTCAATCCGTTCAGTGATTGGAAGCCAGTGGAGCTTGGCAAGGACTGGTGTGATGGGGGTACGGAGTTTTGTGCGGGAGAATATCCAGGCAGCAGAGTTTTGAATTAATTGGATAATTAATTCTTCAAAAAGGATATATCATGTAGATATCATGATTCACACTGCAACTGGGTAACAAGCAAACCTGCGTTATAACAAAGTGTTTTATAACTGGGATCTACTTTATTTATAAAATTAATGGAAGCGAGGACTTTGTGTAAAGCTACTAAATGTGTTGCTGATACCAAACTATGTGGATAGATCCAATAATAGAGCATTTAACAAGATCTGGCGCAATCACACAAACAGGCTTAGCAATGGGAAATGCATTTCAATATAAGGAAATCTATATTGAATAAGCAACTGTAAATGTCGGCTCACAAAGGTATATCCATTAGCAGTGATAGAGAAGGACTTGGATGTGATTTATCTTCAGTGTAAATTGTATAGTCAATAGGAAGGTGAAATCAAACATTAGGCTGGATCGCAAGGACATTTGGTCAAAGAATCTATTATAATTTGGACAAATCACTACTGATTAATATTTGGAATATTAAAATACGTTTAGGTGCCCTACCTTCAAAAGGAAATTGAAGTGTTGGGAGAGGATTTGGATAAAAGCAAAAGGATGATTTGCAAATTCTTAGTTAAGAGAAGACAGATCTAATATTGTTTTCATTGTTTAAGAATATGGAAGGGTTACATCCAGATCTTTTAAAACAATGAGGCTTAAAGTGGACATAAGCTGATTAAGTGTAGTAAGAGCAGAAGAAGTGTGCATAAGTTTAAAATGACAAATCTCTAAGCAAAACTGATTTGAATAATTTACCCTTCCTCCAGGAGTGGTGAACATTTGGAACAAAAGCAATTATGTCAAATAACTCTTTCAAAATAGAACTGGTTACATATCTGCTTTGTTACAATAGTGGGGGAATGCAAGAATGAGGCAAAGAAATGTTCCAAGGAATACAATGGTTTCTGTGTTGCTAGGACTGGGGAAAGATCTTGGAAGGAAGATGGTCACATTTAAATAATGGTTACGTGAGGCCAGATGATAATTCTAGCATTTTGCTCCTTGGGAATCATCTGGGCAGAAAATTTCCCGAGGAAAGCAGAGTGGTTAGGTGTAGTCCACTATATAAGTATTGCATGATCTACAGAAGGAATGGGCCTCACGATAGGGTGAGGCTAAATCGGGTTTTCTCACCCACGCTTCCTTAAGTAACAGAGCACTACCAACTGTAATTGTTACCACATGTATAATTTGCTAGCCCTTTGTAAATAAAGTATAGTAGCATATTCTGGTTGGCAACAATTCTGAATCATTATTTATTGAAAGCACATAAAACAGATTCAATCCCTGGACAGCTGGATTTATTATATTGGCTATAACAGTTTTTAGTTAGCATTACAAGGATGCTTTGTATCCTGGGAAAATAAAATGCGACAGAAATAGGAGTTGGTGGGTTTATTTTGTCAATTTTCTCTTAGTCTCTTGAAGCCTCTGTACAATTCTATGAGGATTATAGCCCTGGTAACTATATGGCCTGATATTTGAACCCTTACTAAGATGAAAAATTCATCTTGATGAAGTTCACCTTAATTAATTAGCTTGAGAACTTCCCATTGGGTCACCTGGATGTCTGTCTTACTGTTTCTGAGAAGAAAAAAAGGCAACTTCCTCAGCGTAGATTTCTGGTTATCTAGAATCATCCTTGCTTGTTCATCTCTGTTCTCACTAAAGGGCACCAATAGCTTTAAGATGGTGTAAAGTGACTTTACATTTCACACAATAGTTCAGATTAGGATTCCTTTTAACATAAATAAATGGAAATGGCTTGAAAGAAAGACATCAAAAAATGTGAGGGATTAGAGCATACAGATGATCCTGATTTCTGTATCCCTGGGATATACGGCAGTCTCACTACGCATGTTAATACAACTCTTTCACATGGTTGGTTTCTTCAGCAATTCCTTCAATGCCAACATGTCCAATTATACGTCATTAAAGAACTCATTGATCAAACAAAAAATAGAAATAAAACAAATAATGTTATTTACATTTTGCAACTCTTGCTAACCATTTGAATTTAGAAATGGATTTTGCTGGCAAGGCCGACTCCCTCTTAACTGCAGGTTTCAATTGTAGGTTTCAGCTACAATTCATAAAGTTACCAGCAATATTCATTTAATGTTTTTTTTTAGTCAGTGAGTAAATTTATAAGTCTCAATTTTGTATTTTATTGTGTAACTCATTCAATGTAGTTTGTTGACACTGTACTACTTTGATTGCATTTCGAAACCTGGTACCAGAAAGAAAATCTGTGTTGTGTAACTCCACTCAACTCCAGGACCACTGCTGTCCTGACAGACTGTCTGTCAGACATCAAGTCCTGGATGAGGGCAAATTTCCTACAGTTGAATGTGAACAAGACTGAGGCGCTCCTGATTGGCTCACACCAGCGCCTCAGCACCTCAGGCTCTGGCAGCATCAACCTCCATGGTTGCACACTACAACTCACCAACCCAGTCAGGAACCTGGGTGTCTTGTTCAACCCTCAACTGTCTTTTCTTCCCCACATCCAAGCCATGACCCGCTCTGCCTTCCCTCACCTCCGTAACATCGCCCGACTCTGCCACTACCTCACCCCTCAGGCCGCTGAAACACTTGTTCATGCATTCATCACCTCCAGGCTCGACTATGCAAACGCCCTGCTTGTCGGCCTTCCCAACTCCTCCCTCCACAGACTGCAGATAATCCAGAACTCTGCAGCCCGTGTCCTCTCCCGCACCAAACTCCGTGACCCCATCTCCCCCATTCTCACCTGACTCTATTGGCTCCCTATCCTTCAGAGGATCCAGTTCAAGATCCTGGTCTTCACCTACAAAGCCCTCCGTGGTCTCGCCCCACCCTACCTCTGCGACCTCCTAACCCCCTACCAACCGGCCCCCTCCCTCCGCTCAGCAGGCTCTGGCCTGCTCCACGTCCCCCGACACACCCGCCCCACCATTGGCGGGAGATCCTTCAGCCATTCTGACCCCAACCTCTGGAACTCCATCCCCCAATCACTCCGCCTCACCCCCTCCTTAGCCTCCTTCAAGTCCTGCCTCAAAACCCTCCTCTTCGACCATGCCATCGGTCAGCCCCCCTTCCCCTCGCCTCCCTTCTCCCCCCCTGACCCCAGCTTGGGCCTGAAATGCTGTACACTGTCCCACACCTTGGGACATCCTCCTGACATGAAAGGCGCTACACAAATGTAATTTTGTTGTTGTTGTATCTCTCACCATCAATCATAGAAAGTAGGTCATACCTTTGGCAAAAATGTTCAATAAAACAGCAATTTCCTTTTGTTATTTTGTAATTGTCTGCAACTTCTTCAATCATGAAGCAGCTCTGGTGTTTTTTGATTTCTTAGTAATTATTTTTTTCATTTGAGCCATTCTCACTCACTTCCTGAGTAGGTCAGTTTGTTTCTTCAGAGCTAACTCAGAGGATTGTCATTTATGTTGGTTATTAATTTTCATATAGTTTAGACATTTTATACTTCCTGTGTCCAATCTTTGTATGACTGATATTGTTCTTCTGCAGATTAATAACTGTGATACTCTATTTTTAAAAACAGTTGCAGCTGCATGTATGCAGAATATTCAATTTGACAGAAAAAAAATTCCATTACAGCCACAGCATAACCAGTTAATGAATTTACTAAAATTCAGCAACAAAATAGGCAAGCCGAGCGCCTTTGTCTTGCTGTTCAGTGCCCGGTTGTTTTCAGCATAGAATGTTCATGTAGCATACATGAAACTACCACCACGGGGCAACATTACCTAAGTGCACGAGCAAAGGCGAGACCGAATGGAAACTAGGACGTTGAAGTGGCAGTAGGAAGAATAGTGACCCTTCCCAGAACTTCCTCATTTGTGCATGTCATTAACCACCTACAGTCGTTCAGCTGAATGCTAATTTTCTGACAAGTATGAAATGTATGTAGCATGGTTCGGCTCACATAACAGAAACAATCCAGACTGAGACAGACAAGGAACAAAACAAAGAAAAGCTCAGACCATCGAATTTGTTCCTTGCAACACTGACAAACTCCCAATTCAGTTATTCTCGTGTGGAATGGGAACTTGCAAGACTTTTTCAAAAAAAAAGTGGTATATCTTTCGACCAAGTCTAATATCTTCCCCCGCCAAGGTTCCTATTATTAAAGCTTTCACTTACTTATCCTTCCTTACTTATCCAGCTTCCATTGGCCATTTTGGAAGCTAAGAACAACTTATTTTTACACAAAATAATTTTTACTATGTAGTGCCTTTTAAGAAAAATGTATTCATATTTTACTGTAAAAGTTGAATATTAATAATAATCATAAAGTAACAACCATTTCATTATAGCGCCTTACCATATCATCAAGATGTCCCAAAGCGCTGTGGGCAAACCACTGCAGCCAGTTTGCATGCAGCTTCGTCGCACAGACAGCCATGGAGTGAATGACAATTTTATTTTATTTGGGGAATTGTTGGCCAGGCCACTGAGAGAAGCTCCCTTCTCTTTGACAAGTGCCATGGGATTTTTAACATCCACCTGAACAGGCACATGGGGCCTTAGTTTAAAGTCTCATCTGAATATTATTTCAACCTCCAACAATCTGTGGAGTACATTGTATATAAATTTAAGACTATTAAATTTTTTGATGTATGTCTTTATAGACAGAGCGAATTTCAGAGGTAATGTTACTTCAGACTAAGTTCTATTCTTCAATATAGGCATATTTTACACTAACTTCAAATTATTTTTGGATGAATACCTGAATCGACCTGTGTCCACTGAGAATATCACAAACAGGAATTAGACAAAAAGAATTATCTTCGGTTTAAAACTTCCATTATAATTCTCCTTTCTATTGTGACAATTATTTAACTTTATTTAAAAAACTAGATTCAAAACTGAAAAGCAAATTGTTTAGGTCATTTCAAATGGTCAGTGTAAAACCTTAAATATTACATGATCAAAAAAATAAATTTTACCTCGGGATCATCATCGTCAAAATCATGAAAACTGGAATGATCTGGGTTGTTCACTTTATCAAGTAATTCAATGGCAAGTGCACGATTCAATGGCTGTGCCACAAATTGATGCTAAAATAAAAGAAGAAAACATGAAAGTAATTGCTTGAATATTAATACACATTAACACCACTATACAAATGTATTACACTTGCCTGTAATAACTTCTCAGCAGTAGGTCTCTTTTTGGGATTTTTCGTAAGTGCCAGTTTTACAAAGTGATGAAAATTAGTTGACCTTAAAAAGAGAACATTTGATATTGAAATCGCAATTTGCATTTGAAACAACTTTAAAAACTCGAATAATGCATGAATATTTCTTACCATTTTATCTTGTCCTTCAGCTTTGGTGGCTGAAAATTGCTTTTTGTCATCAAAAACAAAGCCCTAAATAAAATCAGTCAGTTTTAGAGCATGACTGAACAGTAATGTCACAAATGTTCATATACTTATACGTAAATCTGGCTGTTCAACCCGTCAGGGCCTGGTTTCAGAAACTGACTGACCATTTTCCATTTCTACCTCAATGACACCATGACAGAAAACTGAACCATACATTACGCAGGATTATCTCTAAACAGCTACTCTTTCAAGCAACTTGGAAATGTTGTCTCTGAAGAATTTGTGGGACTGCTCGGGAATAGATGAACAATGAATACTTTCTTTAAAAATTGATTCGGCAAATAATGTCTCTTGATATTTTCACTGTTTTATATTCATATTGGCCCCTTCTTTATGGTCAGTACCTTTTTCTGAAATAGGGATTGGCTAGATGCTAATAATTGCTAAAGTGTTGCATCCATCACTTTTAATACAATATATACTACTAGGACAGGTGGCAAATATTTTTAAGGTAGTGTTAAATGTAGAACTTTCGGGAATCGTGACCTCAATCTAGTCACATCTTAAAGAGCAAAACTCTGCACCCAGAGTAAACAGACTAGCTTCTCACAGCTCTGGATTAATTAACAATGCTGCACAACTTCCAATATATGTATTGTGAGCTCTGAGACATGAGCAAGGTATATTTAACATACAAGGTGTATTTAACATACTTAATACACAAGGTGTATTTAACTTACATACTTACAGTGCTTGGGATGTCCTACCGATGTGAAAGGTGCTATACAAATGTAATTTTTTTTCAACAGAGTTTTTTTTTTACGACAGTGTTTACCTCATTGGATGCAAGTCAAACATTGGAGGCTGAAGTTCGGCTAACTCTATGCCAGTTATACCAACTGCCCAAATGTCACACAGTTGATTATATCCACCTTTCCTCTCCACAGCTGCAACCTCTGGGGCCATCCTTGAGAACAAAGAGTTAATTTAAAGTAAACTTATGCAAGTAGCTGGGCTGCATTGATAGATAAGCATTACATAAACAGCACAGAAGCTGAAGAAAGACTGATGGGAAGGACTTTGTACTGATCTATCCCCAAGTATAACCCAGAGACCTTTTCTGTGACATGGAGTAATGGCTATGTGAAAGTACATGTTGAATCAGAACTGTGTTGTGGCAAGTTTTTCTTCTGGTAAAACTGAGTAACTGATTGAGCCAGTCAAAACATATTGCATTTTTCTTTCTTGAAAAATTTCCTGAATAGCCTGCCATAGACTGAATAGTCCTGAACAGATTCAGGGTTGAGCAGAAACTCTAAATTTCTGGAGACATTCAAAATATGTACGCGCGGATGGCTGACTTTGGGTTCATCTGGTTACAATAGATATCATTGCTGTTTTCTACGCATATGCAAAGCAGGAAGTGCATGGACAGTGAACCAGTGAACTGGAAGTTTGTCTTTTTTAAAAAAAGCATGGAAAGCTAGAAATGGTCGACTTCCAGGTCATTTGATCCCTTATATCATTACTTCCAGCTTTATGCACACAAAGCAAAGCAGAAAGTAACATTGAAGGCAACTTAATGACCCAGAAGGCAGCTACTTAGAAGAGAAAAGCCAGCCAGCTCATACATGTAAAATGAACAAGAGGCACCGTGCAGCCAATTTTTCAGAAGATTTGTACTACAGTGAAGCAGTTATAACAGAACTGCACTAATATCCATGTGGCTTATCCATCTAAATTATGAAGCATCAAAAACATAATTGCTTCTATAAATAGACAAGATAATTTTTAAAAGTTGATATTACCAATATGGAGTACCAATAAACGATTTTCTTTTTGCGATGGTAGCAGTAATCTGTGCAGAAACTCCAAAGTCAGCTGAAATGTAAATAGGATTTTATTAGGCACTGTATCAAATGCAAGGATTATTATTATTAAATGATACCAATAGAGTTATACATATTTTTTATACACAGCACTGTTGTTAGCTCATACAGATTTCTAAAACTCTTCAATACGGGCTCATTGGTCCAGATCTAGATCTTAAAACAGGAAAAGCCCAGCTCTGCACTGATCTGATGTCAGTGCTGTGTCAGTGTAAGATAAGCACTGCACAATGTGTGTCACCTCACCCAGTCATTAAGGACGTAGGAGCCTGGGCAAGCACGACATTTAAGCGTTAATGGACAACATTTGCTTTGATACAGGTTTGTTTACATTAGTCCAAAACGAGATCAACCATTCACAAGTTAAAGCAGCAGCCATGCCCAGGAATTCTGGGGAAAAGCTCAACTGAATGCTGCCAATCAACACTTCATTTGTACAACAAAATTGTCAGTACATATTTTTAAGAATTAATCCTGATAAAGCCTAGACAACTCTTAAGACAAAGCAAAGTATTTTAACAGATTAAGCTTTGGGGAAGTGTACTTTAACACTAAAACATCCAACAATGCATGCTAACATAGACAACACTGGATCAGCGTTGTTCTGATATATCTTGCGTTCTTTAAAATCTTGTTTACAAAAAGCAAATTTAGTGGGCTGCCATCAAATGTAGGAATCATAGATGCCAGTGTCAACAGAAATTTTTCCCTGCCCCTAGCTGACATTGACAAGAGATCCAAGATGAGAATAGCTTTCTAGAAATAGTAGCCACAGGAGGAGGCAAACACTCAACTGAAGCGACAGTGATGCTGTTCCATTCAAAATCAGAAAAGATTTGAGAAAAGTAACACACTGAGATACGTCTCTTGAGTCTTCAACTTTCCATGGCAAATGTCTACAATTTACATTAACATTTTACAAATCAATTTAAGTGACTCAAGTAAAGCATCAGTTTACTGGTATCGGGTTAACATACCATAAAAACAGCAGAATAGCAATGGGAGGAAAAGGATAGTTCTCCTTACCTAGTTTTACATGGCCATTATCTGTTAGAAGAATATTTGCTCCCTTTAAATATAAAAAAAACAAGAGTTCAGCTTGATTATAATTTAACAACTTTCTTACTAATATAACACATTTAATTCAACCTACAGTGAAGTTAGCAGCTTTGTGAGCTGCGGATGTCAAAATGGTCACATTTGTAATGCTAAGAATATTAATTTCAATAGTTATTTCTGGAAGTCAGTTATTACACAAGACTTTAAAGTATTCCCAAAATATTCTGGGTCATTATTAGTTAGCTCCATCAAAGTTATTTGAAACAACTTTGGTTTTGTAAAGCAGAATGTTTCAGTATGAATGCAAAAAATATGAAAGCATTTGCTATATGTAACACCAATACATTGTCAAGTTAAGATAAGGCTACTGACAAACTTAATAAACAGTAAACAACGAATTCCAGACAAAATTAATTTTTTTTTACCTCCAAGAGAAGGACATTGTCAAAAATGCAAGCAAAAGAATCCTTGGATATGATTTAGCACCTTCGTGTCAGTAAGACTTATCAAAGCACTTCACTGGATATAGTGTAAAGTTTGGTGACTGTGAACATGGTAGCCAACTTGTGCAAAGCAATGTCCCACAGTCAGTCATGAAGTGAACTATTTATAACTGGCCCATTCCTGGCATATTGTAAATGTACCCAGTTGATTTCCACAGTAAAAAAAGTCAACTTTTGGAGCATCAGGTCACTGCCCCCATCACTTCCTATTTCTTACGCATTTGAAAAGAAGAAATGAAGGCCGGCAACCTGATGACCCAGAAGTCAGCCCTTTTAAAAATAAAAATGCCAGAAACTAAAGTGGCCAACTTCAGGGTCATCGGCTCACCACTGTCACCCCAATGACCCAGAAGTCAGTCTGAGTGAAAGTTTGAAAGCTATGAGAAGCAGGTGGGCTGCTGTGTGCATGCTTGGTGAATGGGGTTCACAATGCAACCACATTAGAACCATATTTGCACTTTAAAGATCAGAGATGCATTGAATCAACTTCAAGAATGGTCCATCTATATACTGCTCTTCGTTTAAATCATCTACACATGCCTTCCTTATTAAGGCAAATTTGATCCCTCAAAATAATTGAAATGGATACAGTTGTACACCATTCGTCCCCAGTAACTGAAATAGATGGTTGGGGAAAATTAATTCAAATTCAAGAAAGAAATATTTTAGGTATTAGCGTTAAGATACCAATCTTGTACCATTTTCAGTTTTAGAATGGAAACATCCTTCATGTACCATTAAGGCCAAGTTCAGCTAACTACCAAGGAGAAACATTACTTCAACGCCTCTTCAAGATGCATTTGAACCAGCATCATGACACTGTTTGCGTGACCTTCCCTTGAATTGTGTAATACAAGCATGACCTTTTGGATATGGTTCAATTCTTTTCCCAGAGAAAATCTCAACAAAAACATAAGGTGGATGAAAAATATGATCAAAAAACAGTCCAATGAACATTACGTTAATGCTGCATTGCTCTGATTGAAAGGGACAGAATGGGGTTAGGAAGGTGTGTGTACAACTCGTGTAGGGTTTTTCCATTCATGAGTTCCGACATGGTTGTCAAACGGGCTATATGACATAACCAAGGCAGTCAAACAATAATACTATAAAATAATAATAAAAAAATAATTCTACTAGTCTTTGTTATATCTGTCAGAAACTGAAGCCTTACAAAGAGGTTTGGTTCCTGCTATGTATAATGCTATAGTATGTTTAACATGGAAATATTTTCTACTGCAAGTATTGTTTAGAAGAAATAGTTCTCGAAGGAAAACTGCAGTGTTTTACTTTAGAAAGCTGAAACACTGACAAAGTTATACAGTTTATGTTGGTGAGAAATAAAACCGCGGTCATCTCCCCATTCCTTAAAAAATCTACCCTCGATCCCTCCTACCTCGGCCACTCTCGCCCTACCTTAAACCTGCCCTTCTTGCCAAAGCTCTGGAACACGTTGTTACCAACCAACTTCGTGCACACCTCTCCCTCCATACCCTACTCGAACCTCTCCAGTCCGGTTTCCGTCCTGCCCACAGTACAGAGACTGCACTCGTGAAGGTTACAAACAATGTCCTCTCTATCTGTGACCGGGGCTTCCTCTGCCTCCTCGTCCTTCTGGATCTCTCCGCTGCGTTAGACACAGTCGATCACACCATCCTCCTCTACCACCTCTCCTTCATCACCCACCTCAGTGGGATCGCACTCACTTGGTTCGAGTCCTACCTTTCAAACCGCCAGCACTACATTTCTGCAAATGGCTTTACTTCTCTCTTCCACCTGGTCATGTGCGGAGTACTGAAAGGATCCATCCTTGGCCCCCTTCTCTTATTATTATCTATATGCTCCCTCTCAGTGATGTCATCCGCAGACACGGGGTTAACTTCCACATGTATGCGGATGACACTCAATTCTATTTTTCCACCTCCAGCTGCGACCCCCAGGCCCCTGATGTTCTGTCAGCTTGTCTGTCGGACATCAGGAGCTGGATGAGCGCAAATTTTCTGCAGTTAAACGTCAACAAGATAGAAGCCATACTCTTCGGCTCCCATCAACATTTTCCATCCCACGGTTCCGACCTTCTCAACCTACCCGACCTGTCCTTAAAACTCTCCGAACCTATGCGCAACTTAGGCATCAGGTTCAATCCCCAGGTATCTTTCCTCCCTGCATCCAATCCCTGACCAGCACCGCTTTCTTCCACCTCCGCCATGTTGCCCATTTCCGACAATACCTCACCCCAAAAGCTGTCGAAACCCTTGTCCATGCCTTCATCACCTCTCGGCTGAACTACTCTAATGCCCTCCTCGCCGGTCTCCTGTCCACTATTCACAAAATTCAGCTCATTCAAAACTCCGCTGCCCGCATTCTCACCCGCACCAAACTCCGCACCCCGATTACTCCAGTCCTTGTCAAACTCCACTGGCTTCCTGTCACAGAGCGGACAGACTTCAAGATCCTCACTCTAGTGTTTGAATCTCTCTATTCCTTGGCTCCCCCCAATCTCTCTAACCTCCGCTCTACTAGGTCCGGCCTCCTCCGCGTCCCCCGAATCCTCCACTCCACCATCGGCGGCCGTGCCTTCAGCCACTATGCCCAGAAACTTTGGAATTCCCACCCTGAACCTGTTCACCTCACCCCCTTCTTCCCCATCTTCAGGTCATGCCTGAAGACCTTACTCTTTGTCCGGGTCTACGGTCACCTTCCCCCTGCTCCTGGCTCGGCCTCGGGCTCCGCCATTGCTAAGTGCTCTGACAAGCCACCTAACGTGGAGGGCGCTATATAAGTGCAAGTTGTTGTTGTGGATGCTGGATCCATTCACATTTTCAAGACTGAGATGGATAGGTATTTGTTAGGTCAGGGTATCAAGGGATATGGGGCAAGGGCAGGTAATTGGAGTTGAGGTGTAGATCAGCCATGATTTTATATGAATGGCAGAACAGGCTCGAGTGGCTGAACAGCCTACTCCTGTTTCTACGTTTATAAGAGATAGTGTATTCACTTCACACAAAAATATTTTTGCTAAATGTACATGAAATAGACAATAGCTAAATTAAACATTCAGCTCAATTACTGCCTACATTTGAAGCCTTTTTCCCCCAGTGGCATCTCTGTATGTTTGGAAATATTGCTAGATATCTTTGGTAGTAGACACTGATGAGCTAAGTATCCTGTCACACTGAAGAGCTAAGCAATCTGTAACACAAGATTAAATTGACTTTCCAGTTGTGAGACATCCTTCTAGCATGGTAATGAGATCAGTTTAAAGGTGTATATTTACCAGATTTTCAAGAATCATTGCTTTTCTCATTCAGCAAGTGTGAGGTGCATTTTGTTGCTTCCGCCATCTATTTCTGATTTATTGATGGGGAAGAAAACTGAGGGAAAAGATACAGAACACCAATCCATGGACCCTGAATTAGGAATTGTGAAATCAACTACTAAAGGAAGCTGCAAACAAGTATACTTCCAGATAAGTCACAGGTGTAAGGAAAGTTTATGACCTGAATGACTAGACAAAGGTCAATGTTGGGAATGCTCAAACTTGCAGCAAGGGAAGTAGATGAAAGCATTATCAGTTTCTGTTCAATGTTGCTACATAGCTCAGCACCAAGAATCATGTAGAAGACAGGAACAAGCTCCTCCACACCAATTTATGTCTTCCGTTAAGTTGCAAAGATAACGTGCAGATGGGGGTCCTGAATGTCCGAGATAGAAACAGAGAGGCATATGTCCTCAAGTCTTACGGCCAATAATAGGAAGGTTGATAAACAGTACTAAGATTTGGAACAGAAATGATGGTGCCAAATGAACAATTATGTTTTACTGGGGTCATAGCATTTCAACACACTAGAATTGCTCAGTAATGATAACATATGTGTTCCAGTAACCAGTCCCAATTACTCCACAATCATTAAGTCAGATCCAAGGCAATATGCAGCACAGAATTATGCATGATGCAAACTGGCTGGGACCCTTGCTTAAAACTTTCACAAGAGAGGTTAAGATGAAAAAGCCCTTTAACCCATTTAATGTTATTTAGGAAAGCCAACCTTACCATCTCTTTGTTTCAAATGTTTCAAGACCCTTGTCTCAACCACTCTTAATGGTAATCCATATTGTTTTACTTCTTTTTGGAGTACCTTGCATTACCTGTTTTATAACTCAACAGTGATCGCATAAATGTATACTCTTATGTAAGATCTTGTCTGCCTTCTCTTGATCTCACAATCCCTCTTCAGATTGTCATTCATAAAGGTAACTTGATTTGCCCTGCAATCAGCCTGCAAATCCAGGTCATCAATAGAGTCATTAATAGAAAATGTATGTGTTCTACTGTACAAGAAAAGGTCCCAGTACAGACTACTAAAGCACCGCACGTAATACCCCCCACCCATTTTGTCTTGGCTCCTTTTATGAATACCCCCTGATTCCTAGAACAATGGCAAAGTATCCAGATGACTATCAGGTGAGGTGATTGGACCAGAATAATCTTACGAAACTGCTGAATCTACTTTGTAACCTGGGCCAACTCCTTCGGGTAATGTCATGTTGCAGGATTGCTTACCAGCTATGAAGATACTAAAACAGCAGTTTTAGCGAGGATTCCTGCTGCTGATCCCAAGCTAGTGACTTATACTGAAACTGACAATATGTGACTACTCGGTGAGACCAGGCTTGCGCACGACTGCGATGTCCCCATGGTAGAATAATTGCTAAAAACTTGCCCTGTAGGCTTTGAGAACAGCTGCGTGGGAATTGTACCGGAAGGTGATAAATATCTATGGAAATGTGCCACAGCAAGGGTTATATTTATATCAAGTGCTAACGGAGGATCTCATGATTAATGAATAACTCCTAATGTCAGACATTTTAAATTAATGTTGATCCAGCAGATCCCCCCCTCAATTATTTGGCCCTCCTAACGATAGGAAGAAAGCTTGAAATGAAGACAGTTACCGATAGCTTGAACAATACATTTTATAATAAAGAATAAAATAAGGTAAATAAGATTGAGAAAAAGAGTAATTAAAATATTTACCTTTATGTCTCTATGCATCTTTCCTTTGCTGTGAAGATAATATAAACCCTATATAAAAAAAAACAATTGGTTAAGTGTATATTGACCCCTGAATGACTTACCTTGAAAGTGTTCCTGAGTGCTTTTTCAGAATCTCTTCAATGAATCCCATGATTGAGAGCACAATTAGCATACAGGATGCTAGGATTCAGATTTCCAGGTTTGAAATCCCTATTCTTGAGGATCTTAACTGTACATAGGAACAGGAGTAGGCAATTCAGCCCCTCAAGCCAGTTCCGCCATGCTATAAGATCATGGCTGATCTATACCTCAACTCCAATTACGTGCCCTTACCCCATATCCCTTGATACCCTGACCTAATAAATATCCATCCACCTCAGGCTTGAAAATGTGAATGGATCCAGCATCCACAGCCTTTGGAGGGGAGAGAGTTCCAGATTTGCAATTCCCTTTGGGTGTAAACTGCCTCCTAATTTCACTCGTAAATGGCCTAGCTTTAATTAAGATTATGCCCCTTCTTCTGGATTCCCCGACCAGAGGAAATAGTTTCTCTGCATTTATCCTATCGAATCCTTTTTTTAAAAAAAAACCTCAATTGGATCGCCTCTCAACCTTCTAACCTCAAGGGAATATAGACAAAGTTTATGCAACCTGTCCTCATAAATTTAAATCTTTAAGCCCTAGTATCAATCTGTACTACACAGAAATACAAGCAGAGGCTCAACAGTCAAGTGTTCAAGGACTCATGGTACCAGGTTGAATGGTCTTCTTATATCTTATTAGATTGTTGAGTTTGGTTCAACAGATTATGCTAGAATCTTCCTGAAACATTATCAACTTTTTTTTAAAAAATTGCAATTCCAGTGTACTGTGGCCAACAAGTTAAACAGCAGAAATTCTCACTCAGAATGTTTTCAACAGCTGATTTTCTGATTACAACACTGCTGCTGTGAAGCAGAATCAAGCAAAGCAAATGCTTCTCCACATGTAAAGGAAACTGAAGGAGTCATCACCTTGGGCATGTCTCTTACAGGCCAGCAATAAAGCAAAATTGATTGTGTTATGAAAACAAGTCACTTGGGAAAAAGATAAATCAATTTTCACTCTCTAACATCATATAAAAAGGTTGATTTTTTTTGGTAGACTTATTAAATACAACTGTAATTGCATCAATAACTTAGCCCACATTATTACATTGCTTAGTAAAACCTCAAATAAAGATCCATTCATCTGTCCTAAATCAGGTTAGAAATGCACAAGCCATCAAACACATCTTCACATTGCTGTACATTAAAAAAAGACATTTTAATATGTAAAGAAGAGCATTAATTGCAACATATGGTAATTCCAGAATACTACCATGTCTTTGAGACGTGTCAGAAATCATGATAAGGCACTATATGAAATGCAAGGATTATTATTATGTCAGATACAGAAGGATCAAACAGTGTAAAGTTCCTTAAGATTCTCCCAAAAAATGCTTTAATCTGTTTTTTTTTCTGAACTTCGAGGGCGCATTTCCCATTCTATAACAGTGAAATGCCTATTACGCACACACTGATTATTGGCATATCTATTATCTGCAGAAGTGAAAACAGAACTGTGAAACTATTAAAAACAAATCTGTTCTGCACATGTAGAAGGTTGGATGAGATTTCCACATAGACGTATTCTCGATCCAGCTTAAAATCCATAACTGGATTTTTTTCAGTCTATAGTTTATTTTTATGTAATGTAAAACAAGAGATAGATATATTTTATATCATATATGTATACTATACTCACATATATAATATATATAGATATAAATAATATACACACACACGTGTGATATAAAAGGTTAAGACTTAAAGAGTGAGAGTCAGAGAGAGAGAGAGAGAGAGAGAGACACGAATACACAAAACAAAAGAAAGAGAGTCAGAGGGAAATAGACAAAAGGGCTGATACACTGTGGTACTGCAGTGACAAAATAAAAAATTGTTCCATCAGGAAATACGTTAGCACTGTAGCCAATCTGTATTTTATGCAACGTCCAATTATCTTTATTGTCTGCCTATCTGCAATGGCTTAGTTCCAGTTAATGCGTATTATCAACTCTCCACTGTACTGAGTTTTCAATTTTCTTCACAAGCCATTTCTGTAGCCAGTATAATCACCAATAGGAAACTTTCTTCCGTGGTCCAGCAGTGACAAGAGGCTAAGCTGCAACTGCCCAAATGTATTTCAGGTCGGACCTGTACAGCCAGCAAATTTTCAACTAAATAGATTGGGCAGCATTCAATCACAGGATGAATATGCAGTGGTATAACCCACCCTAGAACCGAGTCCCTCCAAATTATCCTCACAATTATTTAAGGCCAAATGAAACATCAAATAAGCTGTGTAGCTACAGTTATTTCAAAAAATATTGAGTAAGAAATTGAAATTACATACTTGTAGTGTCTCTCGGCATACATATGCTATCTGCAGTTCTGATAAAGGTCCAGTCACTAAAGGAATAAAATCTGCATTAAGTTACTGAATTATAATTATAGTTCAAGTCAGCAATTTAATTTTTTCACCCTGTCGAACAATTAGAAAGCCTTAACTACTACACATTCATACATTTCAGGTTGGTGACTGACCACAAACGCCCTCAATTGGTGAATAGCATTTCCGGGGGTAATAATTCCTTCAAAAAAAATAATAAATGGAAGTGATTGAATTCACTTCAATCCACGACTTTCGCGGGACACTGTTGCGCGCAATTGGCTGCCGCGTTTCGCCCACAAAATATGCAGTCAATTCGCTTTACAGTATATTCTGTGAAGCACTTTGAGATGTCGCAAAGACGTGATAAGGCTCGATATCAAATACAAGGATTATTATTGTAGTATATTGCCCAATTACTGCTTTTATATTTGGGGCTTGCCAAAAAGTAAATTTTGCATTCAAATTTCATTTTCTGCCTATTTTAATATTATGAGAAAAGCAGCCTTCAATGCTTTCGAATACCTCCCACTACAGGAGTCTGCTCTTCAAACTTGGAAAAATTAAAATCATCCTCAACAGGACTTAAGTTAAACTTACCAAACATATATTGCAAAGGACGGCTAGCTAATTTTAATTGATTCGTTATCAAATCATAGTTTCACAATTAGTTGTCAAAATTTAGTTCTATGCACTGACCAGCTCAGTAAAAACCACAAAAGTACCTTTCTTCCATATAGTGGGCACAAACACATTAGAACCGGGCAAAGATGAGAACAATTTTGATTCTATTTTGCTTAGTTTCCTTAATTGAATGACAATTTGTCAAACAGTATTATCTCACTCTTCTTTAAATTAGGGTGAAGGATTTAGCAGGACTGCCTTTTTTCTCCACTATTCATTGGAACCTTTTAGTCATAGTTGTGAAGGCAGATTCCTGCCTCCAGGGTTTGAGTGCAAGGCACATGGAGAAAAAGCTCTGCCTAAATGTGGACGACATATTCATATTATTTTGAAAGCCTGGATCTTCAATGTTACCTTTACTGGATTTCACTGAAAAGTATGAGACAATTTCAGGGTATAGGTCAATTAAACAAATTGGAGGCCTTGCTCTCAAAATGATGGTGTTTCACTTAGAAGCTCCTCACACATGTTTTCAAATGCCTTCATGCCCTGGCACCTCTCTACCCCCCAACCAACTGCATCCACTCAACTGATTCTGGCCTTCTGCATATCCCTCGTACCCTCTGTTCCACCATTGGCAGCCGCCTTTTCAGCCACTACATCCCAAAACTCTGGAACATTCTTTCTCTATCCCCCGCCTTGCCCCTTCCTTCCCGATCTTCAGGTCGCACCTGAAGACTGTCCTCTTCAATCGTGCTTACGGAAACCTCCCCCTCCCCCCAGCTCGGCATTGTGCTCCGCCACTGTCAAGTGCTGTGGGACGCTACCCTGGGTGAGGGGCGCTATATAAATGCAAGTTAATTGTTGTAAAGTTAACAATAAACACGTCATCTATTGTGGGAGCATTTGAGGCACCATGGATGATTGCATCCTAATTTTACATTTTAGGATGCTCTCAACGGAAAATTCTGATTCACCATTTTAAAACTCTTTCAGATATTAGTCATTTCCCTTTCGGTCTAAGGGTAAAAGTTCAAATTTTATGAAATAAAAGCTTGATGTATTGATGATGGATAATGTTGTAGTAGAAAAATTGAACACTTTTAAAACTACACTGTGTAAGACAAATTATATAACAAGGGGGAAAAAAATTAACCTGAATAAAACCCAAAAGGAAATAAAATAGGAGAAAGAACGAAGGAGGAAAATAAAACATTAAATAAAATATTCACTGAAGAGTGCAACATTTGGAAACCAGAAAATATTTCTAATATTTTAAAGCAATAACGGTTTTGTCTCAGTCCATTAAAAAGTAAAATACTTACCATGATAAATATCTTGCAATGACCCACCTCCACAAAATTCCATACAAATCCATAATTTGTCACGTCTATAAAACAAAGTAATAGTAGTTTCATTTATTTCAATTGCAAAAGCATTCATATCCCAAAGGAAAATTCAACTACCACACAATTCTATTGCCATACACTAATCTAATTTTCCAAAAAAAAATTCTGAACAGCAAAAAGTATTCAGAGAAGTGGCTCATCACAACATATCTGTTGAACTTATACCTCCAAATACTTTTCATACAAATACAATTATCAATTCACAATACTACAATAGCGAGGAATTAGGTATGAATCTCTTTAAAACAATGTATTATTTAAATTTTAGTTGAGGTTTGTATATATGAGTCTGAGGCAAGAGTTGCTTTAAAGAACATTGAAATATTCCTGCTCAGACAAAAAAAAAAATCTTATCCAAAATGCTTTCTTTATCTTTGTCAAACAAATAATGCACACACAAGCAGCACTGGGGAGAAGTAGAGCTTCTGTTCAAAGAGAATTATGGTAGTTTTTCATTTCAACTTTCAACAAAGATGCTACATTCCTAAAATTGCAGCAACAATTGGCAAAATATTGTTGAGTACTTTTAGCTCCTTTTCTTCAGACAGTGAGACAAGATACATGTTTTCTGTAGTGGACTGAAACCAATCATGAAATTAAGTTTTAAAAAAAACAAGACTCCAGTCCCAAATATTTTAAATTGTAATTGAAGCCACGTATGTGGTAGCATATCATAGAACAACCAGATCCAACTGTGAAGTCAGAGGTCTCCAAATTTGTAACCTTGGTGATTACTGAGTACAGAGCAAACCTAGAAATTGTGTTGGGTCAGAACAATATGTCCAAGAGCTTGGTACAGGAATTGATTACTGTATCAATTCTGCATCTAATCTTCTCGATACAATTAGCACCACAGGAGCAACATCAGATGAGAATTCTGTTTTTAGGACAAGTGTTGCAAACTTCATTGCTGGCATCCTGTGCAGACTACAGTAGATTGCCAAGCAACCAAACAACAACAAAATTACATTTACAGAGCACCTTTCACGTCCTAAAGCGCTGAACAGTCAGATGTCGGGGCTCGAGCATGGGGGAGGGGGCGGTGTAGGGGTGAGGGAAGGCAGAGAGGTGGGAGGGCGACTAAAGGCACGGTTGAAGAGAAGGGTCTTGAGACCGGCCTTGAAGAATGCGAGGGAGGAAACGAGGCGAAGGGACTGTGGGATGGAGTTCCAGAGTGTGGGGGCAGAGAGGCTGAAAGCTCGGCCACCGATGGTAGGGCGGGTCAGGCGGGAGACATGGAGCAGATCGGAGCCCGATGAACGGAGGGAGCGGGCAGGTTGGTAGGGAGTCAACAGGTCAGAGGTAGGAGGGAGCAAGGCCATGGATGGCCTTAAAGGTGAGGACGAGGATCTTGAACTCAATCCTCTGGGGGATGGGGAGCCAGTGGAGTCGGGTGAGGGTGGGAGTGATGGTCGTGGAGCCTGGTGCGTGAGAGTACACGAGCTGCAGAGTTTGGGATGACCTGCAGCTTGTGAAGGGAAGAGTTGCGAAGGCCGATGAGGAGGGTTTGGGCAGCCTGAGGGGTGATGCAGTGGCGGAGTCTGGCAATGTTGCGGAGGTGATGGTAGGCAATGCCAGTCATTGCGCAGATGTGGGGGAGAAAGGACAGTTCAGGGTCAAACAAGATACCCAGGTTCCTGACTGGCTTAGTGAGGTTGCGTGTGCAGCCGTGGAGGCTGATGCTGCCAGCGCCTGAGGTGCGGAGGCACTGGCGCGAGCCAATCAGGAGGGCCTCGGTCTTGCTGACGTTGAGTTGGAGAAAGTTGGCCCTCGTCCAGGACTTGATGTCGGACAGGCAATCGGGCAGGACCCGAGTAGTCCTGGAGTTCAGGATGGAGGCAGAGAAGTAGAGTTGGGTGTCATTCACATACATGTGGAAATTTACCCCATGTCTGCGAAGGTCTGTTTTAAGCATTTACAATTCTTGTTCCATTCAGCCATACCAGTCACTTTTTGCAGCTTCAATGAAAGCTTGTATTTGACTTGCTTGAAGTCAATCTTGAGGAATTTATAGCTCAGTCACATTTTTCTAGATTTGTAGAAGGTGCACTCTGATACACAGTAGGACCATCCTTAAGAGTCGATTGGTCTCTAAGGCTTTTAGCTGTATTGAAAAAGGAGCAGGAGCATGCTCAGCAATATACAATCCCTATGATACGCTAAGAGGACTTTAAAAGCAGCAAGAGAAACACCAAGGTGAAGGAATTTTTGCAGGGTTCCAGAGACTGGGAGCACAATGCTTGGCCACCAATGGTACGATAGACAAGCTAAGGAATGAGTCATAGATTGGAGTTAGGAGGCACAGAATGAAGAAAGCTTCGGGTGTCAATCAAGTTCACATTTTTGGGCAAAGAATATGACAATTTTATTTAAATAGGCAATTTATAAAAAATTATAAATGTAAAAATATTTCTGCCTAACAAAGAAAAAAATGTAAATTTTAGAGCAATCGTTTTCATTCCCACTATAAACGATGGTCATTAAACACAAATGATTCATTGTAGTCAGTGTAAACAGAGTCCAAAGACCAATTAAGTAAATGGACTGCAAACTTGTAATTTTAAGCTATCTTTTAGAGTTAGAGATAAACTTTAATGTCAACTAATAACCAGAAATTAGTCACTTGCCACATGAGATTTGCTTGCATCGCCATGATAGTAAAATGCAAAGCATAGCCATTGCAAACAAGTCCACATGTAAACACATTTAATCACAGAAAAAAGACACTCTGAGAAAATAAAATTGAGCATGATCAAGTAAGTCCTCATTCACGCACAAACACTTTCCAGCAGCATTACCTGAATAATCAGGATAATCATGAAGGAACATTTTACTGTGGTCCCCTTTTCCACCTCCAGTACCTTGCCCAAATGGCTATTATTCATGTGGAAGCCTTGACAGTGAGTACAAGTGGATCTACTTGACCAAAGGGTGCCCTGCAGTTGAACTTCATCTAGTGTCAACAGATTGCCAAGTACAGCAAATATCACTGAATGGTTATCAGGAAAGGGAACCCTCCATGAAACAAGAAAACTGCAGAGTCTACTATTGATTAAAGGCTAAGATCCATTTGCTCAGTACAGATTGGGGATCAAATCCTGGACCTCTATATATTTCTCTGCTCTTCAATGAATAATTTGGTTTAGCCATTGGTGAAGCTCCTAATGCTTCAAGTTAGTGAACTGAAGTTATGCTGCTGATCTGGCTAAAATTATTCAATATACTGAAGGTTTGAAACACCAGGACGTACAAGTTAAAAATCAGATGAAACCATTTTTAAACATAAAGGGTATTAGACTTGTGAAATAAATTGCCAAGGAAAGCCATTGAAGCATATCGGAAAAACAGGTTCAACAGGGAGCTAGATGAGTTGCTGAAAAGAAAAGGCAATTGAGAAACATCAAGATAAGACAGGTGTGTAGGGCAGAGAAATACTGAAAGGGTGATGCATTGGTTGGGTTTCAAATGCCCTTTTCTGGTCCTAAAAATTCTTAGAACCCTCTTAATAGGCTAACAACAAGAGGAAAATGAAAGATAAATTAAGCATTTGGTTGATTGACCATAATTGTTTCTAACCACTTAGCCATCACACATACATTCCTTAAAATTCAGTTTCATGTGGTAACGTTTTAACATCTTTTCCAATTTCAGAAAGAATTCAGAGAATTTAAGTCAAAACTGAGGGAAAACCATATAAGGCCAGCTATGGCTTTCAGTAACATGAAAAGCTTGCCAACAATTTCAACGATTTTAAAACAGGTACTCGAATAATTGAAAGTCAAAAAATCCTGCAGGAGAACAGGAGAATGCTGAAAATAAGTGAAAATGCATGAAATATAGCAGTTTATTAACCTGATGCCACACTGCACATTTCTATACACCTGACGAGTTTAGAATAGCACAAGTGATGGATTCAACCTGCTCTGTCAGTACAGTGCCAATTGTTCAGGAAAGGGAGGGAAGTAAAGAGCCTGAAAGAGAAAGAAAATACGGAAATCTCTACCCATCTCCAAGGTGAGAACCTGAACTGAAAATGACACTTCAGTACCCTTTAAATTAATGTAGTAATTTACTGTACGGTTTAATAATCAACACATTGCTGAAAATAAATCAAGTCTGGTCTTTTCCTTCATTGCCCTTTCAAACATTGATCTAAAGCTTTTTAAAAATATATTTATTTGCCATTTATAAACCAAGGAACTCAACACTTCCACCTAAGTGTATAATTACCTAGCTATTTTTGACATGTAAGAAACTGATAGATCAAGACAACTAGGTAGGTCAAGAAAACCAAGGACACTGTGAGTGTACAAATTAGTGTCCTGGAAGTTTAGCAATGATACTTAGCAATGACATTTCGCTCACAAAATATACAGTCAATTCACTTCGCAGAATATTCTGTGAAGCGTTTTGAGATGTCTTGAAGACGTGATAAGGTGCTATACACCAAATGCAAGGATGATTAATGACACTTCACAGAAACTAAATGTTCCACTGCAAGGTAGCATGCTGAATGTAATTATATATTTTTTATTGTTTCATGTGAGAATCAGACATAATGGAATATTAAAAAAAACTGTAAAAAATATGAAACGAAGCGATTCAAAATCAAGCTCCAGCTTTCTAAAGGTCGCTAGTTTAAATGAGCAAATTGACATTGACTGTTCACAGAAATCAGGGTAAATGAGCACAACCAAATTAGAAGTGGGAGTCACTGAATTCGTATAAGTGTACAAACGGTATGAGATCAATGCCAGTGACATACCAACATACATTTTTGCAGTATGTTAATTTGTAAAATGGAAATAAGCTTAAAAGGTTATTTCAAGCAATTTACATCAATTAATTCCCATGAGATAATTTTAGAACTTTGAATAACAACTAGATGCATTTTTCTTGTGTAACACGGGTGCAATCAAAACAATTTACTATAACAATGTGAAACCTTATTTATGCCCCGGCAGCTCTTTTGTTGCCATATTAAAAATCCCTAGAAGCAATTAACCCATACAACCATGTCAGCTGAATAGACCATACAGCAGTACCAATTCAGAGGCTAGGAAAAAATATTTATTCTCATAAGATGAAATGCAAACTCATTGCATTCTTAAACTAGTTTTCACTGTAGAGAATAAAAATGTAGTGTTACAAGGTGGTGCATTAATACGTGACATTGTTTCCTCAATCCTGAATTTAATTTTGGTCATTCTGCAATGGGGATGTAACGAACCAAGGTACTCTATTAAGCAAGGGAACTTTTTTTCTCAAATCATGAATTCAAATTTATAAAATGTACTACAAATATATACAAATTTTAATGCAACATGTCCAATTATATTTGGATTTAGCTTATCTTCCACAAAAAAAAGTATTTAACCAAGAATTAGGGCTCAGCAGTGTACAGTCAAATCAGTAGAACTCTGACCAAAGAAAAGTCAGAATATTCTGCACTTCAGTTTCCTTGATTGGAGTCGCTGTGGATTATGTCCATGGAATCACAGCAAAAATGTTAAAATACCAAATATATTTGCGTTTTTAAAAAAGTCAACACACGGAAACAAGCCTCTGCTGATTAAGACATGCCCCCACAAATAAGGCATACTCTTGACTGAAGGGGTTTAATTTGCTTCACAAACATCTATTCCATGAGCTGCAAATATAAATGAGAACGTGCTACAACCTGCACAATATGTTCACAAAATGCAGTCAAGAACTGAGAGCATTTAATATGTAGAGCAACACACATACCTGAGATAACTGCCAAAATATGCAACGATGTTTGAGTGCTTACAGTCTTTCATCATAATAATCTCCTGCTGTACAACTGCAAAGTCTTCACCTTAGGAGGAAAAGAAAATTGGATTTAAATGATGAATAAAAGTAAACTGACAATTCGTCATTCCACAGGAAAGCTCAGTGATAAATTATTCGGAGTGGTGAGTTACGCATATGTATAAACACATAAATAAATGCAGCCCGGATATTGACAACATTCTGACTTAAGCAGTTATGACAAGTTAAGCCAGGGTCAAGTTAATAGGGGTTTACTGTATGACTGGAACCTTGCTTTCCTTATCTATTACAGCTGTCAGGCTTAAATAGCAGAAACTGAAGTATTAAAACACTGTGGAATTAAAAACATACTGCACTTACCAGAACACAAACCATGAATAATACACATAGGATTGGTAAGAACTTATAATTTAAAAGGAATGTCTGGGAGGAATATTCTCCATTCAAATACTTCAAGATATTGAGGAAAACAGTGATACAATTGCAGTTTATTTTCAGAAGAAATCACTTTTTTTATTAACTCTACAGGGTCCCATCTTCTCCACTGGGTCAATCAACAATGTACATTATGAGGATTAGCTGCAGCTTTGCAGTCCTATGCAGAGGGCAGTCCTATGCAATTAAATGGAGGTTACAGTTTGTAACAGGTTACAAGTTTCATTGCCCTTGGAACATTCAGTACCAACAAGAAAGCAGCAGTACACAGTCAGGACTGAACGAATGTTCCAGAGTCCTGCAGCTCCACAGCAGCTTAGCCCAGTCCAAAGCTGTGTTTAATTAAACTGAATGGGACCCGTGTCCAATGTGACAACATCTGCCTAGGAATGAGGTAGTTGGTCCCAAGTAATGTAGAAATGAAGATTCTTGCTGCTGGTAAAAATGCATAACTTAATTTCCTTCATATTTAAAAAAGATGACTTTGCACAGAAAAGTACTCCCTTGAGTTTTTCCCACTTTAAAAACAGTTTTTGGAGCCATTTAAAGTAAAAAAAATTTCAGGATCAAGAAGTATCTTCGCCTTAAAACCTAGGAAATGAACAAGAAGATTCAAATCAACAGTGATCACAGTGATGGTCTGTATGCTGAACTTAAAAGTCTAGATTATAGGTAAGAGACAATAAGCTCTTCTGAAAGCTGTCTAACATTATCAAGTGAAGTAGAACCTATGGCTAAACTGCATTGTTCTGTTTGGTATAAGTTTCCTCCACTTCCTTATCCCTCTGTATATGGATAGAATTTACTGGGCTCAAAATCTAATGTTGTTTTATTTCCCATGCTTATTGTGGAGCAACAGGAATTAAATGTATCACATAATGCGATTATAAAAATACTGCATTGAAATAAAATCTAACTTGCCATGAAGGCGTGACAAATATCTGCCTACTACCTACTTTGAAAGTTCGCGCAGGGTTAGTTCAATCAATTAGTTGACCAGTCTTCAAATCGCAACATTACTATAAATTCCATAGATAGCTTAAGAATTTGGCAACTGTTTCTGCCAAAAATCCATGAGCATGCACATTTAATGTCTAGGGCTGTACACAGCTTGCACAGTTTAAACCAAAGGGGCTTTTTAAATATGTGATAGTCAGTACCAAAAATAAACAAATTGATCATGTGATAATGGTTAATTGTTAATTAGTATTTAATACATTGAACAGTAGATTTTTTTTAAAATGTACTTACTACTCTTAACGTTTTCACATGATTAAAGATTGCTGCTTTGTTTTCACTGGGCCTGCCATCTGGGAATTTCAACATTACAGGACTTCTCATTCAGATTTATCTAAAGCTTAATAATGCATGTTCTCCAATGCATTGGTGGGATAGACAATTAGATTGGATGTACAGGGTGACCAAAAAGTCGTGATAACTACCCTAACATCAAAAAAATCATAATTTCTTTCAGACTTCTTAGACATTGTGATGGTATCACAACTTTTTGGTTACCCTATACATGCAGCAGAGTTCACAACAAAAACCAAGGTGAAAACCACACATAACTCAGAAGCACTCAAAATAACAGTCAAAACCTTTAGAATGAATACGTTTCTTCCAGTTTCTGGCCAACAATCCTCCAGATAAAACTGCCATCCACTTCATGGCTTGCGGACATTACCCACGCACAAATTGGCTGTCACATTTGCTTACAGAATACATAGTCACTACACTACAGTGTATCCTTTGAAGTGCTTTGATATGTCCTCCTGATGTGAAAGGCACTATATCAAAAGCAACGGTTATTATAAGTCACATTTATAATAAAAACAGTCATGAAAATTCCAATCTATAACTTCATAAATTATAGGAATGACATTATGTAGCAAGAGATTGGAATGGACAATTAGATTAGCATTATTGAAACCCAAACACAGACTGCTTCAGGCACTGAGATGAAGTTATTAACATCTTAAAATTGCTGTCAGATCCCCTGATATCACCCACCCCAGAATCAGGTACGTGAATGAGTTTACCACAGCAGGCCTAACAGAAGAGGAAAGTGTTAACATTAACATGTTAAGAAGGGAAAACTTCATTTAGGCTCCAGTTTGACAATGATTTAAAGTAAAATTCACTTGTAACAACTGCACTTGAATAGTACCTTCTGTTTACGGTGTAAGCAGAAAATACTCTGGAAATGGAAAGATGGAAAAGGACAGACTTGGCACAATGAATTGTATATGACTGTCCATTATCCCAGCCTTACATGTCTTAAGGACAACTGTGTTTCAGGAATTGTAATTTATGGACAATGCACACTTGAGTATAAAGGGATAATTAGCTTTACAGCTAAAGGATAATAAAAACTATCTTTATACACCTTAATTTTAACAGCACTGAAGGCAGAATCTAAATCAATCTGAAAAACAAATACTCTTAAGGTTAATTAATTCACAACAGTGTAAACCTGGATCACAATTTTATACATTAATATTTCAGCACAAATCTACCACAAAAAATTCAATTTCCAAGGTCATCTTTACTATCAATGTACTAACACAAAAAAATTCAATTTCCAAGGTCATCTTTGCCTTTAATGTACTAACGGAGGATTGTAATCATTTAAGCTACAGGTTGGTTTCAAAATTTAACGGTTTAAATCGCCATATTCCCACAATCAAATAAAGGTAAATCTGAAAGTAACATTTTCTTGTACTAGTTTTAGATTCCAAATAATCATGCCAGTTCTAGCATGCACGGTTCAGTGCAAGTGACAAGAAATTTACACTGAAATTTTAGCTTAATTTAAGAAATTAAGTTTTAAAAAAAATTAAACATCAATGAGTTTAATCAGAAAGCTGTAAGGTCATAGTGCAGTAGTTTTAATCTGGTAGGTTATTTTTGTAAAGGTGAGGAAAGGATAGTAAACGGCATTCTGATTATTTTATAGGGATTTATAAAATGGCATTTGCTGTTGGTAACTTATGACTCAGTTGAATCAAAATACTTCAGAGTACTTCATGGCAAACCACAATATTTTCTCCTTTGAAATGTTTTGGTTTTAAATCATATTCTGCCTTCATATCAGAAACTATTTCCATCAGTTGTGATTTCAAAGCAGGCGACAGCTAACAAATTTTGCCTTTGGTTCTAACATTTGTTATATAAATGGAACTCATTTACATAATGAGAGGCACTTGCGAAAATGAACACCAAGGACAGAAAGATAACCCAATGCAGCACTCACTGCTGTAGCTGCTAGCACTCGCCATAGTCTGTGAATATTACCCATACTGGAGTTGTAAGTAAAATATTCTGTGTAAGCTTTATTGCAATTCCAGAGTCTTGATATCCCGGTCTTGCTAAAACTCCAAGCAAAGCTAACTTTTATTGCAAACCGCATGGTTGCAGCTAAACAAGTACCAACGTACTTCACCGCACAGTATTTCAATGGGATCTGCTGTTGATATGGGCAACAGGTACCAATTAAATGTGCGCCACCAAACCCGATGATGACTTGATGACATACATACATCTGATTTGGTCTGTCAGTACTGATCCACTCAAAAACAATAAATTGCATTGATATAGCGCCTTTCACGTCACATCCCAACATGCTACTCATACTGACAGCCAAGGTGCAGCACTTCAAAGTTCAAATCTGTGGCCTCTTCCATTGAGCAAACCATCATCATAATCAAGCGCACCAAGTCATTCCTTAGACAGACCACAAAAGGTCAGCTTCTCAAGAACAATCAAATGCTGTACCAACCCAACTACAAACACTGCTCAATATTTGATTGTAAATGTTTCTGCTTGGTATCGACAGAACTTTGTGACGTGCCATTGAGTCCATCGCAATGTGCCGCAAGGAGTCCAACACATTTCCCACTTATAACTCACCGAGTCTGAGGGAAAGAATGAAAAGGATAAAGAAAAAACATTTAGGAAAAACAAAATCAAGAACTCAAAAGTGTATCTGACAGCAACATGGCCAATTATATTTGGATTTAGTTTATCCTCCACAAAAAAAGCATTTAACCAAGAATTGGGGCTCAGCAGCATAGTCAAGTCAGTACAACTCTGACCAAAGCAAAGTCAGAAGGTTCTGCACTTCAATTTCCTTGATTGGAGTCGCTGTGGATCATGTCCATGGAATCACAGCAAAACAAATTACGTTCATGTAGCACATTTTTTGTTACAGAATGCTTTATATTCCTGACAAATATAGTGGTAAAATAACAGATTTCCACCACAAAAATGTTGAACCAAAGTCACAATGAAAAATATGTATTTTTAAGAATTTTTTAAAGACGGAAAGTCTTTAGATTATTGAATGCTTGGCCACTGAAAGTGGAGCGCCATCACCTGCCTCCATAACTACTCTCCAGATTGCTGGATGCTCCTCCAGGACTTCACTACATCCAAGCTCAATTATTCCAACAACCTGCTCACCAGACTTCCCAGCTTCTCTGACCACTGCAGACCATTCAGAATTCTGCAGCCAGCATCCTCTCCTGTACCAGGCTCCACTAGCCCTTCACCTCATCCTCACATGGCTCCAACATCCATCCCCAGCAGATCAATTTCAAGATCCTCGTCCGC